CGGTAGTTATACCAGAGGAAGTCACATGATGATGAAGTTGAAATCCAGGCACAGGCGATGTTAGCCCAGAGCGGCTCCCCCCAGACCAGCTCGGGGGTCATGAGGTCGAAGAGGGACTTGCCCTGGCTGATGGACCTGTTGCTGTAGTGGACGTTGACGGGTATCATGATGAGGCAGCCGACGATGCTCATGACGAAGAACATGTTCCGGCACATGCGGGTGAAGCGCAGGAAGATGGTGGCATCCATGCCCATGCGTTCGACGAGCTGGTCTTCCTTAAGCTTGATGATGGGCGTCAACCAGGCAAAGACGCCCTTGCCCAGCGGCGGCGGCGCATGCGCTTTGTCTGCGTGCTTCAACTTGGGCGCGTAGACGACAGAGTTGCGAGGCCGGACGAGCGAGAAGAGGAGCGCTAGGCCAGCTGTGATGCCGAGAGAGGTGCCCAGCGAGACCCAGAAGGCATTGTAGTTGATCTACACCATGTTTGTTATTGATATATTCTTCCTCTTCTTTCTTCGTGATGGTGGTGGGCGCAAAGGGGAGAAAATGGTGGACGAACCTGAGATGTGAAGGATTGTGAGATGAGCTTCAGGAACTCGTCGGTACCTCCATCACGCTGAGCGAGTCCTCCCATCGTCTGGGGCGTCTCTCTCCTTTAACGAGGCCGTAGAATAATAGCCTGCTGTCTGCTGTCTGCTGTCTGTCGTTCGTAAAGAAGGCCGGGATCTAACCAACGGCTACAGGCATCAAGATGAAGATCAAGACCTCGACCTGAGCAACGGAAAAAAAAGACCTGAAAGACCTGAAAGACCAGACAGATAGAAGAAAGCAAGAAAAAAGCAAACGAGTGACGTGAGAAGGCCCGGTGTCTGTTGTCCCTAGACCAGCCAGGTCATTGTCCAGATGTCCAGATGGCAGGTCGGAAGGCCGGGCTGTTTCTCGAGTCGTTGGTTACGCAGCAAAGAGAGCGAAGAAGCAGAAGCAAAAGACGACGACGAGGAGGACGACGAGGACGAAGAGATAAGATGGGATGAAACGAGGGGAGTAAGAATAGTAATAGTAATAATAGCAAGGCAGTGTTATTAGTTTTTGACTACCTTTTTGACTGCTAGTTGGGTGAAGTTAGGTTAGTTTTAGTTGAGATGTCGCTTCCATCAGCCAAATCACCAAATCAAGGCCTAGACTGGAGGAAGAAAAGAAAAAAAGGCTGATGACGCTGCGGAGCTGACGATGAGAAGAGAAGCGCTGGGAAAAAATAAGAAGAAAAAGAAAAAAAGGAAGAAAAAAAAGCAAAGATAGGCAAGGAAGACGATCTGCTGGCTTTTTCATGGGCGTTTTTAGGCGGATGACCAGACAGAGATAGACGAGGAAGAGCGGGAGGATAGAAGAGAAGAGAAGATACGGATTACTCCACAGAAGGGAAGAAGATGAACATACAAAAGAGATAGAAGAGAAGAGAGTAACCAACTACGGAGTACTCCTATGTTACTCTTACATCCTCATGTTCTGGCCATTTTAACCGTTCGGGGACTCCACCGAGAGAGTTCACGGTTGAAGGTTGAGCCTTGACTTGAGACTTTGGTAGAAGACTTTAAAAGAGAGAGAAGAGACGGTCGATGGTTTATGGCTGCTGGTTGCTGGTTGCCAGCGTCCCCCGGTTGCTCCTGAGGCAAGCCTAAGGGGCTTTTACTCCTTGCGTTTGGCCCCTGAGGCTTGCCTGAAGCCGTCGTTGAGTCAGTAGGAAGTAAGTAACTTGACCCTTGCAGCTCGGCACTCTTGATTCTGCTTGCTCTGTTTACTTAGTGAGTACTTCATAGATACGTATCAGTAGTGATGGAGTAGGTAGTAGTAGGAAGACTGGATGATGATGATGATGGTCTTCCTGCTAGGGATGCTGCTTTAACTAGTTATTTATAGAGAGGGTGGAAACCATGTCTCAGATGGTGAGAAGCAGAGGAAGAGAAGACGAGGACAGGAGAAACACTCCGTGGATAAAACGTTTGTTCATGCATGTTTTTTTATGCATGTTTTTTCATGCATGGTTACTCATGCACTTTAAGATGGTAATCAGGTATATGAGGGATGTTAAGGGAGCAAGGTTGGGATAGAGAAAAGCTGGGGTAGGTTGGTTAGTTAGGTAGTTACTTAGTTTAAGGCTAGCTGTTTAAACACTACATATGTGTATGTACGGAGTACTTGGGTACGACTTTTGGCGGTTTGCTCTTTTCGTTTTGCTCGTTTGGTATAAGTTGGGTCCTGTTTACTTCTGGTTGGTGGTGTTGAAGTCGTCAAAGGCAGTGTGCAGACGCTTGGACATGGCCTTCTCGCCCTCGCGTACCCAGACTCGGGGGTCAAAGTACTTCTTGTTGGGCTTGTCATCACCGTCTGGGTTGCCGACAGCGCTCATCAGGTAGTCCTTCTTGTTCAGGACGTAGTCACGCACGCCGGTGAGGTAGGCGTACTGCAGGTCGGTGTCCAGGTTGACCTTGACGACGCCGTAGCTGATGGCCTCGGTGTACTCGGCCTTGGAGGAGCCAGAGCCGCCGTGGAAGACGAGGAAGACGGGCTTGTCCTTGCTGGAGCCGGTCTTCTCCTTAACGTGGGCCTGGTGCTTGGAGAGGAGCTCGGGGTGGAGGCGGACGTTGCCGGGCTTGTACACGCCGTGCACGTTACCGAAACCAGCGGCAATCGAGAAGTACGGGCTGATGGGGGAGAGGGTGTTGTAGATCTTGAGGATGTCCTCGGGCTGGGTGTAGAGGGCGTTGTTGTCCACGTCCTCGTTGTTGACGCCGTCCTCCTCACCACCAGTGATGCCGATTTCCTATCTTTACATTAGCATATATACAAACGACAAAAAGTAGAAGAAGAAGAAAAAGGCATAACTGACCATCTCGAGCCACTGCTTCATTGGAGCAGCACGCTTGAGGTACTTGGCGGTGGTGTCGATGTTCCACTGGACCTCCTCCTCAGAGAGATCGATCATGTGGCTAGAGAAGAGAGGCTCGCCGTGCTTCTTGAAGTAGTCCTCATCTGCGTCCATCATGCCGTCGAGCCATGGCAGCAGCTTCTTAGCACAGTGGTCAGTGTGCAGGACAACTGGGATGCCGTAGCTGGGGGCAATTGCACGGATGTACTGGGCTCCGGCGATGGCTCCGGCAATAGAGGCCTCCTGGTTACCGTTGGCAACTCCCTGGTCAAATAACCACCGTTAGCCAATATCCTTCTAAGGAAGATATTTTCATTATATCAAGAGTAGAGCTCACCTTTCCGGCAAAGTAGGCAGCACCGCCCTGAGACATCTGGAGAATCAGGGGGGAGTTCTTGTCACGGGCAGCCTCGAGAGCGGCCACGACGGTGGATGAAGAGGTCACATTCTAACACCAGCATCAGCCATCTCCTCTCTTCCCTTTATACCTGTGATCCGTGATGTTTTCCTGATACTTACGACGGCGGGGATGGCAAAGGTGTGCTGCTGAGCGTACTCGAACAGCTTGAGGCAGTCATCGCCAACGATAACGCCGGACTTGCGGGACAGAATCTCCTGGACACCCATTTTTCGTAGTGATGCTGGCAAACTTCTCTTCTAGCTAAAACGGCAGATAACTAGTCAGACCACGGCCTCTTGAATCAATTGAGACGGTAATATCAGGAAGAGGGAAGACGACAAGAAAAAATGCCCTTTTGGTTGAGGTTTTGTCTGTCGAGAAAAGCGAGGGATAAAAAAGACCCCGCCACGGCCAACCTGCGCTCTAAGCTAAAGCGACCCTAGCTATGGCGGGGCAAGGACAAGACATCTCGACGTACCTGGAGACTTGCTTGCTAGAGTAAGTAATATCAGTGTCAAGATGCAAAGACGAGGCTCGATGAGAGAGACAGAGAGACAGGGAGAGAGTGAGAGAAACAGGCAGAGCGGGAAAAAGGGAGAGAAGTCGCTGATTTTATTCTTTCCCTCCTTGTTTTGGTTTCGTCATTTGGCCCCAACCGGCATTTTTCGCTCTTGCTCGCTGCAATTCCGAGATTCCCCGCGTCCTCCCCTTTACCTTCTCCTTCATTTCTTGCTGTTATATTATTATATTAGTAGCAGTAGCAGCTGGTCTTAGGTTGCTATTTGATGGTGATGTTGATGCTGCTGTTGATGTCGAACTTGTGGCCGGGCTGACGGCCTCTACATGCTCTACGCTCAGTCTGTCCCCTTGCCGGCCTGTCAGTCTCAGTCTCAGTCTCATCGGCTATCGATTAGTTATATGAAAAAGCGACTTTGGCTGCCTTCGTCTTGCGTCCGGACGCCCACTCTCCGGCTGGCCCCAACGCCCAAGCTTTTCGATCACTTTCGCCGCTGCTCCTTGTCCTTTCCACCGTCGTTCCCGCCATCCCGTGGGTATATCGACAGCGGACCGAAGATAAGCGGCGGGGGAAGGTCCTTTCGAGGGCTCGGCCTGTATCAGAGCGATTCCTTCTGCTATCCAGATGGGCCGGGACAACCCCCCACAGATCCCTCCATGGGTGGGCTGGAGCATCTGTCTATGTATATCATTCTGAAACCGTTGATGTCAGCAGTGTCTATACATAGGTATGGAAGGCCAAGCTAGGAAATGTCATATGTCATCGCCCTACAATGGCTTCGACTTTGAGGCCTTGATAGTAGACATGAACTATAGTTAGTAGATATCCGATAAATGGAACCTCATCGGCATCATCGCTTCATCGTCGCTCTCTCTTTTCGAGTTTGATGTTCGATCAGAAAGACAGCTGCCGAGATGATGACTAAGGAAGCAACCCAATAGCATCGTATTACTGTACAGCCAATAATAATATTTAAATTATAGTTAGTACGACCTGTTAGTCAATATTGACCAATGATATGTATGTTTATTTAGTAACTAATTAGATGACATAAAAAGTCCGGCCCGAGGTAATGATATCATCACACAGACATCACATCGGCTTTTTAGGAGGCTCACAACGATATTCAACCTAATATCAACAATTGATATCTGGAATCTTCTTCTGATATAGGCTAATAGTAATATATCACCATCTACCAGGCCTAATCCTGTATACCCCACAATGGAAGTCGAAAAACAGGAGCGTACACCCGCCTTAGCCAGCCTACCACCAGAGATTATATCCATGATAGCAAGCTATCTCCCACCGGCTGATGTGGCCTGCATTGCCCTATGTAACCATGCAACTCTTTGCAGGCTTGGTTACAGGGTGTGGGACACATTGGATGCGTTTCCCAGTGACCGGAAAGTGTTTCTAAACCGACTGGCGGCTGACCTCCCGCCGTTCTATTTCTGTCACATTTGCTCCATCCTTCATCCTAGGGACTGCCTTGATCCTCCTGGGCCAACATTCTCTTCCAAACGTCCACTTAATTTTCATGAGGGCACGGTCAGCTCCCTCCGCCCATTCCTCGTGCATCCGCGGTTTCACTCTCTTTATTCTTTCTACCACTACCATTTGCAGCTCGCTATGAAGAGGCACTATTATGGACCAGAGCACGGTATCTCGACGGATTCTCTGTGCTTTACTGAAGTTCATATCGAAAAGGAGACCTCTACCACCTCCTTGTTATCCGTTGAAGCCCGGGTCTGCTCGGGTCCCTGCCTATGCCTGCGGATTCAAACGTGGGCCGCAGTAGAGGCCCGGAGCGTAGACAGGCTCATTCTCAATATCGATTTTGTATATCTCTGTGACAATGTTAGAATGGGACGCCAAAACCCAACAATGCCGTCATTGGTCAGGTCGGCCTTCATTAAATCCAACATTTCTAAATAACGTGGAGTCCTGTTTGAACCAGATGTCTTTAACTGCCAATTTTGTGGTGCTGACTACCAGGTGGAGGTAAGGGCTCTTGACAGAAACAGGCTGGCACTAGTAACTACTAAATGGATAAATCTTGGAGCCGGTCTTGACCCTGATGATATCCGTTGGAAGAAGAACAGCGAGAGACAGTGTTCCCTCGACTCAGATGCTGTAAGATCGTCTAAGGAGACTCTATCTTTGTTTGAGGACTCAGAAGGCCCCTCCCTGGATTCTTTGACCAAGAAGAACGAATCGTACTTATTGAATGATAACTATAGGTACTCCTTGTACCACTGGAAGCTTAGAATGTGGATGATGCAGGGCAGAAAACATTCCTGGTGGCACCATTTCTCTTATAAAGTGGTTGGAATTTTTCTCCAGTTCCTTCTTCTCTGGCCATGGTGGACTGGTGCCGCTGTGCTTTGCCTTTCTGCTTATTGCTATAACGTACTATAGCTCATGATAAATCTTCAATAGGATCCGTTATATTTATCTCTTTATCTTTCTTTCCTGCCCAGCATCTGCCCCTTGACGAGGCGGCCTCCTGCCTATTATGTAGGCGTTGATATTTTTCCATTTTCTCATACCTGAATAGCTCTATGCAATCACATAAGGAGGGGAATATCGACTCATGGGTTGTTCTTTTCCGTTATCAGCTGTGGAAGGTGCTGATAGCACTTATATCTAGATCCAGGCCTAGTGAAGGGACTATTTGTGTTTTAAGGACACGAAGGGATAACTAGCTGGTGACTGGATGCTGGTCACTGTGGTACTCATCCCTCCATCAGTACCTCTGGCTGTCCTGAGGCAAAACGCCATGTCGGAGCCCCTTGACCTGGTTCATTGGTTGGGAAGACTATATCCGTACGTTATATTATTACATAGGTACGAACATCCGATGGTTAGCCAAATACCTGGCAAAATGAGGGTTTCATTAGCAAACCATGGTAACTAGAGGATTCGTAAAGTACAATGTAAGGGCTCTAATTCTAGCAAAATGACATCAACTGCTAGACGAGGTGAGTTCAATGACCATTTTAGGTGCCTATCCTAGAGTTTATACCTTAGGCAGGTAACAAATCACAACTGCAGAATCATGCTTTTATTGTTTACATTGGATACCTTGAACTGTGGTAGCTACTGAGAACACCCGATTGTGGTTAGAGGTAGCCTTAACCTGAAAACTCTGTCCTCGACTATGCCACGCCTCATGCTTAAAGTACTACATTTTCATTACTTTATATATACAGGTATACTTGTAATACAATATCTGACATATTCGGGTTTCCACCACCCTTCTGCGGAAGTTGCAGGTCTCTTAGCAATCAGGACAAAATGCTTCGAACCCAAAGCAATTGGGACGGCCGTTGTAGTTTGCGATTCCCTCATCTGTAATAATGGTTAATTATTAAAAGTATGAAAGTTGATGACTGTTGTCCGGGCTTTTACATACTTAAATCAAGCCAGTCGGTGTCCTTTGAATCACCGGTCGAGGTCGTGCAGGAACACCGAAATTGGTCATCGGGGGTGATTTCGCAACGTTTGCAAGACCCACTGAAATTACCGCTGTAATATTGTTGTTAGCTAGCTACTCACATGAAGCGGCGCTATTGATGGATTCCTTATACTTACTCTTTTCGAAAAACGAGCTTCCCATTATCATTAGCCAAGCAATGATTCAGATCCAAAACGGCCTGATTATGCCCCTTGGGCCCAGAACAAGTCACCCACAGAGTAGCGTCGGAGGAAAGCGCGCCGCCACCACAGGATGCCCCAAAGTTAGGGCGAGTCAGCCAATCTGGAGGTTGAAATGTATTTATATTTCGCGCCAAAACCAGAGATGGCACATTTGCTAGCCAAGCCAAGCTTGGAAGGAGAGCAAGGCCAAACTTCATCTTAACAAGAAAGTGGAAATAGAAAGTAGAGGTCCAGAGTTTCAAATTGGGGAAGCTGATTGTTGGAGAGAATGATGGTTGAATAATTCTTAAGATACAGCGTATGCTGTCACCCTTTATATAGCCATTCTGATATCGAAGCTTAGTCAATGGCATTTGGAGCTGGCCATGATTAATCGCTTGTCCAACACATATCTATTGGTTTTCCCGGGATATCTAGCCACTGAGTCTGTAAGGGGGAGATCGACACTTAGTCAATGGCATTTGAAACTGGCCATGATATTAACGCTTGTCCAACACATATCAATTGGTTTTCCCGGGATATTTAGCCACTGAGTCTGCAAGGTGTAATTTCTCGACCGCCATCAAATCGCTGCCAACACAGCAAGCGTTTGCTGATTTGTCTATTTGCAAACAAAATACTACTGGGATGACCGGAGATTGAATAGGGATGAGACCTGGTTGGTTCCGTTTGTATCCGAGGCATGGGGGCGGAAGAAGGATGTTGATAATGCTGAACCTTGCATTGATGAGAGCAATGGAGGCCTGCTAGCTCAGTCGTTGGCCAATCTGTTGCTTAGGACCTGGATGCAGTCTGTCATTAAGATAACCAAAGGTACTACCATGTACTGGATACTATGACTTGGGGTATAAACGTTGGTCTCCACTCATAACAATTGTCTCAAACTCGGCTTTTGGGATAGGTAGCTCACATGCTTGAGCGTTATATACGTAGATCAAACATGGTTAGTTCTCTCAAGGATGTGCCGCTCCTTGCTCGCCGTTGGACGCGCGCTCGGCGGTTAAGGAGTGGATACCAACAGTGATGTTGCCAAGGCTGTCCGTGCCAGCCAACAGTTACAAGCCACATGGACAGGTACCAAGTAGGTACTCCGTAGTTATTGTTCTATATTAAGAGCTCGCCACCAAGGAGGTGACCAGCTGCTGGGCGGCATGGTGATTGCCGTTCCGCCAGTGTCCCTAGTTCTCTGAGGCAATAGACTGGGACTCTCACTCGTCGTGATGAATGTTAGTCGTCGGCCAAAAAGCGCATATAATGGCAAAGCCTCGTCTTAATCCGACGTATGAAGACGTAGTTAACTAAATCTAACCTACGGAGTATTTATTTATTATCATCCTCGCGGCCCGCAGTTACGTGGGTCTCTATGGAAACCTTTCTCCAACAGTACAACAAACTTAAATCATAACTAACTAACTAGTTACAGAAACCTATGAAATACCTAGGGAGTTACATGTGGTTCCCACATTTTTGACATTAAAGAAATGTAACTAACAAGGGACTGCGACCACACCTCTCTCTGGATCCTTTCCATGGAGCGCCCTGATCCTCCGGTCTCTGTAGTCCGACGATTGAACGGCAGGAATTATCTATCTTTAACTCATCATCTGGCGAACTCGCGCAGCATTATAAGATACGAAGTTTGGGGTCAGGGTCTCGAGCTTCAAGACCGTCCTCAGATTGAGAAGGCCAGGCTGGTAGCTCTCAAAGAGATGGGTATATATCTAGCGGATGCAATCGAGATAACTAAAACATTAACTAATTAGTAATAAAAACAAGTTACGGAATCACAGACAGCTGGCTCCCTACCTCAGGGCTCCTCAATGTAAGGAGACGATCTAGACACCCAACTTAAGAACAGACCATTGGCCCTTAAATAGAAGGAGCCGGTAGGAAGCCCTTGAAGTGACCTTGAATCCATCCGGTACAGATAGTCCAGTTTCCCTAGCGATAGCCTCATCCGCCACTTCTCGTTCTCATTTTCATGACTCTGATAATATCAAGGTTTCGATATATGTTTCCACTGTAGAATTGGTGAGCGAGCGTTGGAATGCTCTTCACGCATCACAGCCCTCACCAATGGTAGTAGATCTATCAGGAATTAGATGCCAGGCATAACTCTGAGGCACTCTCACGATATACTACCAACCTAGGTCGGCAACCCACCATTTATCCCAGGGAAAGCCCTCATCAACTAGCAACCGGCGTCCACCGGGCAATACTTCCACAAAAGCGTCCGCCGGAAACTCTAGCTTCCGAGGCTCGACGTCTCCCAGCAGACCCCTGACACTCCGACCATTGAGCTTCTAGTGTATATTATATAACATCACTGTTGATAAGGGCTTGTATATAGTTATTCGGCTTTAATCGATAGCAGCCATAATGCCGAAAGCCATTGACCTGGTTCTCTACTTGCTTGTCACCAATACTCCGAATTCTAGACGGGTTTCTTTTAAAACGAAAGTGTCTCAAGTTCATTTTCGCTCTTCCTACATAGTGGTTTGCCTTCTCCAAAAAGAGCTTTTAGTCCGACATTAGAAGCTGTGTAGTTATAAGCGTGGCTAGTGTAGATAGATATTAATATTTCTATGGGGATGCACAGAATATCAGCTTCTGGGAATATACCAAACAACAGGCACTGCCACTACTAGAATCTAAATAATACCAGGCTGGTATAATGTCAAACTGGCTATACTACCTGGAAGAAGTGATGTTAAGCAGGCGTCAAAATGTAGAAATGTAGGAGTTTAAGAATGCGCCTAACTAACTAGTTATATTACCCGTTGATATTTTCTCGTATTGAGGCTAGATTCTGGCCTGAACAAACTTTGTCTTCTTGCCGCATCTGGTATCTGCAAGTATGTGATCTCCCTTATACTGTAACCCCCATCCTTGATCCCGGTATGACTTCTCGATTTAAGCAGATATTCTTTGACTCCAAAGGCTTTAAAACCAATTACTTTGGCACTTAATCCCCAATTGATGCCTGTATCTAGAATAAGGCAGATACCATTCCACTGTAGCGGGATCGGAACGTAAATAGATTTACACTCGCATATATCACACAAACAAACGCCCAGGCGCGCTTAAGACGTAACTAATTACTGGATAATCTCAGAAAAACGTCTAGGATGCAGAATATATCTAACCTCAAGATCAAAGTAGGTGTGTACGGATGACCTTAACTTAGTTGACGCCAAGATGATTATCAGCTTAATTCGGCTCAGGGCTGTCTTTATAAGATTGCCGAGCGCCCTCTGGTCTCCCTTCATTGTTACTACTGCTGATATCAAAGCGCTGTTGTCTGCCGCAGTTATTGGAGCCTCATCAATCTCACACTGTAATCGTAAGCTGTTTAGCTGAGAGGTGATCTCGTATAGCGCGAACATGCATTTCCAACATCATTTTCCGCATAATAGGTGGCACAGGGAAGTGGATATGCGAGCTCATGTATCATATGCTTGCCAATTTGCTAACCGGGATTCGATATCTAGGCATACAACAAAACAATCTTCCCTGGTTCATGAAATATATATAAGTAATGCTTCATCTGTAATGCATATGTGCAAATGCTAGCAGGTATCCAACAGTAAAAAGACCGCTGAGCTATAAGAAAACGAAGAGCCGAACGAAGAGTGGAACAGTAGAGGAATAGAAGGAAAAAGTCATGATATCATGCCTCATCAGTAGGCCGCTCTAGCTCATAAAATAATAGATAAACCTCCTTCTGCATGCTCAAGACATCGCTGGTCTTACACTCCCTGATTCTCTCGTCACTGATACGCCACCAACGTTCATTTGGCTTCTTCTTCCACCTAAACCTGGACGATGTTGATGGCCGTGATGAGTCCTGAGAAGGGGTAGGCGCCTTGATTCTTTTGGCGTTGCTTGAATTTCGCTTTGGTGAGAGAAGGTCCCCCGGTAGAGCTGAGTCTATGTGTCGCCTGATAGAAGATGAGGAGGTAGAGGGTGCCCCATCTGGTGCACCTGACTGAGTGTCTGATGTAGACTGTGACTGTGAGTGTGAACGAGGTGGCTGGGGAGATAGATGTGGTGCAGATGTCTGGGTTTGACCAGTTGCCGGCCGGGAGGGTATAGAAGATGTAGTAGTGGCGGTATCTGTAGCGGTGCCTCCTACAGCTGGGAGGGAGGATGTGGATGCGGTGGTAGATGGGGATGGGGAGACGGGAGATATGATTAAGGGTGTGATATCGTCTGTGGCTTGCTTTGAGGCCGAAGAGGATTTCATGCGTGGGCTGGGGAACGTAGATGGATTCTGACTCTGTGACCGGCTTTGAGCGTATGAACGAAAAACATCTGGCGTTGAAAAGGGAGCGTAGACATGGTTCCGTCTGAATGACTCGTAGTGGCCGCTGTTATGGCTTCCCTTGTGGCAGACGATGGCGAGTAGTTTGTACCATTTCTTCTCGAGGATCCCACCCAGGGCCAGACGCTCGGGGAATGAGACCTTGGCTGCATTCTTGGTAGAGAAAGCATGGTCAAATATTGATCTGGAGAGATGGATAGCAATCACCTTGGGGAACACTGTGATTCGCATGTGTTTTGCTATCTTGCGGCGAGGTACTTCTGACGAGCTAGGCATGACGACGCCCTCAGGAACCATTTCAGGGTCGTTTTCAATGGCATCCTTGAGAAGTGCTATTTCGTTATCCAGCAAATCCTGGGTCTTTTGGGACGATGCGCGAGATCTGGCCTTGACTTTCTGCTCAAGGGTATAGACGAGCTCGCATCTCTCGCAGCGGAAATCGTCTATGAATTCTGTCTTCAGCAGTCCATCGAAACAAGAGCTTAGAGTCGCCGAGCTCTTCTGGGGCACCTGCAGAGTCAAGTTGACGAAGGATGTCTGCTTCGGCTTGTATTTATACTTGCAGTGCTGGCACTCAATCTGGGATTCAAGCATTCCTTCGAGAGGGAAGCTATTCTCTAACTCGGCATCGGTATCGGATTCGGCATGGGCGAGCTCTATCATGGGCATGGGCATGGACACGGCAGCACTCGCAACTTCGCCATCGACCTCTTCCTTCGATGGCTCTCCAATTCCGTTGACCGGGGATAAGGGCGTCGAAGCAGCGGCCGCAAGCTTGTTCTGTAACGCTCGCTTCCTCGACCTCTCACCAGCATGATACTCATCACACAGCCGCTCAACCACGACCTGCAAAAACTCCTGCGCATCCTGCTGGTTCCTACTGATCCTCGTGCGGAAAGCAAGTTCCAGAGCAATCACAAAGGCCCTCGCAGATATCGTCTTCTTGTATATCGGCCGCTCATTCAGCCCGTCAAGCATATCCTTCAGCGCCCTCGTAACTGGCGCAAGCTGCAACTTCTGCACCTTCTCTGCATTCTCGCCGGCCCTGAGCTCTTCCGCCGGCGGCAATGCATCGTACACATCAGCGCCTTCGAGGTCTCGCTTATGCAGCTCGCGGATGAGGTATACTCGCAACTCGCCTAGGCCGGCCAGGGCCTGTAGAACAGAGTTGATAAAGCAGTCATTGGCCGGGTTGGACAGGCCAACGATGCCCTTCTTGCGCCCGCTAATGTTGGAGTCTTCGCCGTCAATCGTGAAATTGGGTCCGAACACGTAGAAGAGGGTGATGGCAGCTAGAGACGCCCCAGCAGCGTAGGCTGCTATCGTGGCTGGTTTCTCGGGCATAAAGAGTTTTGGGAGGACGGTTCGGACAGGAAGAGATGCAGGAGACAGGAGAAGTCGTTTCTTTTCTTTTAATCCATCATTCGACAAGGCAAGAAGCGAGCTGTGAGTCCCTCGAGCCCTGGCGCTCGTTCTTCGTTCGTTCGATCTGGCTTCGTCTTCTTCGTTTCTCCCCTGGTTGGCCGTGGAGGAGTTTGTCAGTCGGTCAAGTCAGCTTTTCCCCCGGCTGTTGCTCGGCTGCTGGGTTTGTCGCTCGGATTCTAGCGGAGGCCAGGGCCCATACGAGAGAGCGAGATGGAGATTGATTATGAGAGGCAGACGAGACGCTAGCCAGGAGATCGAGGATAGAGATCTTCGAGAGCGAGAAGAAGAAAATATGCCTGGTTATCGAGCTGAGCAGCAGCTGGTGAGTTTCTCCGTCCGGCCGTGGATGGTTTGGCCTGACTGACTCCGGTGTCGACAGTCACTGCTTCGTCTTCGTCGCTAACAAGATAGCCAGTTGAACAGGCAGACAAGAAGTCAGGAGTAGCTAGTCGAGCAAATAGTTATGCGACTAGTGATTCACCAGTATCCAGGGGCCGGCTATATAAGATGGAAGTCGCTGGGGGTTTGAGCATGGCAGAGACTGTACATATTTATATCAGGACATCTCCTGCCGGCCTGCAAGTGCGAGCAGCCATGCCCAGGGACGGAGTCGAGCATCGTGACTGCTCAGTAACTGACTAACAGCAGAGAGACACCGTAGAGCCAACAAAGCCAGCGTCATCGTCTACGTAGACCTAGTCTCCCCGGTCAGAGATCCAGGCAGAAGTGTTTTGAGTGCGCCGGCAGACAACTATATATATGTACCTAGCCTCGCAGGCATACGTAGCTGACCAGCATCTTGCTAGATAAACTAGTTCCTCCAGTTAATCGGTTAAAGAGATCATTGAACTCGGTAGATGTTAGGACCGTTATGTACATCCAACAGTCTCTCGGGTTCTCAAATAAAAATGAAGTATTCCGTCCATCCATTGCCGACTACCTAGTCAGTTATAACTATTTAGTTAACGCAGCTGGTGTTGGCCCCTTTGCATCTCATCCTGTTTGACCAGACCTCCTGCCTGCATCCGGCGCCGAGAGACGATTAAAACCACAATTCATGATAATAGGAAAAGGAAAGAAAGGTGGACAGATAGATGGCTGGAACATAATTAATCTTATCAGTCAGAAGGGAGGGCGTAAGAGATAGAAAGGTTGGTGCACCGATCCGTGGAGTGCTGCACAGTAGACAGGCTAATAGCTATCTACTGGCATCATATTGAGGCAAGTGACGAGCCATTTCACTTCCGGTGAGCATAAAAATACACCTGCTCCCAACTCCGTCGGAGCTGCGTGGAGTAGGCGTCTTCTTCTTCTGGGATGCTGCTGAGACTCTGCCGGACTTCTTGGGCCGGCCTGGTCCTCTCTTCGCAGCGTCGTTGCCAGCGCTTCCATTGACATTGCCGTTCTCTGTTGCGTCAGCAGCAGGAGCAGTAGTAACAGCAGTGACGGCCTCGTCTGTCTTCTCGACCTTTTGTTTCTTCTCGGCTGGTTCGCTGGACTCTGCCTTGGGCTCTTCATTTTCCTCTTTGGAGTCGGTGGTAGCTGCAGCGGGCTCGGTAGTAGACATGGCAGCATGGTCACGCTTCTGTCCAGTTTCCTTCTCTTCCTTGGAGACCTCAGGTTGCTCTTTGGTCTCTTCTATTGTTTCCTCTTTGGCCTCTCCCTTGGCCTCTTCTTTGGCTTCTTCATCAGCCTTGTCTTCGGCCGGTGCGGCTGGTTTTGTTTCTACCGCCGGCTTCTCGGTAATTTCAGCAGACTCCGGCTTTTCGTCACCATTAGCCGTGGCCTCAGGCTTGTCTGCATCCGTGCTGGTAGAAGTTATCTGTGCATCTGCGACCGGAGCCGAAGCTACAAGATGGCTGTTAGTTCGAAGCTGTAACTACATCTAACTAGCTATAGACCAGCCAATAACTAGCTGGCTGAGGAATAGTTAGGGTATAAAAATGCATACCAATGCTATCGTGGTTCGTCTGGTTAGTCGCAGACGCCTCGACTCCTTCACTCGACATGATCGAGACTGCGCGAGGATGCGCGGCGGTGGTGATGAGGTCGATCGGTAGTTGGTAATGTAACTAGTTCGGTGGATGGCGCACCGACGGGCAATTGGAGCTGTAGCTATACTGCGAGTACACAGACAAGAGCCAGAACGAGCTAGCTAGCTAGATGAGCAGCCAGGACGGAGACGAGCAGGATGAAGATGATAAGCAGGAGGATGGCGAGGGTGCGGATGGAGCGAAGTTGATGTTTGTTGTGTGGCAGGAGACCCAAAGTTGGCCGTTCACTCCTTCATCCCGGATCCATGTTTTTTTCGCCCTCGTCGGTTCAACAAGCTTGCGCTTCTTATTCTTCCCCAGACAAACATACAGGCATAACATAGCATACGGAGTGCATATACATACACAGCGTTCATACCCTGCAGACAGCGAGCCAACGAGCGGACGGCAAATACGAGACACTTCTTACTTGCATGGCCCATGCACTCCACTGCAGCGGCCGCCTGGCGATGTCGAACTCTGGGCCCTCGAGACCATAATCATTACAAGTAAAGTAGCTGGGAAAGTAGCTGGGAGACTGGAGTTGTTTTTATTGTTGGATTTTTTTTAGTTATTATTGATATTTTGGGGTGTTTTGCAGTCGGTTTTTGTATGTTTTATGTATAGGGATACATTAACCCAGTACGGAGTTGGGAGACGCCCAAGCATCAGGCATTATCGAGTAGCTATAAAGAGCTACTTCACATAGAACTTATTAAGGTACTGAGCACCAGGCTTCTCCGAAAGACAGCGGATCGGCAACGAGCTCCAACTTATCGCTGGTGGCGTTGGCTTAGTATATGGCTCGTCTATCGAAGTAGACGACGTCGACGCTGATGCCGACGAGGATGATGACGATGAAGAAGAAGGACTCTGGATGAATGGCCCCAGGGACCTGGCAGCGTTCGAAAGCCCAGAGACGACAGAGGCGTATTTGCCTCTCGTTGCCTAGATAGTGCTATGGTTAGTACACACTACTCCTCCACCTTTTCCTATATTGAAAGATACCAGCTTACACTCCCGTAGGGAGAATCATAGCACAGGGAGAAATATAGAACATCCCCCAGCGCTGTATTCCCCATTAAAGCCCGCATTTCTTCCTGTGAAAGCGAATAAAGCGTGGAGCCTGTCCCCTTGAAGCGAAATGAAACATCCCTGACTCGTTGGCTGGAGACCGGTACCTGCCAGCGAGCTGCTACCCATTCATGTAAGAAGGCATCTACTTCTTCCTGGGAAGCGGAAGGGGTTGGGAACATGGGCGGGCTCGATGATTTGGCCATGGCAGGGTGGCTGGTTGGGGTTGGCTGGCTAAAGGATAACTGGATGTGTTATTGGGTTGATTTATGGATGAATGTAGGCTTGTCGAGGAGACCGGAAGGCTGAGATAACATCTGGCCAGAGACAGCCATGATATGGTTGAGGGAAAGGGAAAGTAGGGGAAAAGGAGACAAGAGAATCCGGTAGAGGTTCTTATATATCATTGTATGAAAGAACACGTAGAAGGCGACATGCGGATGCGATCCTTGGTTCCAAAAAGGCGTGGGAAACGTAAGCTAGCCTAGCCGGCCGGGCTATGACATAAACGAGTTTGTATGGTTGTCTAACCTTGTAAGGTCCAGGTGGTAACTTCTACCTCTTTCTTTTTGTTTCGATACCTTCTCTGGTTGAAGATGTCGGTTTCCTCCAGTTGGTAGGTCGTTGGGTTGAATCGATATGAGGCATGGAGGAGGAGGTATGCTCCGGGCCATCTGTATATCGACGCAGACTTTGTATAGATTGAGCCTTCAAAGGGTACTCTGTACATGTAACAGTAGCCGTATTTAAGCTGAGTGGCAGCATTGCAGTCTTAGTAACAGACTACGGACGGCTTGCCACTGAGGCTGGAGGCATCTAGTCCATGTCCTGTGGAGTTGTCTTGGATGTGTAAAGGAGCCACAGGATAGGTTCTCGTAATAATAGCCCTGGAGATGATGAAATAACGGGACGGGTTGACCACTTGGTCGGGCTAGGAGCCTTGGATAAGCGATTGGAGCAAAGTAGCTCATGTGGGAGGAGCTGTTCATGTAAAGGATAACTTGGAAACAAGGTCACTCGCTGAAATAACTTGGTCACTTTGTTGTTGTTGCTGTAGTTGTTGCTGCTGCTGCTGCTGTTTTTCTGTAAAAGTAGCCTGAGGTGCCGTCTCATCCGGTAAGAGGCCCTTAGTGAAGCTGATAACCTCCGAGGCTGCAGCGTAGCTTTTCTGTTCTAGGCACAACGAAGCTAGCCGGAAAGAAAGATGGAGCAAGCGTTCGATATTATCGCGATCTGACCTTTTATAGCGTCGTATGTATTCGAGTGCGGACCTGACACTAGGCTCAGTCGGGTGATAGACGGGCAAGAAGGCGGCCCAGAGCCGGTTTGGAAGTAAGAGACAAAGGGAGTAGAAAGCGTTGAACAGCTCTGGCCGGATCTTTTCTACAGCTGTGGCATGCTCTGGAGCTGATATCCACTGGGCAAGGTAGTACGCCGTGGGACGGAAAGGGTATGTAGGCACTGCCTGGCTGCCTGGCTCAGCTATCTCGCATCTCCAGGAGGCGTCTGAAGCTCGAATAAAGAAACCAAGCGCATCGTTGATGCCGCCTCTGCCGTACTTGACTTCAGCTGCAGCGTACTCGTACATGATGTTGAACTCGAGGAAGCTCCCGTCGTCGGCGTGTTTGGGTTGCCTGTGGGCCGGGCGGTAGGCCCTGGCAAGCTGCAGCCAGTCCAGCACGGCACGATGGCGACCCTCAGCGGCCAGATAGGGCATGGCCAGCGCCATGGTGTGTCTGTTGCCAAAGAACCGCTTCTTGGACTCGGTATCTGCCGCCAGGAACCAGGCGAGAATGCGTGGACCGCATCCGGACTTCTTCATAGCCCTACGCCCTTCTTCACCAGACAGGCTGCGCAGAGACGACCTGTGGGCCTTGAGACAGTCATGCAGCAGCTGGCTGTCTGCTCTTCCGAAGGCCATGGCATCGTCCAGTGCTCCCAGCGGGTCATCTTGTATCTGCTTGCCGTTCCGTATATCGCGAGCACCCAGCGTCGACGGCATCGTATTGAACAGGGGATGCTCCAGGATCGAGCTTAGATGTTTCTCCGTAGCCGTCGGCTGCGTCCCGATTTTGCTGCCGCCCTTGCTGGCCTCATCTGGCGTAGTGCTGGTGGTGGTGGTGGTGGTGGTGGTGTTTAGCGAACTGACGGGCGGGTGCTTGCTGTCGAGATGCCGCCGGAAGGACGAGGTGAGCAGGTTGAGCAGCTGCTGCGACTCGCGGGAAGTCTTTGGCAGCGGCGGATGGATCTTCCTCGCCAGCGAAGTGAAGTATCTCTTCATCGTCATGGTCCCGTCCTTTTTGTAGATGCCTTGCACTGTCTTGTTCGGTAGTGATTCGGTAGTGATGTCGTCGTCGTCGTCTTTCTGTCAACGTCTCAGGGCGAGTTCAGCATTACCGCCAGCTCTTCCGGCTTCAACGATTCAACGATTCGCTTCCCTCGTATCCTTCTGTCTCTTCGCCCGCGGTCTTGCTGCTGATATCGTCTTTCGTTTGCATCCGCATCTGCAGCTCGCCGTCTCGCTTACGGAAGAAAGCTTCTCCGTGTCCATCGCGAAACTCGCCTCAAAGCAAACGAAATCGTCCAGGCAAAAGAAAGACTCCCAAGTCGCTTTTTCAATATCTCCATTCTTCAGCTTCATCTTCTTTCTTTCTCTTCTACTCACACGCTGCAGTTGCCATTCTGCTCTGAATCCTCCATCTTGCTCCTCTGTCCGCCGCTTGGTTGCGAGAGGTTGTGCTTCGTCTCTGCCCCCAGGCTGATTGTTGGCCGTCGAAAATTCTCCCTCACACGACCTGCAGCATCTCCTGCAGTCCCTCGACTCTCACGCCCCTTCGTGACGCTCTGATCTTCTTTACATCACTCCCTTAGCTATGTCTGAGGTGCAGTCAAGGCCGTCTGCCTCGCGTGGGCGCGGCTCAGCGCGTGGTGGACGGGGTGGCCACATCTCCAGAGCAGGCCGGGGCGGCGCCAGGTCGACAGCGGCAGCGAAGCCTGCTACAGCCAGCCAGGAGGCCGCTGCTGATGCCTCGTACGAAGACGAAGGAGAGATTGGCCAGCTGAAGAAGAAGCACGCCGGCAGCCTGTCGACGATAAAGGAGCTCTTCGCAGACTGGACGGACGAGGACCTGGTTTTTGCCCTCGAGGACGCCAATGGTGACCTGGAGGTGGCCATTGAACGCATCACAGAAGGTTGGCCTTTGTTTGCATTTCCTTGTCCCTCCCATTTGTACGGCTATGCCTGGACGGCCCGTCTCTTACTGACCGTTATCTGATAGGAAACGTCTCCCAGTGGGGTGAGGTAAAGAAAAAGACATCTGATCGCACCCGGCCAAAGGCCTCCTCCAAGGAGGCTACCCAGTCCAGCAGCGGAGACCAGAACATCCCTTCATCAAGACCAGGACGCGGACGCGGAGGATTCGACCCGCGTGGCCGTGGTCGTGGTGACCGTGGACGTGCTAGCCGTGGTGGAAGAGCCGGTTCCCATACCGTTCTCCAACCTTCCCCAGCCAACGGCACTACTTCGAACCCGCCTGCTGCAGACGGTTGGGATTCTAGCCCAGCAGTAGAGCCCCAGGCGGGCGTTGAGACCTCTGCTGCCGAATCCAAGCCTCCTCAGCCGGAATGGAACAACGTCCAGGAGACTCCCAAGGCTGCTGGAGACCAGTCGACCCAGAAGAGCAGTTTGATCCCCGAGGGCTCCAAACGAGGATGGGCCAGTTTGTTTGCGAAGCCAGCTCCGGAACCCGTCAAGGAACCCCCATTGCCCACTGCCCCAAGTGCTCCTGAGAAGCCTGCCGAAGCTCCTGTCGAGCCCAGTATCCCCGAACCTGCTACTACTTCTACTACTACCGCCGCCGCACCTGAACCAGAACCTCTCTCTAATGACCAAGAAGAAGAAGAAGAAGAACATGACGAACCGCCACCACAACCACAACAACCAGCAGCCGTCCCTACGCAACCACAACCTGTACCTGTACCTGTACCAAAACCCGTCGAACAGCCTAGACCCGTAATCCCGCAACAACCACCAGCTCCTCCATCTGTATCTGTCCCTGTCGAACCTGAAGTCCCTGCTCAACCTGACACTGAATCTCCTGCTGATGTCGAAAAGGAATCTGTTCCTCAACAGAAGCAACAGCAACAACCTCAAGCCCGCACCCCCGCTACCTCCTATGCCTATCCAAAGGGTCCCGCAACCAGTGCTGCTCGCGGACCAAACTTCCAACGCCGTGTTATGGAACAGCAAGAAGCTGTTGTCATGCCCGGAAACCACGCCGTTGACCGTGCTGCCGTCCAATTTGGTAGCATGGGCCTAAACGGATCTACTGATGATGTTAACATTGATGAAGAACGAGAAGAACCAGAAACCCGCCCTCAGCCTCCTCAACACTCCCCCGTTGCTCCCCGTGCCTCTCTTCCTCCCTCAACAAGACCTGTTGCCGTACCTGAAACTACCGCCACCGCTCCTCGACCTGCTCCGGGCCTTCCCCCAGCCCCTGTAGCCTCTGCCGACACTCCATTCAACGACTTCTCTCGATACGGTGATGCTCAAAAGCCGTACGATATCTTCAACCAACAGGCTGATCAACAGGCTCAGCAGCCACAGAGCCAGGAACCCTTCTCCAACCAAGGAATCCCATCTCAACCTGCTGCTGTCACCACTGCTGCCGACTACTCTGCCTTCTACGGAGCTGACCAATCCCGCAACCCATACTACTACAGTGCATATGGCCAGCCTCAGGATCCTGCCGCCAGCCAGCGTGCCGGTGCTGGATTCGCAGCCAGCGGCGCCGAGTCACAGCCTCAGGTGCCCGCCTCGCAGCCTCCAGGCCGTTATGCGCATGCTGAAGCTCCTAACAGTGGCCAGAACACTCCCCAGCCCGTCGTTCCGGGCCAGGTGCAGTCTGCCCAGCAGCCATCGCACCACATGCCACAGAGCCAGGGAGCGCATGCTGGATTCAACTACGGTTACCCTTACTACACTAACCCTCACTATCCCAACGCATACATGAACCAGATGACCCAGCATCAGCAACACCAGTATGGCCGCAACCGCCCAATGTACGATGATGCTCGCCGATATGAGGAGCAGCAGCAGCAACAGCAACAACAGCAGCAGCAGCACTATCTCCCTCATCAGTCCCAGTATGCTTACGGCACCCAGTACGCACCTTACGGCAAAGGTGGAATGTACAACCAACAGCCTCAGCAACACGGATTCGGCTATGATTCTACCCCGGCCAACACTGCTGCCTTTAACCAGACCGCGGCTCCTCAGCGTGACTCCGCCACCTACGGACGAGCTGGCTCTGCCCAGCCTGCTGATGGTCAACAGCAACAGTCCACCGGCTCCAATGCATTCAGTGGCATTCCCGATGTCTTTGGTCGAACCCAGTCTGGCTTTGGCCAGAACCAGTCAATCCCTTCCCAACAGCCAACCAACGCTGACGAGACTGGCAGTTCCAAAGCCTATGATTCCTCGAAGACCGGTGGCCCATCCCCATCCGTCTCGCATGTCAACCGCCCTGGCTCTGCGGCTAACAATGCACCACACCAACCTGCCACTACCGGGCAACCCGGCCTTCCCCCCGTCCCCGCCGCCCAGCAAGCCAACCAGCAAGCCTTTGGCGGTTACCCTCACCTCAACCAGCAGTATGGCGGCCTAGGAGGTCTGGGTGCTCACCAAGCCGGTACCTCTCACCAGGCCACAGCTTACAACAACTATGGTGCTGGATTTGGCAGCAACTACTACAACAACAACGGCCGTGGCGGCGGTTGGGGTGGAAACTATGGCCACTAAGCATCATTAAGAAAACCACCGCACAAATTGATCCTTATGCCATGCTATGTCTTTAACTACCTAGGGAAACGTCTGCAACCACAAAAGCAAAAACTACGAAAAAAAAAAAAAACGAAGAGAAACGAAAAGAATGAAAAACGACTTAAATGGAAAAGAAATAACTATGGGCACTGGTGGAACCTTTTTTTACTATTATTTCTGTTTTTTTCCTCTCTTGCTCTCGCACACTTGCATACCTAACTCAACTCCGTACTTGATTCTGCGCTGACTTGACCTGAAACCTTTCACTTATCTCTTTTTGCGATTGGGGAATGGGGAAATGGGATTGTTGCTATTTCTATTACTTTTTATTCCTGTTTCTCTATTTATTATTTTTCTTTGTTACTCTTACGCGATGCCTATAACCGTTTCCTCCGCTTCCTCTCTTACTTTCATCTTCTCTTTGCCATTTTCCTGGGAGCCCTGACTGTGAATGTCTCTTTTCCTCTTCTTCTCTCTTAAACCAATCAAAGGATGTTTCTGTTTTCAAGTTCTACCTGCCTGCATTATGGGCTCCTTTCATTCAAATCAATATTGAGATTGCTTTTCAAGGGTGTTTTGCCAAGGGGATGCAATTTGCGTGCATCCCTACGGACAGACACTTCCATCAGTTCAAAATTGGCTTTGGCTTCTTCCATGCATTCCGGTATGGTACTATGGTACCGCTGGGCTTGTCTACGTGCTTTAATCCTCATTTCTACGCGTTTTTCTTTACCCAGGGGTTCGGCTGCTAATAATTCATCCATCTACCTAATCGACTTGAACGGAACGGAGAACAGGGAAAGAAAGGGGAAGAAAAGAAAGATCAATTCCCAGGCGTCAATCGTTTCATGCAGAGGGAAAGGGAAAGAAAAGGAAAAAGGAAAAGAAATTGTCTTGTGGTATCATTTTGGTATCCCCCTAATTGTCGAGTTGAGTCGTTATATCAGTCAGCTATCAGTGATCAAAACTGTCCTGACTTGTACCATCACCCCCATATGATATCTTGCCCTAATCGCACTGTTGTTGTTTTCATTCGTTTCTCTTGTATCCTGATAACCCTTTAGTTACATGGCTTGCATTCAATTTGCTGCATCTTTAGGCATTGAGAATCGAGAATCAAGTTGACCTTTTCCACACTCTCCGTACAGCACCAGCATTGATAGATGGCATCTCAGCAGCATCGACTCCAAGTCGAGTTCGACTGGCTTACGTCGTCCTCAACAAACCCAGCCTTGTTGTAAATAGACCGCCGATGGGTCCCAGGGATTCAGATTTAACTAACTAGTGTTGCAGATACGAGAATTTTTATCTAGCCACATCGCCAGCCTCAGCCGCATCAAGCGTGTTTGACGCTTACGACAGCAACGTGCGTGGACTTGTTCTTCGGCGTATCTCGATCCTTCGGGGGGAACAGCCCGTTCGACACCCAAGACTCCGTTAGCTAGTCAAACAAGGGCGAAGCTTTCAGCCCTCTGTCGGACAAGGGAGATCTCGAAGGCCACGCCGGATTGGTTCGCATTCCTCGCATCTAGCCCCAGTTGTTAGAAGATTTTTCTTATGTGGGCTTCCAGGGAATCACTGATTCCCGAATTAGAAACGTATTCGTTTATATCAGATTTCATACAGATAGACGGGGCATAATAGATGCTATTATGCTGGATGGGGAAGATGTATATATTCATCTTCATTCCGCCGTGTCGTGGCCTAGAGTTATCTCTAAATACCCGTTCAATCTCCCATATACCTAATCATTAAAGACATTCACAATGTCTCGGTGCGAAGGAATTGATTTCATTCACGACGAGGATGTGGTATGGCAGTACTGTCCAACACTTGCTCCGGCAATTGTCTTTGCAGTTCTCTTCTCCCTTACCACGGGAGCACACATTATACAAGCCTTTGTGTTCAGGAAGGTGAGCAAGCCCATTCAATTGCTATCGCATTGGCGTTGCAAAAATGACTAACTCGCTTTCTTATAGCCGTTCTCATGGGTGCTCCTTGTTGGCGCTGTATGGGAAGCCATTGCCTATGCTCTACGCGCAGCTGGTACAACAGACCTATATCAAAAGGGGTTCGGTGTACCCCATCACGTCCTCGTCGCCCTTGCTCCGCTGTGGATAAACGCATATGTCTACATGGTTCTCGGGCGGATGGTGCACTTTTTTCTCCCTGATAAGAGATGCTTTGGTATCTCGGCCAGGAAATTAACGGTCATTTTCGTTTGTTTGGATGTCCTCGCCTTCCTCACGCAGGGCGGCTCAACTAGTCTTTTGAATTCTGATACTCCAAATACTGTGAGGATTGGAATTAATGTTTGTAAGTTTACCTCTTATATCTGCAAATGTGGTCAATCCTCTAACATAGGTATAGATATGGGAGGCATTGGCCTCCAGGAACTATTCGTCCTGATATTCTTTGGCCTTGCGGTTCGATTTCAGTACAAGATGACCAAGGTCGAACATGCAGAGGGTGCTGGTCGTCCATGGAGGCCCCTTTTGTACACTGTCTATGCGTCACTTGTTATGATCACCGTCAGAATCATCTATCGATTGGTTGAGTACTCAGGAGGCCTTTATTCTGCCCTTGCTAGGAACGAAGCAGTCTTTTACGCCCTCGATGCAACGCCCATGTTCATAGCCTTGTTTGCGCTAAACATTTTCCATCCCGGTAGATTCCTCGTCGGACCTGGAAGTGAGTTTGACAAGAAGCCGAAGAAGGATAAGAAGCGCAGGAACAAGAACAAGTCGAGGAGTGGCAAGTGGATACTGGACGACGATGGTCAGGGGAACTTCGAGGAGTTGACTCTGGATGAACGGGAACGAGGACGGGAGCGGGTATGACTTGTATGATTATCATTTGCTTGATCTCGTGAAATATGTTTGGTACCCTCAATGATGATATATGAAAAAAAAAGACATAAAAGTCTGCTGTCTGTTCATTGTACCGCGCTCTCTCTTCTCTTTCTAATGCTATAATAGAATCAATAGACAGAAAAAACTCATGAGCATAATAATAATAACCCTACAACAGCTCCCGCAGCCATGGAATGCAATTAGAGCAGGGGCAAAACCAATGGGGAAAATAGAAGGCATCGAAGCTTTATTATGCAATGCAAGGGGAGAAAAATAAAGAATGGTTCGTCATGATTCATGTTGAAAGGGGGTCAACCTTCTTAAGGGTAGAATCATTTGGCGGCAGGCGGGCTCACAGCAAGCCCGACTCCCTTCGCGGAATCGGCGTGATAAGGAGACTTTGCATCCTTGGCTCGATCAGAGTTAAATCTCCAGACACCACCGGTCTTGTCGGAATCGATGAAGCTAGATGCTGATGAGCCATCAGTTCCAAAGCCAACCGTCTTTAGTAGCTTTTTGAAAGTGGTGTTTTCTTCATTTTCACCATTGCTGCCGTCTAAATCGATGCGGCTGAAAAACCGTCTTTCCCACTCCCGCTTTTCCTCAACTTCGATCTTCCGGAGCTCTCTTTGCGCATTCTCGATCTTTGATTTAGCTATTGATAGAGCGTCCATGTCTCCCTTTTCAACTGCAGCGGCAACGTCTTTCCATGCCCGTCTGGACTCGTAAATGTCCTGTTCTTCAATAGGAGCAATGGTCAAAGGGGTGGTCTTAGACTTCTTGACTTCGAACTTGTCAATCTCCTTCTTGGTTGAAGCGTCCTTGATGCTGAAGGAATCCGACCACTGGCCATCGACAGTGTATAGGGGGCGCTTTTCGCCTTCACTTTGCTTGTAGAGGATAGCGGAAAAGCTGTTCTTTTTGCCGCTAAGCCAGCCACGGCCAGAGTAGTCAATCTTGGCCATGTATCCTGTAGAACTAGTGATATAAGTGGATTTGTTGAGCTCAACGAAAGGAGTTCCATAGATCAAAGACTCGATGTGCAGCGATGGCAGTGAGATGAGGTACGTCTCTCTTTCAGTGGAGCCGGGGGTCGGGAAGGACAAAAGGGCATGGCCTATTTGCTTCACATTGATGGTATTTGAGAAGGATGCCTTTTGAGCATTATATCCTTGTAGCTATTCATCAGACGATCACACGTTAGCAAACATCATACCAATACTCTGTTTATAGTGAGGTAGCTAACCTGGACACCGTGCTTTTGATTTTCGATAGCGTAAGCAGTAACCGGAGGATGATGGCTATAGCAGGTGACGTTAGCAAAAATGAAAATACTAAGTCCCAGTAATCTCACTGGAGGTATCTGCATACTTCACTTGTTCACTGAACAGCAGTGTATCGCCGACATCTTTATCAGCCCATTTCCCTATATATAGCTCACCCAGAAACGGGTTTAATGGCTTCTTTTCACTCCCTAGCTTCTCGCTTCGACTGCAGTATTGCTGGTGTAAAGTACTGAGGAACCACTTCAAAACCAACATGGCACGTTTCTGAGGGTCCTGCTCGCGTGACGGGGCAACGAGCAGGGCCGGGTGCTCAGCCCAGTACGCAGAGAACTCGACCAGGGAGGTAGACGAAATGATAAACGGAGGCGCTGTAAGGGAAGATAAATCGCCGTTAAATGAAGCAATAGACTAATATATTTCTGTCAGAATAACTGAGCCCCTATATGGGTATTGCAACTGGACAGGCGGGGGAACTCACCTTGAGGAAAGTAGCCCAAGACCCCTTGCTTGACGCAGGAACGCCAGAGCCTACATCCTTTGAAGACGACATGATTCAGTACCGCTGGACAAGACTGCTGTTCTTTTCTGCTGAAACTCGAGGACGAAGATGGAGTCAGAGATGAAATGAACGAGCAAGTCAAAGAAAAGGAACTTTGGCCCCGGATCGTTTTATATCGATGCTTACCTAATTACTCCATGTGGAGCAAAAAAAGAAGAAATCGCAAAAAAAATGGATCTACGTCATAATTTCTTGGCGACTATACCGTATCTGGACTGGGAGGTGATCGGGTCCCTGATGATGTAATCAAGAAAATCCATCTTTTAATGTTGTTCTATTGATAAAGAAAGAATAGGAAGAACGACCAGAGCAGCGACGGTGAAGAAGAATTTTTGACAACGTGATTAATTGAGATAATATAAGCCAGTCCAAGGTTGCCCCAGTAACTCGAGCTCTAGTTGAATGCACAGTTCCTATCATGCAAAAAGATCCCCCAAAGGTAAGAAAAAAAGAAAGGCTATGTTACAAATGGTACGTATTCATGGCTTTTTTAGATCCGTCTCCCGTGTGGACCTCTTGGTGAGCTGCGGCAGTTGTTGCCTGAATCCTATGCGTTTGGACGATAGCCGCCTACGTGGTTCAGTTAGTGGAATTGTGGCTGTGCAGGGAGGATGCAGGGATTCTGTTGTAACATACCATACTGATGGTACTGGTGTGAACCAAGACCAGTTTGTTGTGGTGGTCGAAGCTGCGACACATTCGATGGCAGTTCAATCTGACGGAGGAGATTTACCATCATCTCAGGAGAAAATCTGGTTGCATCGTATGTAGAGGCTGGAGGGATAATGCTTAGAAGGTACACGACATCCCTTGGTAACGGTCCTGCTGAAGGTGGTGGCTGCTGCGGCTGTTTCGCCCTGGCGGCGGTCAGGCCACCACCAGAGCCATTGGACTGGAGTCGTTTCTGCTGCTCGCGTCTTCCGGCAGCCCCTTTCAGCGGGGATTCGGCGCGGATGAATTTTCGCGGCCGGTTTGATTCGTCACCATACTCGTCAAGGGGGAAGGATCGTTTAGGAGAGTGCGTGTTGCTGGTTGGATGGCGGAGAGAAGGTGAGCCGGGCCGGGAACTGGGTTCCTCGAGGGATGCAATGGTTCTAGGCTTTAGCTGGCTTGGTGATAGGATCGGCTGGAAGGTGGTAGGGTCAAAAGACGGGGCGGAAAATCGATGGGCAAACTGCTTCAGAGAAGGATCCTCGGGGAATAGCTCTCTCATCCGAGACTCCAAGTTATTTATCTGTATCAGATCTCCATATCGGGATTCATATTCATGCAAAAAGGCGAAAATGGGCTTTGCCTTCGCAACGTTCTTCGGATTCGAGGCAAGTCTTCGAACAGTGGTTTCAAATACTGCTCGTGCATCTGTAAAATGCAAGTTAGTTGGAAATTGTTTTCATGGACATGAAGGGAAAGCTAACGTACTCGTAATATCATTAATGTCGATTAGGTGTTTTAGATACTCCAAAGCAAACACTTCATCTTCTGGGAAGAGCTTTGCTCCTCTTTCAAAAATTTTGGTTGCAGCAGGGTCCTTGTAACAGTGGTATTCCAATAAGGCACTGGCAATATAAACATCACTGGTGATACGCCCACGCTTACGAGCATCAGCAAATATCTGGCGGGATCCGGCTATCTCACCAGGCTTGCCTTTGCCTTGAATACGGCGCATTGCTCTCATCAACGCAATCCAGACAAAGGAGATGGCCTTGGATAGAACACCGACTTTCGCGGCATAGTCTTTCTTGATCGACTCGATCTCCTTCGCTTTAGTGCTTTCTTGGGTTGGCGGGTTATCTGTTTCGTCTTCATCGTCGTCATTTTCGATCTGGGTGGGCTGCTCAGGTTCTGTTTGTGTAGCTTGTTCCTCAAGCTTGGCAATATCCGTCGCCTCCTGAGCTCGTACCTGTGTTATTAATTCATAAAGTGCATCAAGCAACTTGTCGTAAGGTTCCCTGACTCGGGCACCACGTTTCTTGGGGTCCTGTTCTGAAGCCGTGGATAACTCAAGTCTATCCGCGCGTTTAAAGGCAAGAAGACAACTCTCTGGGTTCGCTTCTATTCCTTGTTTTAAAAAGTCGTTTCCTTCGGTCTCCATGTTGTTCTGGAAACAGAAATCCGCGGTATCAAAAAACACTTCTGGCACAAATCGTAACGCCATAAGTGCTTGCTTATGGACGTAGAGGACTCGTTGTTTGTAGCTAGCCAAGTCTTCTTCCTTGAGAACCAGAGGGTCATCCTTCTCCCACTGTATCCAACGTTTCCAGATTTCAACTTGCTTGGAAAAAGAAAAGTCTCCCTCGTACCCCTGGGCTGGGGGTAGATGGGGGAGTGATGACCTGACAAGATCCTTGGTGATGTTTTGAAGTTCGGTATAAGAGCTTCTCGCCGTCATGTACGAGGGAGATTTATCTTGTATGAATTTGCGTCCCTAAGCTGCTGGTTAGCAGATGCCTAAGAACCCCTATCAGCCTCGAGTATGCTACTTACAGTCAGCTTGTTAAGGCCCATCTCAAACTGATCATACTCTTTCCAAAGAGTATTGACTGCCTGCGTAGGAACACAAATCGCTCGCTGGTAGGCTTTTCTCAGCAGATCCATCTTCTGCTGATCTTGCCAGCCAGAACCTCCAATGTTGCCAGGTCCTGAGCGAAGGAATTGGATATAATCAACCCAAATGTTACCTGAGTCCTTGTCAATACCAATGTGTTGTAGTGCAAGATCATAGGCCGACGTAATAGTGCGCCGTGCATCACCGGTTGAATCGGTGGTCAAGTTATTACGACGACGCACATAATCCAAATACAACGACCATAGTTGAACATTAGGAATAGATAAAAGACATTTTGTAAATATCTGCTCCAGCTTGTACAGTTCGTTATTATCAGACTCCATGGTGGCGTATTCAACCCATTGCTCAGCCTAGTAAAATGTTAGAAATGATTCTTGATACAGTTGCAATGAATGAAGATAAGGCTAGGATAACAACATACAGCTGATGGAAAGACTTTGAAAAACCTCTCATAAACCTGCCGGGCGCTATCAAGCTTGTTTCTGCTGCGGTGTTCGCTAATTAACTCCAGCCATGCATCCGTATCGCCACGAGGATCGGCCTGTATCCTATCCTCCAGGATGCCAACTCGGTCATGCGGCAGACGGGTCCTCGAAACGGCGGCAGCAACTGGCGGCGTCGAAGGTAAAGAGCTGTTGGCGGACTGAATAGCGGATCGTCCTGGGGTTTTTGATTCTCCTTGCATTGGTTTAAGCGTGCTATCGTTTTGCACAGAATGAGCAACTTGGGAATCAGAAGCAGGAAGATTAATGGAAACATGTGGAGTGTTTTGATCTGAGGCAATATTTTGCTGCTGTACATGGAAATGTGAAACAGGTTCATTTATATTTTCAGAAAGAGAGCGCTGAGACATGTCTGCAGAAGTAGATATTGAATCCTGAACTTGAGCTGATAAGGCCGCAGCTGGCGGTTCATACTCTGCGTCCCCTCCATCTTCATCACCTGTTGATCCCTCCTCAAAGACACCAATCTGGGATATTGTGGTAGAGCCTTTGGGCTCTGTTCCAGGCGCGGTAAGCGAAAGGGCCGGATCATTGTTGTTATAGGACTCCCCAGGCAGCCTTTCGGGCAAATTCGCGCCTGGAGCAGGGGTCGAGGTGGAAGAGTTGGCAAAAGGAGACATATGAGGAATCGTAGTGTAATTTGAAGCTGCTATATTTGCAGGAAACTGCTCTTGAATTGTTTCAGAGGGATCATAGTCATCCGAGTCTGAGCCAGCTACGGCATCAGCATCTGTTTTCAAAGCTTCAGACTGCAAATATCCTTGTTCAGCTCCCTCCTCCGCCATTTTTGCTCTCTATTAAATAGCAAACGGGTATTCGGCTGTCCCTTTTATTTTTTTATCCTGTTCTCTATCTGGAGAAGCAGTAAACGGTTCCGTTAGCCAGGTGTGAACAAAGTGGAATATAACCATAAGCGCTCTCTACCGACCTTTAGGAGGTAAAAAATGACACCCTCTCCCGGCTGATAGCGCAAAAGGCGTACACCAACGTAGAAGAAGAGAGTCTACCCGCTTTTCGTGGGAAGTTGGCCTGGTTGTTTTGGTGAAAACTTCAGCAAGCTTGCAAGCGTCTTTTCCAGGTGTTGTTAAGAAAAAGCTCGGAGGTTGTTTCCTTACAGAGTCACGTGATATATGGACAAAGGCGCTTGGGAGGGTGAAAGCCGGCTGAGACCAGGGACAGTGGGCGCAGGACAAAGACACAAAGCAAATCGCAGGCAGTTCACATCTCACTTGGATCTCCTATGATAGCTATCAATAAAGAAGATAATACTAGCTGCCTGTACCACCTCTTCCTTCCATGCGCCACCAATTTTTGTATATCACGTGATATACACCATTCCTTACCTAATCCTTCTGTTACTAAGCAAAACGCGACCTTTTAGTTTTGTTAAATTGATTTTCCGCGTCACGTCGAGGGAAGAAGGAAAGAAAAGAAAACCAGAGCGAGCGATTCCCCACCACAGCACACGCAGCAAGAGCGCAACGAGATACCCTGACCTGGAGAGACAGCAGTCGGCTTCTGTCTTCGAGCTAGCGTGACGGAGCGGTTTACCCCTTTGACTTGACTTGGGATTGTACAATTACAGCGATGTCGGTGGTTTCGTTGCTTGGTGTGCGGGTGGTGAACAACCCGGCCCCCTTTACCGCCCCTTACGAGTTCGAGATCACATTCGAGTGTCTGGAACAACTACAAAAAGGTACGATGATCTCTTTGGAGCGATAATAAACAATACCTTGGGCTGTGTTCTAACTGGTTTCATTTCTAGATCTGGAATGGAAACTGACCTACGTCGGTTCTGCGACTTCGTAAGTCTGAACCTAGAGAAAGGCGACAGTGGGAGAGAAAGCACGTCTGACCGGTTAAGGTCTGAGTATGACCAGGAGCTGGACTCGTTATTAGTTGGCCCAATTCCAGTTGGTGTCAACAAGTTTATATTCGAGGCCGATCCTCCAGACTTAAAGAGAATACCCACATCCGAAATTCTGGGAGTCACAGTCATTCTCCTTACCTGCAGCTACGATGGCAGAGAATTCGTTCGAGTTGGATACTACGTGAATAATGAATACGACTCGGAAGAGTTGAATGCAGAGCCACCCACCAAACCGATAATTGAGAGAGTTGTACGCAATGTACTGGCAAAGAAGCCTCGAGTCACGCGGTTTGCAATCAAATGGTGAGTTTTTGCTGACCTTTTTTTCTTACATCCAATCCTATTTAATGCCTAGTCACTAATACGCTATGGTTGAAAATAGGGATTCTGAGGACTCTGCGCCTGCAGAGTATCCCCCAGACCAACCAGATGTAGACGCCCTTGATGATGACGGAACAGGTTACGGTGCTGAGGAGGTAGAGCTCCAGGCCGCACTTGAGAAGGAGCTGGAAGAGTTGGACAGAGAAGAAGCGAACAATGATGGCATGGAAATTGAGGGCCCTGCCGCCGACGAGGGCAATGCTGATGAAGACGATGATGATGCCGGCAGTGAAGATCTGGAAGAAGAGAGCAGCGAGAGCGAGGACGAGGGCGACGGCGATGAAGATGTCGAAATGGGTGACGGGGACGCCGCCGACAACAACCAGGCTGATCCCAAGGCCGCCGAAGCCCAGCAACACTCCGAAGTCATGGTACACTGACCAAGCATAGATGTATCTATGTTGGCACCGACAGCGATACCAAATTTGATACGGCGAACCATCACATTGGTTACGAATGCATGCTCGTTTAATGATTTGAGAGACGTCTTTCCCTTCCTCTTTTGCACTATATAACTGCTATATCCCATTTTATCGCGCTACCATAAAATATCATGGTCGTTTCCTAGCTCTAATCTCAATGTGGATGTTCATATAGCGTTAGAGATGAAAGAAACAATTATCAACCCAACAGCCGAGTTTTTGGTAATGCATGCAGTAATACGCGGTGCCTAGTTAGTTTCTATCACGACCGAAGGGGCGGCTTGAGGCTAGTAGAGCCGAGGCACGAAGGAGGGGCGCGCCACTTGAAAGAGAACCATCATTTGCAGGCAACTTATTTTACATATACTTACAACATTTTGGCTTGTATAATTTTATTGCCGCTAGGAACTAATACAAAATCTAACTGGAGCCGGGAGGGTACTTTTATTTGACAAGTTCTATCCTATATTCACTTTGGGGTTCTCTCACACGCTATGGCTGACACAAATACGCCCGCGCCGGCAGAGAAAGAAGCCAAACTGGTCGCTGAAGCCCAGCCATCAAAGCCCGAGGAAGTCACAAAAAAGCCGCCTACACAGGGGGAAGAGGAAGAATCAGACTGGGAAGAGCTTGACGGTAAGCGCGTCTGTTTATATGCTTGATTGGCTACATTTATAAATTTGGAGTATTCGGTGGTGCTGACCATTTGGTAGATGTGCTGGATGACTTCTCTGCGGCAAAGAATACCTCCCAACCTACACAAGATAAAACAATACCGGAGTCTCAGGGGAAACAAGCGGATTTAAATCCAGAACTATCAACCGCTGACCAGGATGCGCTATTAAAACAACTAGAGGCTGGGATGGCTGAATTGATGGGCAATCTCCCCACAGATGCGAGCGGGCAGACCAAAGATGGAGACTCTTCAAAGGAGAAGATAAGCGATATACCAGGGATGCCGCAATTTCCAGGAAACGAAGACTGGAATGCGCTTACTGAAGAGCTGGAGAAGAAAGGGTTTACAATGGCAGATGTGATGAAGCTTATGATGGGCGAAGAGTTGATGACAGGCGGTGAAGGCATCCCTGGGATAGACGGTTCAACAGATACAGGTAAACCATCAAGCACGGAAAAGCAGCCATCACCACCCTCGACGAAGAAGGGAGAGGATAACTTCCAAGACACGATTCAGAAGACGATGGAACGAATGCAAGAGTCGGGTGACAAAGCTACTGCCGAAGTCAACGAAAGCGGAAATGATGATATGTTGATGCAGATTCTCAAGGCAATGGAAAGCAGTGGCTTTGCTGGCGCTGGCGAAGGGGACGATGGGAACCTAGACAAGCTTTTCATGGGGATCATGGAACAATTGTCAAATAAGGAAATGTTGTATGAGCCTTTGAAGGAGCTTGATGACAAGTTTGGCCCTTGGTTGAAAGAGAACAAGGATAAGGCAGGGAAGGAAGACCTGGAGAGATATGAATTGCAGGCTTCTTTGGTATCCGATATCGTCAAGAAGTTTGAAGAGAAGAATTTCTCAGATGATAAACCCGAGGACAGAGCTTATATCTGGGATAAGATGCAAAAGGTACGTAGAACCGTTATTGTTGTAGCTGCATACCGTTCTAACATATTCTCTAGATGCAATCCGCTGGAAGCCCTCCAGACGATCTCATATCAGGTCCATTTATGGACGAATCCAAACTCCAGGCACTTGGTCAAGACGGGTGCGCGCAGCAATGATTATAATACCCCCCTTCCCAGTAGTGTCCATTTGTGCTACATTTTGCCCTCATATATCCAAATCCGTCAGTGTACTGTACATAAAATTAAACCCCCTCGTCAGCGATCACCATGGTTTATTTCCCAAGGTTGTAGGAAATGGGATAAGACAGTAGCTGCCCGTTTCGACACGCATTTTCAAACAATAGCTTTGATACATGTGAATGTTGCAAAGCTAAGTCTAGATATGTCACCGAAAACCAAGAAGGAATCTGCGTCCATCTTGAACGTAGGAGGTTCGGTATATGAATATAACCACAGGATATGGATGGCCATAATCCCACAAACATATCATGACAACAGAAAGCGCTTCAGGCCCGTTGGTAACTTGGACCGAGGGCACACTACCATTACCGCGACAGCGCCAATCCGAAATGAACAAAGGAAAATTTCCGTGGATATCAAAAATTGCTTCAAGAACCCGACATGTCCATCTGATGCTGAGATTGGGACTCAATCTGATCAATTAGATCAACTAAAAGCCCATCTTCTTCCATGTCACCGTAGAGGATATCACTATTTAGTGGCGCTTCAGCAGTATTGCTATCCGGCATATCTTCAACTAGTCCCATGTATTCATTCTCCTCCTGGGCGATGAAATCTTCCAGGAGTGACTCGTCGATATCTACATAAATAAATTAGACTTGTGTCAAAGGAGAATCGTAAGGAGCACCGTAGTCTCACCTTCATCTTGCCCATGAAGATAAATGTCTACATCTTCATCACCTTCGTCCTCTTCTATATTATCAAGTTGAGGTCCTGACCTCGCCATCTCCTCCTCAAATTGTTTCCTCTGCTCCAAGAAATCACTTCTCTGAATCTGGTCACTCCGCGCCTCAAATTGATCTGATTGACGGCTGCGTTTGACTTTGTTCAGAAAGGTATCTCGCCGAGACTCTCTGGATTGCCGCTCCGCCACCCGCGCAGCAGGACGGGCTATAGTTGCCGCATATCGTCGAGCAAAACGTGAATTGGATGCTGACTGTAGGGAGCCAGGACCCGGCGGAGAGGATAGGGAGAACGTGAAGGGAGTCGAGTCGAGCTGATTTGTACTTGAATGGCTTCTACTGTCTGGTGATAGGGGAGTATTCTGGTCCGACATAGGGCATGCAGGTGTGGTGCCGAATTGACAAAAAGGCTGGGGAATGGCTGGTTGTGAGAAGGCGAACATGTTGCAGCTTAAATAAAATTTCACTCTGTCATAGGCGGAAATTAAAAAAAAGAGGCCTGCAGAGAAGTATTTTCATGTACTTGTAGTATTCTAATAAAAAAGAAGATGATAAGTGGTAGCTGAATGCTGCTGGGCTTTGGCGTCTTTAATATTAGACGTTCTGACGCGCTCTTCCCATTTTCCATTTCGCGTCCTTATCAGATGGGCGATAAGTGTAACACGTGACTGATTAGTACATTTATATTACGTAATATGACGACATCGGTGCCAAAGATGCAATTATTGATATCATTTGATTACATCTATTAATTGAGCTCCGTGAATGGACGATAAGCTTATAGGGCTGGCAAAGGTTCATTCTCCAGCAGCTATATCAGTGTCAGTGATATATCTGAAGCCAAGCAATCGCCCTGGTAAACCCTGTCGGCTTCAATGGCGGGTTTGTAGTACGCTCTGGGAATTGGGAGTGTAAGGTCCTCACTTAGGGTAAGAGAGCATCCAGTGGCTTGGGGAAATAGTCCAGATCAAGCGATAGAAAGCTATTTTCTCGTCTGATCCCGTTGTAGCGTGGACGCCCTGGCTTTCATCCAGCAATCAGCCGGGGAGTTATACTATATGGAAGAACAGTTACCCATGAGGTCAGACATCATCCAACTCATCATCATCCAGAACAAGTCTTTCGAGCTTCTCGTCGCTAGCCCAGTCGACTCCACTGGCAGCGATAGAAGCACTGACTATGCGCTTCATGCGCGTCCACTGTGCCTTTTTCTGCTTGTTCTCGGATATTAAGCTATTTAGTTCCTCTTTCAGCTCCTGGTCAGGTATCTCCTCATCTGCCGACTTCTCATTCCTAGTAAGTTTAAGCAGAGATTGAACCAGCTCCTGATTCTGCTTGATGCTTTGGATATTGGAGACTTCGGCATTTGATAGTTCTCGGATACAGGTAGTATGTGTTGTCAAGATATTCTCATAGGCGAGTGATAGAATATCTCGCTTGTTGATGAGCTGAAGAAGGGCCCTATCAGATCCGTAAGCTAAATGAAGTTTCTAGGTAGAAAGGGCAGCCAGACTTGTCAAGCGGTGATGAAGGCGCTGAGTGAACTGCTTGTAGGCTAGGCTCAGTCATGAGGACACTTTCTACCACCTTTCTCTGGACTGAGAGCCTTGCCCTGACTTCGAGTAGTTCGCGCTCTGCCTCTGCCAGTTTCGCGTCAACGTCATCCACTTCCGTATCTTCAGGGAGCTCTGCGCGATTAACCCATTAGTATCTGTACTCAGGTAGAGCGATATTAGTCACAAGCAAGCGTACGGTGGTTCAGCAGTGCTTCTTCCAGCTTCTGCTCGAAGATACGGTCGTAGAGCTCTAAGATCTCTGTTTCTTTCTGGGAGAATGAGAAGCTGTCCGCAGTTTCATCTTGAGTCGCAATGTTCAAAAGAGCCCTTGTCGGCGCCTCCAAGCTCGCCATCCCGTCTTTGTTACTCTGAGCCATGGACTCTTCACCTCTGTTTCATCTTATCCGAAGAGTAAATAATAAAACTGAGCTCTTGATTGATCTCACCAGCGCGGTTCTTGTCTCAGCTAGCTGACCGACTTGAACCACCGCCTCATCACGTGGAAGAAGGCGACGGGAACTGCGATGCTCAAATCCAACGTCACCTTGACCGTCAACTTCAGCTTCTTCTTCCTCCTCGTCGTTATTGAACCTTTTTAAGACTTCTTCCTGACCGTGTGAGATCGCGTGAAAGCTTACGGCGGGTTTAAATAGACCTGACCAGCCTTGTGGTTGTTTCTGTGGGTCAACTGACATGCGCTAGAACGGGGCGATCGTGATTCCGCTCCCCAGGCACCTGAAGAAGTTCCATGCGAGCGCCAGCCAACAAACGTCTTGAAGTGCCGAACAACCCAACCAGCAGATCGGTACCGGAGCTTCTCTGCAGGCACACACGCTATCCGTTGTGATAGGATAAATCACAAGGCATCGAGTGGGCTGTCGATGTCGCGTGTCTTGACGATGCGAGCTTCTATTAATTTACTATAGGAGCCCTCTGCGTCCCAAGAAGACCCAACGCCTTGCGCAGAGACTGTACCTGGCCATGTCGTTACACATATACATAGCTCACAGTGGTGAGCAGATGCTGGCAGACCCAGTCTCTTTTGCTTCGTGGGTGTACCCCCCGCCTCCCTGGCCCAAACGGCAGCTAACAGTCAGGCAACCAGGCCAGATGCACTGCGCTCATGGATATCTCGGCATACGCAAATCCCCGTACAGCGGCAGATATTGATGACTGCAAAGGGGAAGAGTGTTAAGACTCAGAGCCTGGCTACAGAGGTGAGTCTCCCCTTCTTGGTTCCCTACAGTCCGTGCTAACTACAATAGAACGAGATCTTTGTATACGACAGGCAGAACGTGAGCGAACAGGCAAGCAACAGCACACCAGAAGAACCGTCACCGCCGTTATTCAAGTCGCAAGACCCTCCCGATGTCCTAGCAGACCGAAACAGCCTCCAGTCATGGAAGGATCTCTTCATGGCCCGCCGGTCATGGGCCCTCAATCTGGCCGCGCATTGCAACAGCATGGCCAAGTCGGTCGACGATTACCATATACGGATAGAGGTTATTCAGCGTGGCGTTGCTGTGGCCCTTGAGAACCTGAAAGCTCACGTCGGAAACTTGGAGCACAAGTTTCAGGATACACACCATTGGGCCAATGATCTTGTAAAAGATCAGCGGTCTGCACTCAAAGACTGGCAGCAAGCTTACAGCACCCTTGGTGAGATTCCTGCTAAGAGTGATTTCACATTTCTGCGACGGACGGCACAAAAGAAGTCAAAGGAACATCGTACGGGGACGCTACAGGACTATATCGAAGCGGAAGAATTACACAATGCCGTATCAGACGTTACTTCGCAATCCCAACGCTTTGCCCGACGTGTTGGTGACCTTGAGAAAGAAGTCCGTGACATTTCTTCCCAAGCAGGCTCATTAGGCAATGCTACGTCTAACAGTTCTGCCGACACTGTGGAACAGGCGCTCCTGGGAGAAATTGAAAAACATGCCAAGAAGATCACTGCGGATTACACATCCGTATTGTCTCTACCAAATGACCCTGGATCAATATCAAGTGCTTCTAAAGTAGCTCTGGTGCACACGAAAAAGATCCTTCCAAAGATGAGGGACTTGAGTCTCAGCTTGCGAGACACGCTAAATGCTGCCGCCAAGGGCCTTCACACGGCAATGAAGGATTCGTCAGGACAAATGCAAAAGATATCGTCTATAGAGCTGCGGTTAGCAAAGGTGCAGGCCGATATAGCAGAATTACAGGTTGAAACCGATGCATTTGACGTGCTGTGCCTTGTTTACCATCTGCCATCTATCTATGGTTCCATCCTGATTGAATCGGCTCGCCGCTATGAATGGACCGACAAGATAAAAACTGACTCTAGGGATATTGCGGAGGAACTAGCTATTTTCCGTGATGAGGAGCAGCGCAGAAGGAGAAAATGGGCAAAGCGCATGGGTGATTTTCTTAATTTAGCAGATGACAATGCTCCCTCTGTCGAAGTTAACATGCAGACTGCAAAGGATACTAGCTGGCCAGAGGTCTCTCGGACAGATATTGAGGAGTACATCGATCTGATTAGGAAGAAAGTGGATATGGATGACGCCGTTCAGGAATTGACGCAACTCTTTAAAGAACTGGATACCCCTAGCAGACAACAAAGACGGAGAACCAAAGCTTTCAAACAGGGAAGTCTATTTGAAATGGGTCGTAGCTCGTTCCTGTTACGCGACAATGATGTTGTTCGCAGCCTTCAGGAGGAAAAGTCCAAGATTGAGGAGAGATTGAAAGGCTCAGAAAGTCGTGTCCGGAGGTTAGAAGATCTTCTCCATCGCCAGAGCCATATTTCTCGCCCTGTCAGTGGGCAATTTGGACCAGATATACCTACGTCTCCCGCCTCCCCGCGGCTGGAGAATGCCCGTCTCGAAAACGCATCTAGAAGGTCTTCCATGTCCTCCAGGCGCATGTCGTCAAATCAACCTCAAGATGACAAGGCATTGATACAGCGTATTGTTGCGTTGGAAGCCGAGCTCGCTGTTGAACGTGATGCAATAACTAAAATGCAGCGAGAAACTAGCCTTGAGCGCCAGTCCAACGTCGACAAAATCGAGGAAGCTGAGCTTACCAAAAAGGATCTGATGAGAAATCTCGAAGCTAAGCAACGTGAATTTGAAGAAGAGCGGAGATTTTTGGAGTCAGAAAGCTCCAAATTCAAATCTAGGATTGACGAGCTTGAAGACGAACTGGATAGGGTTCTGGACTCTCATGACCATGAAAGACACGAGTTTGATGAAAAGATTGACTCACTTTACAAGGAACTTGAAACAGTCAGAGGGAAAGACAAAGAGGACGCCACTATGCAAGCCCGCCTTTCCGAGTTGGCCGACCAAAAGAAGGAACTCGAAGAGCAGCTTCAATCAACCCACAAGGAGCAAAAAGATCTAGTACAAGGCTTGCAATCCGCTTATCATAATGCTTCCAACTCTACGCCGCCGAATAACATAAGAGAACTCGTTGATGCCCTTTGTGTTGTTGTTGAAGGCTTAGCTATCCATTCGAAGGGCTCTGATGAAGCCTTAGCACGACTTGGAGAGGAAAATGACGAGATGAGCCAAAAAGTTGCTCAGTCCGAACAAGAAGCGAAGTCTGCAAGAGAAATTCTCGAGTCAGAGAAAGCAAACATACCCGGCCTTGAGAATAAGCTCAAAGATGCCAGTATTGAGCTTGAGAAAGCAAATGAAAGACTAAAGACGGAACAAGATAAGGTGGAATCGCTGAAGTCCGAGTTGGACTCTGAGAAGAACAAAACGCAGGCATCCGATAAGCGTGTTATGGAAGCAGAACGACAGGTCCTCGAGCTAAATGATCAAATAAAGCGCATGGAAGAAGACAAAAACTCAATTTCAGCAGAACTCTCGGAATGGAAACAGAGAGCTGAAGATGTCCACACAGATGGCAAGGCCTCCAGCTCGTGGTTCGATGCTAGAGGTACTCGTGCTGGCGATATGTCAGTAAAAGTCCATATACTTGTGGAACAACTGTCTCGCATCTTAGAGGAGCTCGGGTTTACGATTGTCTCCCAAAACAATTCGTTGACAATTCAGCGAACATCCAGGGTAATGAATGGTCTTTCTGTGGGGGAGAGCATGTCGTCTTCAACCTTGGTAGGCACCATCGCAGCACCAGATCATGTCCATTGGGCAAAAGCAGGAAATGAAAATGACGAATCGTCTCAATTCGCTTCGTTTATGGCAGCCATTGACCGGATGGATATATCCGCCTGCGGCGACGCAGTGATCAAAAGGGTCAAAGATATTGAAATTTTGGCCCGGAAATGGCAAAAGGAGGCCCGTGGATGCCGTGAAAAATATCACCGTGTCCAAAACGAAGCCCATGATAAGATCGCCTACCGATCTTTCAAAGAGGGAGACCTTGCACTCTTCCTTCCCACTCGCAACCAAGAAATTCGGTCATGGGCCGCCTTCAATGTGGGAGCACCTCACTATTTCCTTCGGGAACAAGAGGTTCATAAACTCCATACGCGGGATTGGCTCCTTGCTCGAATCACCAAGGTGCAGGAGAGGGTAGTCGACCTTTCGAAATCCATGAACGGGACAAATCAAGACCGTCTTTCAACGGGAGGAAATGATGGTGCATCCATTGAAGACGACAATCCTTTTGAGCTTTCGGATGGCTTACGATGGTACCTCCTAGATGCATCAGAGGAGAAACCACGAGCTCCCAGCACTCCAGGCCTCGGGAAGAGTACAGTTGCTTCTGCACACGTGGATGCAAAGGGGAGTATCCGGCTGAAACGAACGACTTATGGCGGAGGAGCTACTAAAACCCTATCAAAGAGCTTGGATAGCAGACGAAACAGTTCGGCATCAAGAAATGGGGCACCTATACCTACGCTTCAGCCAGCAACAACAAGTGAAACCGTAGTGCCATCAGACGTTGACCAAGGTGCGGAGAGCCGCAGGGAGGAGGCACAAATATTTAACGAGGTTCGCAGAGATCTGTTATCAGGTCCCTCACATGAATCAAGATAGATAAGAATGGCCTTTTCCTCTAATGAGGAAGGCAGTTCGTTTCGTCAGGAAACTGATTGTTATTCTTTCTTGCCGAAACATAGGTCAATAGTGGTCAAAGCCCAAATCCAGCAGCTGGTTCCCCTACAGCCACGGTCAGAAGTAAACCTAGTTTTCTTTCTGGTGCGAGTTCATCGCCATCGAGGTCCTCACCTTCGAAGCCACGGCCATGGGAGAGATTATTCTCGCTTGATTATCGATCAGATGCTTTCTCTTAGGGATTACATTGCCACATTCCAATACTCCCAATATGGTGTGAGTGCTCTTCCCCCTTTTGTGTAAGAATATTACCAGCTGACCATTTTCCTAGGCCTGAAATTTTTCACACCTTGATTTCCTTTCAATCTTAACCGCTTTTGCATCGCGCTTGTACCAATAGACCTTATACTGACTCCCGCATATACCCATGGTTGCCCTACGCATCTCACATACAACCGGTGTTTGAGCGTCTTTATGATGATACCCACCCTCTTGATACTTATTGTTGGATCTATCCTATTATTTATGTGCCTTTGGAGGGTTAAAAGAATACGTTAAATTTACTGGTTTTCTTACTGTTTGCTTTTCACTGCCTTAATTTCCCCTTATCCCTTTACTGTATTCTGAGTATTGCGGATGATAATCAATGCCTAGTATATTGTCTATACGTGAATAATGTATCTACTCACTTTGGTTATGTCTCACACCTAATACGCATCAATACTCGATATGTCAAATAAATGGCGCATTGTGAGGAAGTTTTGGCCCGCTCTAATTGACCAAAAGCAAAAAAAAAGGCGCATACCTTCCCAGTCTTTACATAGCACCTATCTAAAACCGGAAAGGCCTGTTTTCGTAGCTAGGGCGGTAGGGTATTTTTTAGCAGGCCTATTCACACCTATACTATTTATCTGTCCTTATACTAGGTGTGGCAAGGGCATCTAGTGAGGTAAAGACATTGATATATGGAAATATAAGATAAATCATGTATACCAAGACACTCTATGCATTAAGTATTAGGTCAAAGGGAAATATGTAACTGGTATCCTTGTATCTGGACCGGTCAATAGATGTAGGTATAAAACTCGTTGATTATGCAAACCGGTGCGCTTCTGGGTATCATAAATAGAATTAAAGTACGTTCAAAATATAATCCATTAATCTGCTGCATTTCCCTCGGAGTCTTTGGAAGTTTCTCCGGAAGGTAAAAGAGTCTCTAGGCCGCCCAAAAACTTATCGGCCCTCTTTTTAGCTCTAAGCTCTTCGATCTTCTTTCTCCTTTCTTGCTTCGCTTTCTCTCTCGCCTCTTTCTTCATAGCTGCCTGATCCCTCTCAAGCGTCGTTTCGCTTCTGGAAGCCATAAGTTCCTCCATTTCCTTCTTTCGTATTTCTTCATCTTGTGAAAATGCATAGAATCCAGTTCCACGGGTTCTAACTTCTCCTTCGGCATTGTAGTGCGTTTCAGGCGGCGGTGTAGGGCTCTTATCTCGTTTCTTTGCAAGATTCGACATTTGAGCTGTGACATTTTCATCCGGGTTGAATGCTGCAGCTTGAATAGCTGAGCCGTATATGACGTTTGAAGGACGAGACGGGCGAGCAGCTACTGGGACACGGCTTGGTTTGATACTCCGCTCAATCGCTTCGTCGTCCAGGTCAGATCGCTCCTGCTGGGCTTGTCGGTTCTGTTGAGCCTCTGCCGCCTCTGCCTTTGTGCCTGTTCTTGTCCGGCCAAATTCGTCTTCATATTCAACGAATGTATTTTCGTCGTCTACTGCGTCCTTGGTATCTGTTTTCGATGCTCTGCTCTCCGCCCATTTCCTATCAAAGTTAACAAGGCTATGCTTATCCGCTCGCCGTACAGATGAAAATCGATCGTCGGGCTGCTCTGCCTCATCGCTATCACTGTCTCCCTGGGCCAGGTATTCTCCTTGCTGAAGCTCATCATATAATCTTGTCTTCTCTAGCATTTTTCTCTTGGACCGGTTAAGAACTGCGTCGTCGACCTCGCCGATATCTACGCCTCGTTTATGGATCTGGAGTGCCGCATTATCGCTGGATATATCAGCTGCTGCTCGTTTTTCTGCACCTTTATTGTGTACGGAGAATATATCTGGTTTTTGAGATTTTCTGGCTCGGCCACGAGAAACAGTCGAACTCGATGCACTCTCAACACTGGAACTGGGAGCTTTAGATTCCTTTGCTATTAGTGAGGAAAGATGGGTAGTGAAGGCGAGCGTAGAGGAGGACGCGAGATCTTTCTTGGATGCTTCCGATTTCTGTCGACGTATGCCATATAATGATTGTGACGAAGACATGATTACGTCTTATATATCAGGGGAATAGGAATATGGATATTACTCTTATAAGAAAGCTGATGATGGAAGTTGAAGAAGTCAAAAGAGCCGAAGCTCAAATAAAGTTCATTAACTAAGCATTGCCAAGCTTTCTTATCTTATCTTGATCACATCACCGAAGGCCGAAAGCACGAGCCCCTCCGAGGGGAAAACTCACAAAAACAACAACGAAAACAGTCATTTCTTCCTTAAGTTTACCTACCATATCAGCAGACAACAGAATTCGTCTTCATCTCTAATTATGTCGGCCAAAGCAATTTACATTGGTGTCGTTGGTAAGCCGGCGTTATGGACACTTCAATACTTTTATATCTAATCTTACTCACCATTGTATGACTTATATAGGTGTTGGTGGCGTTGGAAGCCACTTTCTCTCACAGCTATCCAAGCTACCAAATGCACCATCCCTTGTCCTCATTGCCCGATCTTCACAGACGCTCACTTCTCCAGCGCCTTCATACCCAGCCATTCCCCCGGCAGACTGGCAGTCGGCCTTCTCCTCTAGCTCATTCACCAAATCCGAAGCCTGGTCTCCAGAACAGATAGCCACCTATCTCTCCGGAGTGCCAGGACGAGCAATCCTAGTCGACAACACATCTGATCCCACCATTGCCAATTCCTACCCCCTCTTCACTAGCAAGGGCATCAGCATCGTCACGCCTAACAAGAAGGCGTTCTCATCCTCCTTGAAGCTATGGAAGGATATATTCTCGACTGCTGCTGCCAGTAATGCATTGGTTTACCATGAAAGCACCGTGGGCGCCGGATTGCCTGTTCTTTCAACCCTGCGTGATCTAGTCAACACCGGCGACAAAGTGACTCGTATCGAAGGTGTCTTTTCAGGAACTTTGTCCTTCCTATTCAACCAATTCTCTGCAGCTTCTCCCGCGGCGGCTGGCGAGAAGAAGAAATGGAGCGAAGTTGTTAGTAAGGCCAAGGAGCTGGGATATACCGAGCCTGACCCCCGAGACGACTTAAACGGAATGGATGTTGCGCGTAAATTGACTATTCTGGCTCGAATTGCTGGATTGGAAGTCGAGAGCCCAGAGTCGTTCCCCATCGAGAGCTTGATTCCAGCTGAGCTCGCGAGCCTGGAAGCCGGTCCTAAGGGGACCGAAGAGTTTATGCGTCGCCTGCCTGACTTTGATGGAAAGATGGAGGATCTTCAAAAGGATGCGGAAGCTTCTGGGAAGGTGCTGCGATATGTGGGTAGCATTGATGTTCCCGGGAAGGAAGTCAAGGTTGGCTTGCAAAGCTTCGATAAGGATAGTGCCATGGCGGGGCTCAAGGGGAGCGACAACATTATCAGCTTCTACACAGAACGATACGGCAAACTCCCACTTATTGTCCAGGGTGGCGGTGCTGGCGGAGCCGTTACTGCTATGGGAGTCATGTCTGATTTGATTAAAGTACTTGAGAGACTGAGATAGGGGTAGGGTAGAGAGACGCCGGACAGTCAACAAGTTACAGCGGTCTTCTTTTGACCATCAGCTTTGCTTCCGGATCACACAGCATCTCGAACCCTACTTCGACAATCTTTGGCTCGCGGTCTCCTGCTATTTTCACATCGTAGTTTAGCAATATATTTGCCAATGCGACTTTGAGCTCGTTTGCAGCAAAAAATCTACCAGGACAAATCGGCTTCCCAACGCCGAATGCAAAATGGTCTTGACTTGTGGATACCAAAGCCGCGGCTCCATTTCCATCTTGTCGTAGCCGAAGGAACCTATATCCATCGTAAACAGCTGGGTTTGGATAGATTTCCGGATCCCACATCGCGGAAGAATCAACAGCGACGTTGGTTCCTTTGGATAACTTCATCCCGCTGGGGAGAATGACGTCCCGAAGAGCTTTGCGTTCAAGGTTGACTTTCACCGGTATATCATTAGAAACCATGTCCCGTCAATCAAACAGGTGTGGTTATCAGGGACAAAGAAAACGCAAGCCTTACCTAGCATACCGGGTTTCAGCCGCTGACTCTCTTTAATGACACTGTCAAGGATCTGCATCTTGAACAATCCAGCTGTCGTCCATCCATGCTGGCTCACCGCCTCCTCGACTTCATCCCGAATAGGCTGCACAAGGTCTAGATGCATGCATATGTCTAACAAGGTCTGCTTTAGCAGCTCAGTCGTGGTATGCAATGCAGCAACTGCAAACGCCAGCTGTGCCGCAGCTTGGTCAAACGGTCGTCCTGCAGCAACATCCACAAGCCACTGGAAGGTATCATCGGAGCCTGTGCGCTTCTGGATGATTGGATGTAGTATCTTCCGTGCCTGACGGACCTGCGCTTGGCATTTTCTGCACTCGGGGAGCAGCCAGCGGGCTAGGGGGTGGAGGAAAGAAGGGTATGAGCGTAGTGCTCTGACGCTCATGAAGGTGTTGATGGTGTATGTTATGATGAGGTTCTGCCATTCCGGGTTTCGAGATAGATCAGACCCAGAGAAGATAGCAGAGGACATTCGGGCAACGAACTTGACTGCGTTCTGGGACCAGTCAACGGTATGCCAGTCTAAGAGAAACGGTAAGCAGATGTAGTTGAGTTGGTACGTACGGAGTAAATAGGGGCACTACTTGCCTTGATCATTGCCCCAGACATCCTCTAACGACTCGATGATATGCTCCTGCATCAACTTGCATTCTACTCTGTGTAAGACAGCTTCCTGTCATAGATCAACTAAAAGGAAAAAGAAAACCTTTACTTACGGCTACTCTGATTGAGTTTCTTTTTTGTGACGTCGATAATGATATGTCTGGGATCGGTAATCATCCCAATCCCTTCCATGCCCGGGTATCCTGCAAAATATTCCTTAGATGGGGCCTCATGTCAGTTTCCTTTTTTCCAGCTGCCTTAAAGAATGGCCTTACATGGTGAACAAGAGCCTGGTGATCCAGGTCCAGGCAGCCCTTTAGCCATTCTATATAAGTTGGTGGAAGTATCACTCTGGACCCAAGGGCCGTGATAATCCTAAATGGCCCATTGAACTAATTCTCAATCAGCCTAACAGCTTCTTTCTCTAGAGGCTGGTCAACTAGTTGATGTGTCTGGTATATACTTTTCTGGCACCCTCTTTGATCAGGCTTCTCGAGTTCAAAAGATATTGCTGGTGAGCCTTCTTCAGGCCCCAGTCCCAAGGGTATAAGTTGATGGTGGGTATCTCATCTGCTGTAGTGTTGCTATACGACCAGCCGCACAAGATGACAGCAAACGCGATAATGAATGCGAGTGAGACGGTCACCACATAGTCGTCTCCTTCGGCGATGAGCATGGTAATGCGACTCCAAGCTAGTTATCTCTATCGGCTTTGTTTGTTGATACCCCCTAGCTAGTTAGTTTATTCCGAGGTACTTGTAAGCACGTCGTATATATAAAAATAATTAAGGTATTCGTCATGATGAGCCATCCAACCAATTTAGCTATTACGCGTTCTATTAATAATAATAACGATAACAATAACACGAGTCTTTTACTAATAATCCTTAAGTATCCAAAGCGGAACTCCCATGTAACGACAAGCTAGTAAGTATACACCTGTGGCAAGCTCCCTTGACATGTACTTGCATTGATGTCAAAAGTAGCCGATCCACAAGGGAGACATCTTCCTGCTTCTTGCTTCTTGTCAGCCAGCCAGCTTATCATCACTGTGACACTGAAGTGAGACTGCCAACCCTCTTCTTCAGCTTGCAGTCAAAAAAGCCTTGAAGCTCTTCATCCAAGGACTCCGTCCTCCCTCTTTCATTCTGTTACTTTTTGTTGTCTGAGAGAGAAAAGGAAGGACGAGTAGAAGATGACATAATCAGTTATATAAACACGTGACCGTTACATAATATCAAGGATGAGAAAGAGAGTTGAAGTTGACCTTCCTCCGTTGACAAAGAGGACGGAGTCAGAGTACGGGAGGCTGGTATGTAATTTATGGATAGTACTGCAGTAATTATGGGTGGTCTGCTCGCTGGCTGTGGTCTTGTCTCTCTTTCTGACTTACTTTTCGACTTACGTGTCCAAGGGCTGGTGGGTGGTACTCCGTTAACCTCGGGATCTTCTCGTTAGTGGTAATTCAGGTATCAGGACCGACCAAGTAAGGCAAGTGTAAGAGTAAGGGAAGCAAGGTCAAGCAAGTTAAGAGTCGTACTATGGGCGGAGGGTGCTGCATGGTGTGTTATGGTGTTATACGTATGTATGGTATGGTGTGTGTGAGAGCAGCAAGAGAGAGGTGTGTGTGTGTGTGTGCGGTGGACGAGTTACAGTTACAGGAGGCCAGCGGCCAGAGGGACCCCCCGTCCCCCGACCTTCTTCTGACCCGAACTACTGCGGGCGATCGGGGCTGGCCGGCGTTTCGAAACGAGGCAGGCCAACCCAGGTCGTCCAGGTCGAGCATGGCTGCGTGATGTGACGGTGATGGGCGAGGTCGAGCTGTGTACGAAGACGCGTGAGAAGACAGCTGATCCTGATCCATCACATCAACCCCCTTCGTACTATGTGTATCCTGTATCATGTATCATGTATCCTGCATCTAGTGGTTATTATAAGGCGTGGGTTAGGCGCTGTATCAGCGGTATGGGGATGTACCACCTTAGCTGAGACGAGCGAGCAAGTATCTTTTTTCTTACAAGCCTCGTCCTGTCGCCCCCAGACGGCGCAGGCTGTAACCTGCCGTATCATGCCGTATGGAAACACCCCCTTACGCTGCCTCTGCCTGCTGCTGCCCGCCAAGCTGCATGTGAAGCTGCTGTATCTTACCATACCGTACGTGACCTTACCCCTACCTGTGGCCCCCCCTACCTACGTAGCCCTGCCCTGCCCTGCCCACCTCCTATCGTACCTTACCTGACCTTACCTTACCTTACCTTCGCATCCTGTCTGGGCCCGGCGAGACAGACCGTAAAAGCAGCGTAAAAAAAAGCGTAAGCAAGCGTACGGTAAGCCTGAAAACAGAGACAGACCAGAGCGACGAAGGGAAAGCCAGCCCAGGCCGCCCGCCCACCCGCACTTCTCTTTTTCCTTTGCTTTCCCTTGCCTGCCCCTGCCGCTGCCCTTTCGCCCTCGCCCACCTCGCCCGCCTCTCGCTCTCGCTCTCTCTCTCTTCCCTCTCACCTCTCACTCTCACACTCACTCACTCACTCTCTCACCTCACCTCTTCTCACCAAAACTTCTTCCCATACAAAAACCACCACCCACCAAAAAAAGGCTCGTCCATACTAACTGCGCTTCCCACCACCACCCTTTTTATATACACTCGCACCACCACTCCCATTTTATACACCACCGTCCATCAAGAAGAGGACGCTCAAGGTAAGCTTGCTTCTCTTCCTGCCATCTTTGCGACTTCACCTTCAGCCCTTTTTTTGCTCTCTCTCGCTCGCTCGCTTGCTTGCTTGCTCTACACGATCTATATAGATCTATACCATGCACCAAACTTCTGCCTGCACGCAATTCCATCGTCGCAAGTTCTGCTGCTCTCTGTAGCCTGCCTGATCGCTCTCGTCACGTCTGTTTTCTTCTCTTTTATTGTTATTCTCGCCTTCTGTTTTTTCTCCAGGCTGTGTTTTTCCCTCCCAGCCCAGCTCCGCAGCAGAACAGACTCAGCTACTACTGCTGCTACTACCGCTGCTGCTGCTGCTGCTCTGCTTGACTACACGGTCAAACAGCGCGTCTGCTGGTGTGAAAACACGTCGCATTCTCGTTCTCTTCACTCTTGTCGCTTTCTCGAGCTCATTCTCACTTCGTTTTTGACGTGCTTTGGACGCGACTTGGCCTGCTTTTTCTTCTCTCCCCGCTCCCTTCTTCCTCTTCTTCTTCAACCTCTTCTTCCTTGCGCATCAACCACCACAAGCACCTCGACGAACTCGACTAACAGACAGCGTCAATCCCAGGCTCTCAAGTCACCAATATAAAGACTAAAACAGTCAAGATGCCTAAGGAGAAGTCCACTACCCGCAAGACCAAGCGCGGTGTCGAGAAGAAGAAGAAGGGTAAGCTCGTCTCGTCTCTCCTCTCGCCATCTCTCTCTTTCCAGGCAACAATGGCTAACAGACGGACGGGTAGACCCCAATGCCCCAAAGCGTGGTCTCTCTGCCTACATGATCTTTGCCAACGAGCAGCGTGCTAGTGTCCGCGAGGAGAACCCAAGCATCACCTTCGGTAGGTCATCCATTTCCCATCAAGCAAGAGAAAAGAGAGAAGAAAAAACTAACTTGTCCGTTGTAGGCCAAGTTGGTAAGGTCCTCGGAGAGCGATGGAAGGCCTTGACCGACAAGCAGCGAAAACCCTATGAGGAGAAGGCTGCCACCGACAAGCAGAGATACGAAGACGAGAAGGCCGCATACAACGTAAGTCTTCCTTCCCCCCTCCTGCTTTCTCGTATAACCAGACTAACATAAACCAGTCTCGCCTCGAAGAAGAAGAGTCCTCTTAAAGCAAAGAAGAGAGAAAGCAGACATGAAGATGAAAAGACAGCTTTCTCCATAGTTGCTCTTTCAAAGACCCGGTCGTCTCTCCTGTACTGCTGCTGGTGCTTGCTTGCTGGTTATGTCCTCTGTATCTGTTATACCGTTTAATCGCTCTCTGTGTCTCGTCGAAGGTTTTTTCCCTTGTCTCTTTTTCTTTTCCTCTTTCCTTTCATTCAAACGGCTTTTCTCTTCTGGGACGGACGGTATCGATGGGGGTTTCATGGTTCCAAAGCTATTATGTATTTTCATCACATCCCACCTTGAGTGTTCCCCCCTACCTTGCTGGCTTCTTCCTCTTCCACTAAGCATCGCCTCGCCGTCGGTGCTTCGGCTTCGTTTTCTCTCTCTCCATCTCTCTTATGTCTTCCATTCCTTTTTTTACCTTTTAAGGTCAAGTGTAGTAGGGGGTCTTGCTTCTTTTCCTGTAACTCGCTCACGAATTGTATCACGTATTCTCCGGGGGATTTCTCTGTCTGCCTGCCATCTTCCAGTCGTCTTCTCGTCACTCACTGCCAGGGAGCAGCGCCAACATCAAACGTCAACACTCTCCCTTGGTCAGGTAACCTAACACCACCGCCGTCGAGGAGGAAGAGAGAAGGGGAAGAGAAAAGGCGGAAAAAAGGCAACGAGGGAGTTTTAACACGTCGCCTTTCACGTGACTATCATGACTAAGCTGACAACTCACACCTGCAGCCTTGACCATGTGATCGCCGTTTTGGGCCGTCAAGGCGACTTCATCCTTTTTTTTGCTTCTGCGGCTCAACGACAAACGGTCCAACTCACATACTCGCAATACGGATGTACAGACACCACAGCGACATAGATACCCTGAAGATGCTGACGAGAGCCTGACGATAGGACAGGGGCGAGAGAGCCAGGCCCTGGTGGTGATTAACTTTGTGTTTATATAAGGCCGCGGGCTGCCCTGGGTGGTGGGTGGTTCTTAGCCTCCTAGTTGACTAGTGGAATATATACCCTTGACACCGTACTTACAGCGGTGTGCTGCACTTTTTTACTTATCCAGACGACTCTCTTTGACTCTTTGACTCTTTCTCTCTCTCTCTCTCTCTCCTGTCACTCTTTAACAACTATAGCCGACATATAACTATATACCTCCCACAAAGATTTATCCTCGCTCCTCGCTTGGGATAGTTAGTTGCTTGCTCCATAACATGCTTCAAGGCTAGGCATGCCCAACCAATACCCAAAATGAACCTTCTCGACATAGCAAAGTCATGCGAGGACATCGCTCGGGGAGTCTCCAGCTTCCTCCCCCATGTCCCAACAGCCTCAGTCGATATATCCGCTGTCGTAGCAGAGCTCTACGGCATCGGTGCTACTCTTCGCTCCATAGATGGCACCCACAAAACCCCCGCTCGTCGCCAGAATTTTACCCATATAGCTACTGACCTGGAGCTCGTCGTGCGGGCCAGTCTCAGGCAGACGCTGCGGGATATCTATGAGTCGTTGAGTCGTATGAATCAGGCCATCCATATCACTAATCTGCATAATGCGGCGGCGGCGGCGGCCGGGACGCCCATCGCGGACACTATTGCCGCGTTGCATAAGCGGACTTGGGACGGGCTGTGGCAATACTTTTATACCCAGGCTGGTTATTCGTTGCATCTTCGGTTGAAGTATTATAAGCAGATGCTAGAGGAGATGTCCGCCATTGTGCAGGGGTGAGTTGTTATTTTTATCTTTATTTCTTATTCTTATTTTTGTTTCATTTTATTTCGTTGTGTGTACGGTTTAAATGTACGTACTTATACTCTTATAGAGAACTTGCGGATGAGGTTATGCTAGCTAGCTGTCGAGCGGCAATAACGACATTGCGTGTAATCCAGGACAGACAGGTTGCCATTCAAGCCCAGCAGCAATCCCAGCAGCAACATCAGCAACATCACCTCTTTCAACAACAGCACCAGATGCCAGGACAATTCCCACAACATCCCTCATTCCATCACGCTGCTGCTGCTCCACCACCACCACCACCACCACCTCCTCCTCCTCCCCCTCCCCCTCCCCCACCTGCTCCCCCTGCTCCTGCAGTCCCGGGTGTTGCGCCGGTTATGATGCCTCGTGCAGTAAGCCCCGACGATACGTTGGTGCATATCATGGAACCTCCAAAGGCACCGAAGCCACCAAAACGGAAATCGTCGATGAAAAAGGCTGGTTCCTTTGAGCGACAGAGGCCGAACAGAAAAGGGCATCAGGACTCAATTCACTGGTCCAACCCGACTAGCCCCAAGTCCCCTGTTGATTCAAGTAGTGACACCATGTCATTGATTTCCAACAGCTTTAAACACTGGGCTATGAAAGTCTACGGTTCAGTCTCTACTTCAACTCCGTTACGGTCCACAGGAGATATGTACGATTACCTCCTTTCTATCTAGCGGCTGCTTTCCTTTTTAGCGGTACTCTCCAACTAATAAACCCTTGGCTAGGACAAAGTGTTACGGTGAAAGTATGCCCGAGGTGAAGGCTCACTTGGACAAGGGATACATCGAACTACTGCAGCTGTAGGCCAACCCCTTTTTAACCTGCAACCTCACAGCTTAGGGAATAGTTTAACTCACAGATGGTAATGATCGTAGGAAATTCCCCGGTAGGCCACAGGTCACCTTCTCCTTTTATCTGCGGGACAGGGACCACCGAGTGAGAGTTTTGTGTAAAGTCAAGTCAGAAAAACGGACGGTGTATAGCAGCACCGTCGTTACATCACTGATTATCTGTCGAGAAGGATCATGTCTCATGCTCTGTCACCCGTCCAACGATGGTGAAGGCCCTATTGCATGGGCAAATCTGCAATTCAGCACGCTCGAGTGTATGCTTCTCACCATCGTTTGATCCATTGTTTAATGATTTTGCTAACCTGCATTTATAGACATGGTTTTGTTCTTCTGTACGTTCGTCGCCTTACGCGGGCAGGACTCGTCCGACCCCGTCTCCCGCATCAAGGATTACAAACTGGACGGCGAAGAGCTTTTTTTCTCAGGGTATAATCCACTGCTCCCTTTTCCTTCTCCACAGCCCCGAGTTACTAACGCTGTACAACCATGCAGCGAGACAATAGATAACCATTACATCCACGCTTTACACATATACGTTGATAGTAGCACAGGGGCCGCCCGTTTGCATGCAACTGTTCTCCACGGCGAACTGAAACAGTAAGTTAATATGATATAGGCCGGTACGTCAGACCTTCCTGCATATGCTAACTACGATTAGTGTTCCCGTATGGACCGCCTTTATTCACCAGTACATGGAACGGCCTCGGTCATGGATGCGACATGTCGAACAGGAGGTGATATACCTTACTGAGCTACAGCCTACCGTATTCATCAACTCAGACGAATACAAACCCTCTACAACATCACGAGGAGAACATGTTATAACCTTTACCTCGCGGGAAGGTATGATGGCTATCTTATTTCACTCTGCCGGTCTGGGTCTAACAATGCACAATACTATAGACGCCGATGAGTTCATTAAATCCATCAACGATATTTCGCACATCCTTCGTAAAAAGAGATGAACAGTAACAATATGGCACTACTTGGAATATCTCCCCGAACGAACGGATGCCAACGATGACACGATCTACGAATTCTTACGGCTCTCTGCTCAATTATTCTGCTTATATCTATGTCTTATGTACCCCCATATACCAACCATTTTGGAACCACTACCACATTCTTACAACTACACGCAAACATCTTGATCCCTTCACTCGTCTTGCTAGCTATGCATCTTTGAGCAAGCGTCTAAGCATGTTGTGTGTTTAGGAGTTAGCTGGCTTTGACTCTTTATCTATTCACCTACTTACTCACCTGTTTTGTAATGTCAGTTTTGTTAGCGTCGTTACTCTACTTCTACTTGATTCTTCTTTTTTGGTACTTTGTGCTAACTGGCTGCTCCTTGCGTCTTCTTCTGGTTTAACGGCCGGCTACTTGAATTATTTGACACCCTAGGCGGCCATTCCTCTGAATATGATGCTTAGTTTTAACTATTCCCTTATCAATTGCCGCGCCTAGTGGTGATTTATTATCTATCTGTTCAACAGCCTACCTTTCATAATACCAAAAGCATTGCCAAATGAGCGCTGTGGTGTAAATACGCATATTATCGCAATATCCAGCTGCACGCTCTTGTACAAATGTTTGCATACAATTAGGCTAAGCTAGTTATCAATTCAAACCCCTCCTTTTGCCACTAAGAAACAACGATATACCAATTGTCGGCACAAGCCTCCATAATAACATGGCCCGTGACATTCTCTTGATAATATACAACAGATCGTTATTCAAAGCTCACTGGGCCATCTATGTCCCTAGTCTCGCAGAACCAGGCGTTGGCAAAAAGATCCACGTCTATGGAGACGTCTTAAACGGCTTCACACTCCAATTCCTGAGAAACTATGCTTTGAAGTCAGAGACCCTGGCCCATCAGGAGGTGCTTATACAACAAGTCAAGGATGAGTTTGTGCTCGACGGCCCTGGAGGAGAAGAGTGCTCTGATATCCTTGCCTCGGATCGAATTGAAGAAGTTGCCTTGTCGGTGGCAGCACCGTGGCCGAGTCTGAACTCTGCCAGTGCCAACAGTGGTGTAAGTAGGCTTTCCCCTTTCTACTCGGATGGGTTTATGAGCTGACCGATAGCCATGTTATGTTGGTAGCCACCTACGAGCAAGGCACAGCTTAAAGATTGTCAGAGCTGGGTAGTCGATGTTGTGGCGGCTCTTGTTGATCAAGGGATCATGTCTGAAGAGGCGAACGATGTGGTTCGAGATGCTCCAAAGCATTGAGCATCGGTAGTTCGATCAATGATATATCTTATACAGGCAGGAATTCATGTCTCGTTATTTTACAGATACCTCTACAGTGTAACACCCTCCATGCCACCGATATCTTTCCAGAACTGGTCAAAATCTACACCCTCCTTCTCAAAAAGCTCCTTAACCTCTATCATGGCATTTCTTTGCCTTTCTGAAGTGAACCCTCCAGGCTGGGTACTTTCGTACTGAATGATTTCCACCCAGCGGTAGAACAAGTCTTCCTTGCCCATGCCTGTAAGCTTCTCCTTAAATGCAATGATCCTGTCTCGTGCGGCGGGTGGTAGCGTCTCTCCCGAGGCGGCAACAGCTTCATGCTCGACCCTCCATATCAGCCAGCCCTTGGACGGACCGCCATGTACAAGAACAGCAGTGTGAAAGTCTTCCAGCTTCGCCTTCTCCGATTCAACCAGTTTATGGGCATTGATCATCGCACCACAGTCGATATCCCAGTCAGCGTCCATAAGGAGGTATCCCGTCTTTTGTAAGCGAAATGGAAGAATAGCAGGTATAACTCTGTCCTTCATCGCAGCTTCATCGTCTCTAATCCAGGTTCCAGGCTGTAGTGACTCGCTCCATTCTCGGCTCTGGCGGACAATGATTTCCTGGGACTGGAATCCAACAGCTAGCCTCCAGCGGATAGGACCAAGGAAGAAACGCACAGGCCACGGCAAGAAGATGGTTGCCAAAATGTAGTCCAGTAGAAAATTGAGTGTTCTCCAGGCCAGTGTACTGGATAAAAAGCCCCAGCTAGCTGACGCTGTGTCTATCTTGGCCGGACTGGCCCCGCCCATAATCGCAGTGAATATGTCTGGATACATATGTAGGCCGGTATATATCCTGTATAGGATGAAAGCAACTATGACAATATTTATGGAAAGTGGAACGAGAAATATCTGTCGTTTAAAACTGGGGGGATGAGTATCGATATGGACGAGGTATATGCGATTGGTAGATAGGGGTTCAAGGAAGCCTTTTAGAGAAGATGGCGTTTGTGTGAACGCTGCAGGAACATCAAAGGAATCCGATTTCGAAGGTGCCTTTGCCGAGGAGTCTGACGGCGCAAATGCCCTTGCTTTGGATGCTCGTTTGGCATTCTTCGCCATTGTGAGGTTATATGGAGTCCTTCAATTGGTGTTATCACGAGCAACTCCGATGTATATCCCCCCTTCCAGAGCCCCAATCTCAGTATTTCCCAGGGTCGGGCCGGGAACCACAAGTTTCTGAAGACAAAGGGCGTTCAATTCAAGCAGCAGCAAAAGGTCCAACCTGTCGCTCGAGCGTCCGTCTGCTGTTTATCAAAATGTGTCTCCTTGGTGGACTTTTTGCTTCAACTCTTTCGAACTTTTTGGGAGCTCGAGACGCGCTAGTCTGCTTCGGGTAAACTCGTTCACCAACACGCGATCTCACGTCAAGCCAAAAGAAACGCAGAAAAGGCAATCAAGAAGTAAATAAAAGGACGACAACTCTGCAGATTTACTTATATTTGGTCATTTCTCTTTCTTTTTGACAGAGATAAGGCGGCTGGCTGCTACAATGCGGAGGATATATTTCGATTAACTAGCTGCACGAACAAGCGATGTCTACTACTGCTCAGAACCATCGCGTCGGTGGCTACGAACCTCTGCCGGCATGGTATAGAAACCGTAACAACAGACCACTCGAAGCTACTGCCTCGTCGCGAAGAGCTACGGTGGGCATGCGGGACGGACGAGAATCCAGAATCACGTTTAGTAAGACCAGAACCTTGACAGGCGCATTCGAAGCTGCTGAATATCCCCGCCATACAGCAAGAGCTAATAGCGGAGAAGAGGACGAAGAAGCACCGAGATATGACAGAGCAGGAAGGGAGAGAAATGGGACTGCCACGTCGCCCAAGTTTACCCGGTCGAATCTGTCATCGCGAGAACTGCTGGAACCGTACAGGATGATAAACGACGCGGATAACTTTGTTGATCTGGCGGCGCAGGAAGATCAAGTGCGAAGAGACCAAGGCTCACCGAGTCCAGCGGCGAGGAACCGTCGAACATTTGACCGGAATGATGAAAATATTTACGATATCGATCTCGACTTCCTAGACGATGTGAGTGACGATGACCTTAGGATGAAGCTGACACAGCACGCGTTGGACGAGCGGCGGTTAAAGCGCGCCACTAAGAGTACCAACGGACCGATATTCAGTAGGGCAAAGGATACGGATCTCCGGACCGCTTTGTCTATGGAGAATCTTCAGCGTCATGAGGCGGAAAAGAAGGAAGAGGACATGGAGCACCCGGAACCGGATATGGACGACCATGTCGAGCCTGCTGTGAACATTCCTACTACATGGGGATCTCGGGGAAGACGGTCAAGGGAATGGCTGGACGGAGTGGTCACGACTACTAATGGAGTCGATAACAAGCAGAGTGAGGACGATATCCGGCTACCGGTTGCGGAATGGGGGGGGAACGACTTTGACTTTACTGCTGGGTCACTACGGGTGTCCGACAGCCCTCCAGTAAAGGCCCCCAAAGACAGGCAGGATAATAGTTTCAGGGCACAATTCTCTATGTCCGCCGCCCAAGACAGACAGGTTCAAGACGCCGACACGGCCAGACTTGACCGCAGACCAGACACCGGCTCATCTACACACTCTTACGGCACGAGCGAGAAACCTAGACTTGCAAGTGGCCGGGGAAGCTCCAGCCAGCTTCTTCGGAAGCTGACGAGGAGGAGTTCTAGTCCTGTCAAGACTCCAGAACAGCAACGAATTGCAGCGAAGACACCCCTAACGGCCAAAACCCCAGTTGTTACTGGAGCCTGGATTGACACTCCGGTCACGGAACGAAAGACGCCCTATATAGAGGCTATTAAAAAGGAAGAGCAGGAGCCAGAGATACAGCCCAAACCAGTAGAAGAAATGCCAAAACAAGGAAAAGCCACTAGTATTGACAAACCTGAGCAAACGACTGCACAACGCCGGAAATCCACATCTCGGCATGTGCCATTGAAAGAACCGAAGCTTCCCAAAAGTGCCTTGGAATCGATTCTCGAGAAAGAAAGATCGGGAGACTATAGCCTTATTCTTGGAGAAAATACCCTCGACTCTCTGAAGGATATCCTCGAGGACAAGGCACTTAGTGAGAAACCAGGAGTTGGGCAAACCAAAATAGAGCCATCACGCTCTTTTCACGTTGACACAGATGAAGAAACCATTGATCGGGTCAATTCGAAACTGGAATCACTCCTTCATAACATAAGCGAGGCCAGAGCTGGTTTGTCCAATCTTGAACACCAGGCAGAAGAAACGATCTCCCGGCCCAACCCAACTGGCTCGAAGAATAAAAACTCAAGAATAAAACATCACAACCACTCTACAGCTCCCTGTGAAGCATGCGGTCTGTATGGTGACGGCCGCCTATACCTTGCTCTCCCCAGCCGCCGTTTCTGGAAGCGGATTGGCCTGGTCCTCTTGATATTTTTCACTTGGTGGATTGCCGAGCTGGCTATGTGCGATTACTACTGTCACCCCTTATACGCATCCAAATGTGAGCGTAATTGTCTGGATCCTAATGCGCCACGATACCCGTTTGTTATTCCTACAATGTTATGGCGTTGGTCCCATCTATCTGTTGTCCTGTCACCGTTATGGACTGTTTTGGTTGCACTGTTCCGCTTTACCGCGCAACTGTTTGGTTTTTGGGACGGGTTTGTTGAAAGCCCAGGTTCGGTATACAAGCCACAGAGCTATGGACATCACCAGTCTCCCATATCTCCCGTTTACCAGCCGAGTGCTGCGGTGTACGACCAGAGTGACAGTATGCAGGGTGATGAATATTTATAGCTTAGCGTTTTTGTCATGCATACGGTGTATTATTCCTTTTTCCCTTACTTATTTTTCTGGTACTATTTCAGGTCAGGCTGGGCCCAGTATTTTATTCTGGATTTGCCTGGGGTTTTGGGGACATAGAATACCGGTTTATATATAAAAATGGATTACTTCATTTGAATGTCGTAGTAGTCTGACTATTAAGGTTATCAGGCAGTAAGTAGTGTTTATTAGATGTATGGTTCGTTATTCGTTCGTAGACTGTAAATAGATTCTTCGTGGTCCGTTGCTTTCTGCTGAGACGGCTTGTGCTGTATATCGAAATGACAGATGGCTCGAGTTGAATAACCAACGTGAATAGAAATAGAGGAAGCTCAGGCATAGGATCCAGTGCCTGTCCAGTTAGAATGAATGCGAGAAGGTACTCAGGAATCCAGTTCCTGTTCCTTCCATGCCTTCTGCAGCACATGCTCGCCATCAACACGCCAGTCTCTGCCGGCCTTGATCAGGTTTTCTACCTCGCCATCCGTTAGGGTACCAATCTCGCCAATGTGGTGAATATCAGTCTTTGTCAAGCCGTGGTTGAGGAATTGGGCTTCTCCATATCCCTTTACACGGTCATGCACTACATCAAGGCAGAATTTGGCCCAGCTCTTGAGACAGTGCTGGGACTGAATAACACCGGGAGTAAGCAAAGCAAAACAATGCGGCATTCCTTCGTACCGCTCAAAGACAACGTTGACGCCGTCTTGATGAGCCTTTCTTGCCATGTATACACCGTCGTCATGCAAGAGCTCTTCGCCTACGGCAATGTACATTGGTGGACATCCCTTCCAGATCCCCTTCGGACTGACGGCTGGCGATGTAAGCGGATGAGCCATCATGTTCGCATTCGAGTACAAGTCTACTCGTGGCGGTGCCGTAGGCCACAAATGGTCTGGAGGGAAAGGCAGTGGGGTATATACTGTGCCGGGCTTCTGTGGTGGTGGAGGAATGTAGTCGTACTTTGCGTTCCCAAAGGTAGACGGTAGCGAACGAGTAGTATCGCACCAAGGACTGGTCATTGCGATGCCAGCGGGAAGATCCAGGGGTACGTCTTTGCCATGGAATCGAATTGTCTTGGATGGGATGATCTCTCGTAGTGTCAGGAGGACCTGGAGCAGTCCCAGGCAGAGACCACCACCGGCAGAGTCTCCGGCGATTACTATCTTCTCAGCTGGTACAGCTTCATAGGGAGCACCTTCAGCGGGCGAGAGAAGTGAGAGGTATGCCACCAACGCATCCAGGAGGCCAGCTGGGAATGGATGCTCTGGACACAGTCTATATCGTAAAGAAAAGCAGCGAGAACGGCTGAGCTGAGCCAGGGCTGTTGTCGTAGGGCGATGAGTGCAAGGGTCCATCATACTGACTCGTTAGTATCAATTGCTTATAGATCCATGGTGTGTGTGGTTAGGGCTTACTGGTATGCGCCGCCATGGGCGTAGAAGATAGTCATATCCTCCTCCACGTCCTCCATCAGGCGCTCGTACTTGTCTGCATCCGAGATGTCAGGAATCGGCGTGTCCTCGCTGGCGCCCTTTCTGTATCCCGTCCACTCTGCCTCGACGGCGCGCACATCAGGCACATCGAACGTCTCTCCTCCCTCGCCACGGTGTCTGATTGCCTTTACCAGCGCATCGAGCACATCGTCCTCTGCCGGCTTGGGCACCGTCACGTTCGAAATCCACATGTAGCCCTTGACCGTCGAGTCCGTCAACCTGACTTCGGCCATCTTCGAGACAGAGTCCTCCAGGGTGAGAAACGAGCGCACAAAGGTGACCAGCAGCTCCATCTGCACGCCCACTCTGTCCTGCACCGGCGAGAGCTGCAGCAACCGCCGGATTGCAGTGACCAGCACGAGTGGGATGCGTACCAGGTACTGCCTGATCAGGGTCAGGTTCAGGCTCGCCATGGCAGCGGTTGTTCGTATCCGTTCTTACTGTCGTGTGCACAATAGCTGGATAGAGTGCATGAAGGATTAAGCGATCTTGCGAGAGGGCGAAGAGCAGTTAAGAGGAAGATGGGCCTTTTAACTCAGTCAAGGGTGGGATCCCTTAGCTATATAAAGGGACAGATTATGGCCTGCGGCGAGGTGGTGATTCCTGCACAGGGGAGAATTTTTTTACTCCGTACGCCGTCCTCGCGTCTTTGATATGAGGAACAAACGAAAGGGCACGTCTTTAGCTCAAGCCACAAACGGGTCGTCTCGCCTTCTTGTCCCTTGTCTTCTTTTTCTCTTGGGGAGGCCGAGTAATAACGTGGAAGCCTGGCTCTATCTAAGGCCCGTCCCCCCTGTATGATGCAACCGGACGGCATTGGTGGAGGTGTCAGAAACGCCGCCACCTGAAGAAGCAATATATGGACCCTACATATTCACATGCAAGCAGACATCAGACATCTATTTAAGCACTGCAGTGACAGGTTTTCCGTTGATGGTGGTGAGTAGAGAATATAAATGCATTGGAAATACCTAGAGCCCCTGTAACGCCGGATATGTATGTAACTAATGGAGAGCGGCTGTTATAACTACAAAAGGAAAAATGTAAAAGGGGGTGTCGTCAACGATCCCCATGGTAAGGCTCGATATTATGGTTAGGGCTTCGAAGATGTTTTCGATACGTCTCTTCCTCCTCCTCCTTCAGCCCATACCCAGACGGATCCCGTCTCTTTAGGAAGTGCTGCACTCTTTCGTCCACGGATTCCAGTTCCGAGACCGTCTGGTGCCTTCGACCTTCCAGAAAGCGGCTACACTCTCGGTTAACTTGCTTAACCCGTTCGTCAACGAGGCTTGAGTATTTCCCTATGCTCACGGCCTGGGCTACTCCTCCAAAGATGGCTAGTAGAACGAAGAGCGAGGCGAACGTTTCATGCGAGGCGCCTGTAGACTGCTGTTGCTTCTGGTACTTCCCGCCACTTTGGCCATGATATTGCTCCCAGTCCTCCCAGCTTGCGTTCCTGAAGATGGTAGGGTCTACCTTTCTCCGTCGAGAGTAATATGCGTCCATAGCACTCTTCGCCGTCGGTCCCTGGGTACCAAACAGCTCCTCTCTATGGAACCAGCCCCGGCCAAACTTGTCATATTCACTCCTCTTCGTAGGGTTCGACAACAATTCATGAGCAGCTACCAGCAGCCGGTACCGCTGCAGTCTCACTGACTCTGGCAGATCTTTGCAGAGGGGGTGGCCGTTACAGTGTCCGTCCGGATGGTAGATCTTGACGAGTTGGTAGAACCGCCTTTTCGAGTAGGGCGCATTCCGTTCCAGCCGGAACAAGTCGTAAGGGGTAAAGGAAGGGGACGCCGGCCATGACAGGTCATCTTCAGACCCTTTCACGCCATCAGAGCCTGGCCCGTGTACATGAGCAAAACGCTTCGATTGTCGCCTATATGCCGGCTGCTCGGGGCGGGCAAGCGGGGAGTGCGGGCTGAGGGTCTGTAGGCCGCCGCATGAGCAAAGAAGCGTCGATTTCCTCAGCATCGGCACGATTCGGCAAGCATTTCAATCTCTCCTAGGCTCGTTAGATAGATTGGACAGCACACGAACATCGGCGGCCTTGGGGGCTCGTCAGCGTGCGCCAGTTAATATGTATTATACCCCGTACAGTACTTGTCTTTGCTGCGCAATGCAGAAGTTCGCTCTAAAGCTTCGTTTGAGCGTGTGACTGCTTAGTCATCTCTCACCTTGCGGCTGTTCGGCAAATTAGGTCATGCTTACTTAAGATTTTACATGATCAAGACAACGCGCCGACATGTTTGGCCAATTAAAAAGATTATTACTAATTCTCGAGTATGAGCTTGTTTGAAACTTCTTATTGGTCAAATTGAATTTAGTTAATAAAATATTTGGCCAATGAAAAATAGTCGAATCTGCAGTTCTCAAATGTTAATAATTCAGTTACCGATGGGACGGGACTGACGTTTGCTTTATTTACGGCTTGCTAGGAAAAGATTCGCCAGCTTTTCGCACGCTCTTCTTCTACAGAAGGACGCCGGATAAGCTCCCAAGCGATGCCTAGACACGAAGATAACCATCGATCCCGCCGACATAGATCTCGGTCCGTATCTTCACACTCCCGTGAGGACCGAGGGAGAGCCAAAGCTCGCAGCTCCAGATCACAGAGACACCGGTCCTTGAGCCCCGACGGTAGAAAGCGCTCCAGGAGCCCACAAGGACGAAAATCACACCGTTATAGGAGCCGGTCAGTGGAATCAAGCGAGGCATCACATAACCGAAAACACCGTTCTCGAGAGCCACGTCGACGAAGTCATGACCGTGGGCGAAGAGAGCAGGATGGACATCGATCACGCAGGCACCGCGAGGGCAGGGAACGCTCCGCTTCTCCCGCCCGGAGATCACATAGGCGTAGTCCTTCGCCTCAGGTAGGCAGACGATCTGATAAACCGCTCCCTTCCCAGCAGGATGCGTTTTCGAAGACACCCCGAGACGGATCTGGCCAGGCAACGCCGGTGGGCGAGCAAGAGAAAGAGAAAGCCAATTACGGGAACACAGGCCGTCTAGCAGCTGATACCAACACTGTTAGGTCCGGTGATGGGTCCACCGCTATTATTTTAAAATACAATGAGCCTCCAGAGGCCAGAAAACCTCCAGCCAAAGATGCATGGCGGCTATACATCTTCAAGGACGATAATCTGCTGGAAACAATCGAGCTGGGAGATCGGAGCTGCTGGCTGGTTGGAAAGGAAAAGCTAGTTGCAGATTTGCCTATCGATCACCCAAGCTGCTCCAAGCAGCATGCAGCTATTCAATTCAGATACGTCGAAAAACGAAATGACTTTGGAGATCGAGATGGTAGAGTCAGGCCATACCTAATTGATTTGGAGAGCGCAAACGGGACTACTGTTAATGGAGATCCAGCCCCGGCCAGACGATACATGGAACTTATGGATAAGGATGTTTTGAAATTTGGACTAAGTACAAGGGAATATGTGCTTCTCCTCCCGCCTCCTAGCTGATCGGCCAAAAACTTATGCCCTTTCCACTGTCAAAAAGGAATATATGGAGTAGACAACACTGATTCATGTAGGTGGCATAGTTTGTTCCCCAGTTTACCACCATACCATACGAGGAAATATCAACTTTTCCCGCAGATGGCACTATGCTTTACCAGAGAATTCTTGCTCCGTCTCAGCGGCCTTCTTAGCCGCTTCATCAGCTACATCTGATACTTTTCTGCTCGTCTTTTTGGCTGCATCTTGGGCTTCACGTTCCGCATCCTTGGCCGTTGATCCCATGGTGTTCTTTATTTTGTTCGTTGCGGCTTCTACACAGCGACTTCTGTCAGCCTGGATCTGATACGCCCACGTGTGAATAATCTTCTGAAAACGTACCTCCTTTCTCAATTCCCTTAACAGCAGCATCCGAAACGAGTCTATCAGCTGCCTTTAGGGTATCCTTCGTCGCCTCGATAGGACCCTTTTGGTGATACGGTGACGTCGAGAACAAGGCTCGGCTCAACTGAGTCCTTCCGGTGAGGGCTATGGAAGGCTTGATGTACCTTGAGTTGGCAATAGCAGCTCTAGTGACAAAAGACATATTGGATAGAATTTGTTTCTGAGTGTCTATTCGTGGAGTAGATGTTAGCCACCATGGTCCGTCCTAGGCCTTGAATTGAGTAGGAGACTTAACTTACTCAAATGTTGATGTACTAATAAAACTATGATCGTGAATAAGAAGTAGAATCAATCCCCAGAGAGAGACATCTACTTGTCCCTTATATACTTCGTTCTGTAAACCACTCTTCCTCGCCATCCTCTTTTGAGTTCGGCTGCCTTGCTTGAGCTCCTTGTTTGTAACGTCATAATCCCCATCTTTCATACCGGATTTCCTTGCTCGGGATTACGTAGAGCCGCCCCGGTTGACTAACCACGCTTTCTCACATCCATGGATATTAACTTATGCGAACTCCAGGCTGGTTTCTCTCTTGACAACGTCGTCAATGCGGCTATCTGACTGATTATGTAACTCACCTGTCAGTGCTTCGCGGGATAAAAGTTTCTCCGATATACCCCTCAGATTGAAATCGCAGTCTCCTATGTTCTACGTGTTTTGGGGTCCAAAACGCGTACATACACTGTACCCTATGCCTTACCGAGTCTCCGCAAGACCCTCACATCGCATAAGACAGGAGGCTGAGGATTACACTGGCCAACGCCCATCAAAACGATTGAAGATCGACCGGCCTTCCTCGGAATTCTGGGATAACTTGTCGAAAATTTGGTTAACAAGAGACGCGCTCGAGGAGCTAGATCGAAGAAACAGTGCTTCCGCTAGATCGGAACAAGTTTGCTCTAAATCCCGACCAGTTGCCCACCTCCAGGAGAGGCAGAGATACCGTCAGCGGCAGAAAGTCCCTTCGAGTACTGTTCACTACAGCCCGGCGACTCTAAACGATATTAGGCGGTTTTCCAGAGGCGGTGGGCCTGATTTATCTGACCTCAGAAATGTATGTTATCCTCGTTACTTTGAGCTGTTTAGAGTGCATCCTGATATGTTTTATAGTTCCCAAATCCTCAAATACTCTCTCAACCAATGAGTGCAAATGATCCAAACCGTCGGAAGAGACGTGCAGAATCCCCCCCAGCCTCTGCGGCAGAACAAAGCAGTACCAGCAAGACCGCAAAGACTACTAGCACATCCACATACAACCGCAATTTCGAGCAATGTCTGATCGATAATGGCATCTATCCACCGGGATATAAGTATCCAAATGGCCAGAGGCCAGCAAAGCCAAGTAATTGGTCAGAACTCAACGAACGGCTGGCACAACGCCGAAGTTCTCTCTCGCTGTCACAGTTCTCCGAGGATGACTTTGAGGAATTTGTCGAGAAAGATGCGAATATACGGAAAGAGAAACCTATTGGACGCTTTACTGTTTCAATTATAGAAGGCAAAGTTGGAGATGTGGCGTCTATGGGAGAGGACTATCCATTCACAAATTTAGCACCCCTAACGGATAAGACACTAGCAAATGCAAAGCCAGACCATTTCTTTGGTGCCAGGCCTGAGCAGCTCGAGTCCCAGATCCGCGAGGAGCTCAGCAGTTATATTGTTCCATCATCACAGGACTCCCTCCCAATACTCCCAAACTTCTTCCTTGAGACTAAAGGCCCCGACGGATCCCTTGCTGTTGCTACCAGGCAAGCCTGTTACCATGGAGCATTGGGTGCTCGAGGAATACATAAGCTTCAGAATTTTAAGCAAGATGAGGAATCGTATGATAGAAATGCGTATACGATAACCTCAACATACCATGGTGGCCAGCTCAAGATCTATACAACTCACCTTGTTCCTCGGAAAGGCGGTCGCCCTGAGTATATAATGACCCAGGTAAATGCCTGGAGCATGACTGGGAATATCGAAACATTTCGACAAGGCGCATCGGCTTATAGAAATGCCTGTGATTGGGCAAAAGAGCAGCGAGAGAGGATCATAGATACTGCAAATGAGAGGCTTGCTCAGGCTCAGTCAGAAGTTCTCACACCGGAAGATGTGGCAGTTTCTGAATCGATAGCCACCCACGAGGGCTCTCAAACATCAGCAACTTTTGATGAAACTGAAGTTCATGATACTGCATGGAGCTTTGCACAGCCCAATGAAGCCGGCCCCGAAGCCTCTAGTAAACCTGATAGTAGATAGACCCGCTGACGGTTCGGGTGGCAACTCCCTTGCAAACTAGGCCTTAAATATGTATATTTATATATGTACATGCTTCACTATTTCTTTACCCTTGGCGTCTCTCCGAGTTTACTACCTGGTTTACTGGGCGGGATAGCTTTGATTTATGGCTACGTGAGAAAACTGTGAAAACCAGTACTACATCAAAGTCAAGGTCTAACTTACGATATACAGCAGGCTGCAACAATACTAAAACATTGAATACCTCAAAACAACTACCATCGGATTAACTACTAATTTTCTAATATTAAATGATATTTCGTATGGACACAAGTTCTGACCTCAGCCCAGGATCCATTCAATTCCATATACACGGAAGAAAGGAAAACCACGATATTGAAAACTGCCACCTGACTCCGAAACCACGGCACTAATCGTCAGTGGATAATGATAATGCACCAAACAAATGCAGATGTTGAACATGAACAAGTAGCAAATGACAATGATTATACAATGATGCGAGTAATGAACGAAGGGTAGCATGATAAACACAAGAACAAAAACAAAAACAAATTAGTTATATCTGAAACGGTAGCGATGATTTCCCGTAACTCCGCCGATGTGTAGTTATTTCAGTGCTTTAAACGCTGTTGCAAAGTTGATTTTCGTTCTGTTGTATGAGGGAGCTGTTGGGTTATGGAATATGATGTAGGGCCCGGATAAGCATGAGAAAACGGGAATGAAGATAAACAAAAAAGAGGATAAAAAAAATGGTTAATAAAAGACTGAGGTATGCAGTTTAGTGTATGTCGTTATATGTGGAGGGGTGTGTAGTCATCGTGGCCTGGGCTTTGCTTTTTCAAGGACATTCAAGGGGAGCGATGATTGATGCCTAAACCAGTCCAGTCTCGTACCTGGGGAGTACTGCCGCTTCTGAGCCGGGTTGTTCTAGCTCCTTCCTGGCGAACTTGTTCCGCTCGTTGCTGTGGAGTAGTGAAGCCAGGCTGCATCATGGCAGCCAGCTGCTGCGGATCACTAGCGGTTGGCATCATGTTGCGGTCGGGATAAGGTGCGACCTGTGCTTTGGCTTGTGCCTGTGCTAGTGCCTGGGCCCTTGCGTGGCGTATCAGTTGTTCTTGTCTGAGCGCTCTATCAGCCAATGCTCTGTCAGTCCGCTGCCTAGCAGCGTCGACGTTGACGGGGTCAAGTTCGCCGAAGCGGATTTGGGGTGTATATTGTACAACATTGAATTCGATTAGACTTCTGCTGATGCCATCACCTGAGTCGACCATGAAGCCTGGCCCCGAAAGAATGCTCGGTTGCGGTAATGACTGGCTTTCGTCTAACGTTGGTGTTGTTGTGGCTGATTCGACTGCACATTCACTGGCTGGGTATCTCATTCGGGTATCCAATGTGGGTATAATTACGCCCCTGTTAGAATGGGAAAAGGAAGCTGCGCGAGGCGCCGATGAAGATGATGAGCGGGATGCAAATCTTCCGGTTTCTGCTTGAAGTGACTGGTGAGATAGCCCAGAGTGTTCCCGGGTCATAGGCTGGGACGAGTAGCCATGGGGAAGGCTGCCCCTGGAACCGACGGCGCGCAGGGGCGGCGTGATTGCTGACGACCGACGTGGTGGCATTTGAGTAATTTGGACGTTCGGCTCATACGGCATTGGTAAGGGGTTTGGCCCCATAAAGGTAGGGCCAACATTGGAATCGCTGAAATGCTGCTGATTTGCTATCGGCGGCCGCTGATAATCATGGTCTCCGAAGGGAGAGTGTGGAGTCGTTGGCGAGCCTCGATCAGATCCAGAAATGCGTCGAGGATATGGTAGGCCAGGGTCACTGTGAGTTGACAGGGACAGGCTCATCTCGGTGCCCCCCATCATAGAAGCTGATAGGCGTTTTATTTCTTCAGCATCTGGTATCGGAGGGCTATCCTTGTGCATTGGACGCGGTGGCATACTTGGGTGCTTTGGCCGTGGTGGTGGCTTCGTCCCCGCATGAGCCGTTCCAGATGCGACGGCAGCATAAGATGGACCTTGGTTGCCCTGGTTAGCGGGTCCAGGCCTGGCTTGAGCCGGGCTGGCGCTAGTGCCAGCATTCGTTGGAGATGAAGCTGTAACTTGTTGCTGTGCCAGCGGAGACGTTGGTTTGTTAGCAGATTCAGCATCAGATTGCTTTCTGTGGCTGGGGCTGCCGTGGACTATGATTGAACTGTCCCGTCGCGAGCCATCGGATACAGAGACAGTAGGTGTTGCTGGTCGGATCTCCCCAAGATTCTTCCGTTGTTCTTTCAATTTTTTCAGGGGCTCCTTAATAGCATTAATAGCAGAAAGGAAGCTACCTCGTTTCTTCGCAGGAGTACTAACACGCTCTTCCTGGGGAATTTTCGGCGTTGGAACCACAGTGTTGTTGGACAGAGATGGAGACATGTCAACAGCAGACACATTATCAGTACCAATATCTTGGGTTGTGTTCGTGGCGCCGACATTGATGTTGCCATGGAAAACAGAGTCAGGTTGAATGATACTTTGCGGCGAGCCTATCTCCAATGGAGAGTCGGTGCAGTCGGTTCCTAGTTCCCGCTCCCAGGACTTGGTAGACGTGCTGGCTATAGAGTCGGAGAAGGATGACATGCTGTTTGTATGGTCAAAGATTGATCTCTGGTGACGGCACCATTCCTGGGATGAGCCAGGCGATCGGTGCCTGATCTCCTCTTCGATATCAAGTAGCATCTTTTTCAAGCAGTCGTGGTGAAGTTCCAGGTTGACCTCTGATTTGTCTAGCTTGGTCCGGTAGTGGCGCATTAGACGCTTTGCGTGGGTTTGATACTCACGGTAGTCCCTGACAAGACCTGCATTCTTAACTGCCCTTATCTGAGTAGTGGCGTTCTTATAGGAGAGGCAGAACAGGCTTGTAGCGATGCCCAGCCAGTACCAGAAATGCTTTGCGCCTTCGACGATGAGTTCATCGCGGCAGAAGCCCTGGACGACGGAATGAATCTTGAGCACATCGATTTCTGTTCGTGGTCTGCCCATCATGCCCTCGTGGGAAGAGGCACCTTGCGAACTTGCTGGATCCGTTGGGCGGCGTTCCATACCTCTTCTATCGATTTCACTTGTGGGGGTAGCTGCGAGTTCGGTGTAAGCGTCAAAGGAGCGCTCAATCAGGCCGTACCTGATGAGGATGGCAAACGTGTTATCGATGTGCCTCTCGGTACTGCCGTATCTTTCCAGCGTCCGGATTTCGACTTTGTACTCTGCCAAAGCCTTGCGGCCGAGGTGGATCATGCCAACGGGGACGTTGTGTCCGAAGAAGGATAGGATATAGATTAACTGCAGAGCCTCTGTGTACTCGTTAGAGCTAAGATCCGTCATTATCCCTCTGTACGGCTCAGCGAGACGCAGATCAGTCAAGTGGGAGCCAGGTTGGTATGTTTCTAGTGGTTTCCCACTGGCGTTGAGGCGATGACCCAGGGCATGGATGGCGAGCGGCAAGCATTCGTAGTACTTGACCAGCTCTCGGGCCTTTTGGGCCTGTCTTGGGCTTGCATTTGAGATTCCCAGCTCGCAGAAGAGCAGCTGACATGCGGCGTCCACGGCTAGAGGTTGAACTCCAAGGCCGTATGGTTCGTAGAGACGCTGTTTCTGGCGTAGTGTGCGGTCGACGGAGGTGTAGATGATGCTGGTATTCGGCTTGAAGGGGAGGAAGTTTCTAAATTCGTCCAAGTCTTCTTCTACCTCGAAGGCGAGGCCATCGAAGACAAGCAGCCAGTTGTCTCTGCTTTCCAGCCACCGTTTGACATTTGCTGTGTACTTATGGGCCATCAGCCACCGTGGGTCTCGGTCTTTCTGGTCCTCTAGGAGTATGGAGGCAGCGACGGCAATTTCCCAAATTCCGTTGAGACGAGACTCCTTGGACTTGCCATCGATCCAGAAGATGCCACCAGGGTATAGAGTCTCATGATCGTACATGTACTGTCTGGCCAAATGGGACTTTCCACAGCCTGGGCCTCCATGTATCAGAACAGCGACAGGCCCCTGGGCCCGTTTCCGTTCGTCAGATAGTACTTTCCGCAGCTGGTCCATCTCGTCTTGCATCCCGAGAAAGACAGAATTGGGGTGGAAGCCAGGAGGGCTGACGGTCACCACAGTTTCATCCTTCTGGTCTAGCAACAGAGGCCGGTTTGCGTGGCGGATGGCATCTGGGTTGGTGTAAATAGAGTCGTGTGGCCCTGGTAGAGAGTGGGTAGAGATATCTATATATGTATTGTTAGTATATTCCGACACATGTATAGAATAAAAGAGTAGAAGTGAAGTGAGCTGATCAACATACCTAGAGGGTCGTGTGCATCTGTTTGAAGGTCGAGGGTGCTGCCGACGTTCAGCTGCTGAACCTGGAGTCCAGCCTGTACGGAGAGGAGGTACTCCTGCTTCGCCTGCTGCCAGCGAGTAACAATAGTAGGGCCGGCTGTGGATGCGTACCGCCGTATGGCCTCGGTGACGGTGTCGTAGCCCGGGGAGTTCTTGTCAGCAAACCGGCACATGGCACCATGGTCGGCCTCGATGCCCATGCGTTCGACGCCGTCCCAGACAGGTGCGGCAGAGGACTCCTCGACGATGAAGGCACGAGTGCTGCCGATGTCCATGGGCTTGGACTCGTGGAAGAAGTAGATGTGGAAGCGGTTCATGATCTGCACGAACTCGCGGTTGATGACCTGGAGGTGCTCGTTATCGCTCTGCAGGACCTGGACGAGCTGCGGGGAGGTCGAGAGCAGCCATTTTGGGATGACAGTACTGATGATGGACTGGGCCGTGCTGGCGGTCCTGGCGATGCTGGATCCGTTGTGCGGCGTCCCCAGGAAGAGGATGCCGTATGTAGATATGTAGATGGAGCGCAGATGCTGGGTATACTGGTGGCTGACTCTGGTGTAGCAGCAAAGGGCCTTTTTCACGACGAGGCCGCCCAGCGAGTGGCAGACGAAGACGATGGGCCGTTCGGTCGACTTAGTGCTCTATATCATAATGTTAGCCGTAGCTATAGATGTAGATGTAGGTGTAGGCAACGTACGTTCCGCAGGGCACACAGGCTGGAGATGAGATGCTCAGCATGGTTATGCAGCTTGTCCTTGGACGTCCCGCCGCTGAAGGAGGTGACATTCGCATCGTAGCCGTAGGTGATGATCCTGGCCTCGACGCCGCGCAGGGCCTCTGGCAGCAGGTCGGACGGCCAGAAGACTTCGGGGGACTTTTTGGTGGCCCAGGTATGGTACGACGAGCCGTTGAGGCCGTGGACAAACACGATACTACACTTTATTAGAATGATGATGAAGAAGAAGAAGAAGAAGAAGAAGAAGAAGAAGCAGACTTACTCGACGGCCGGACTGGATGTTTGATAGAGCGCAGTGAGGCCAAACTGCTTGACGACGACGCCGCGCTTGGTGACTGCGGTGCCCATCTCGGGCGGGCGGGCGGGTGTTCTCTAGAGGCGCGAGGACAGCGGGAGGGCCAGACGGTATATCAGGCGCATGGAAAGGATTCAACAGTAGCAGCAGAGGAAGAGGAAGAAGTAGAAGTAGAAGAAGTAGAAGAGAAGGCTAGAAGACGGCCAGGCGTGTTATTATATCTGTCCGTCCGTTGATCGCGGTCGACTCTACCGGCGCCCTTGCAGCAGGCGGCCTGACACACCCACGGTCGATGATCGCTGATGCAACCGCAGTCTTGTGAGCAGCCGGCGCAGGGCCAGAAAGAGAGAAAGATGCCGCGCGAAGGAGGCAGACGGAGGCAAAGGCAGAGGAAGGCAGAGGCAGAGGCAGCAGAGGCAGGGCTCAGCTCAGCGGTTTCATGCGAGATCGAGGGTCAGCTGCGAGTCCTGCTGCTCTAGTCCTGACATCACCGCGTACGTCGACTATGTTTTATAACTATATCTGCCTGAGAAACAGCTACTGACGGCTCTTTTATACCGATAGGACAATGCTGGCTGACGGCTCCCTGCTCTCGAAGCTCCCTGGCTCGTCTTCGTCTTCTCTCGCTGCCGCCGCCTGCAAGGGGGGGTGGGGGGTGGTTTCCAGCCTCGCAGCCTCCCTTTGGATATTGATTCTGCACCGAAGAGCTGATCCCTGACTCGCGATTGGAGGGCGATTCAGCAGGCTGGGACTCGTTCTACAGGGCATCTGGTCTGGAGACTGCAGGGTGCAGCCCTACGTATCTCCTGCAGCGGCCAGGGGAAGCCTTCCCGGTGGCCAGCGGAGGCCGTCTTGGGCGTCCCAGACGAGCGGTGCGGCTGGGGGGTCATGATGGAGGGCATGGCCTTGCGAGTTATCTGTTGCATTGGATACGATATACGACGAGGGAGGAAACAAAGGCTGGCTTTGCTTTTTGACCCTGTCATGGATATGCTAACTACTGGATCGACCCGGGCCCCCGAACCACAGGCCAAAGATAGGACGAGATGGACGATTTGGGGCGAACTCTTTTCAGCCCCCGAGGACAGTCTGGCTTCTGGAGGGTTCGTGCTGTTGGCTGTTGGCTGTTGGCTGCTTCTATACATGGCATACGGGGTGCATAGATGCAGATGCGGTTTTGACGGGGGGAACAACGCCTGCATCACACCGGATTTCATGGACCACCCATCGTGGACAGCAAGGACTTCTGTGAAACATGGGCGGCTGTATCATGCAGTGCCGGTTCTGCTCGTGATCCGCAGTGCAGAGTGCAGAGAGGCAGACATCTTGATATCATCGATATCATATCATATCAGGCCATGTCATGTCACATACAGACACCGCTTTCTTACTATACACCTTCAACTAACTACGGCGGCAAGGTCGAGTGGACAGCAAACACCGAGAGAGAGATATCTCATGCACAGTGCCCTCATACGAACGAGGTCGCCCTGAACCAACTGCACAATCACTACGCGAGACAGGAGGCTGAGCAGGAGGATATCTATATCGATCCAGCACTCAACGGCCAAGGGCGATATAGGGCAAACATCATCATCATCTGGTTACTGCAACTAAATATCAAAATACGAGACTCGCTAAAAGGAGGCTCAGGAAAGTTGGTGCCTGCATGTCCAACGCTGCTGCGTGTGTTGATACACAAGCTGCCGTCTATATTTTGATAACAGCCAGATATCCTTCTTCAACTCCTGCCTGCCCTCTCCCTTTGCCGAAGACAACTGCCTTGCAACCACGGGGAAAATCCGCTGTGAATCATCCGTAGCCTGCACATTCTCCTTTCCATGTGCCTGATGCTCACTTTTCGCTTCTAACATACACATCACATGGCCCATAAACCCCGAGATGGTGGATGACGGCCGACCCAGCCCATCCGTGACAAGGAGTACATCCTACAGTTACATACATTTATGTGTACAGTGTGCATGTATCATGTAGTCCGCCCTCACCCGTACACTGATTTATAAGCCATCGCCGCCAAACGCCGTCATCGTCATCGTCGTCGTCAGGGTCAGCGGTTGCAGGAACCAGCCTGGCCAGTCAGAACTCACCGTCCCTTGAACGAAGGCTTCCGCTTCTCCGCAAACGCCTTAAGAGCCTCAAACCGATCTTCCGTCTCCACGACTCCGAGATACGCCTCGTTCTCTGCCTCTGCGCCCCTTTCGAACCCGTCAACAGCCTTCAGCGCCTGGCCAAGCGCAATCGGCCCGCCTTCACAGATCTCCTGCGCCAGCCTGATGCTTTCGCGTAGAACCTTCTCCCTGGCTTCTCCCGGCTTGCCCGCTTCCTCGGGCGTCACCTCAACCAGCCGGTTGCAAAGTCCGAGGAAGTACGCTTCGGGCCCGCTGACTCGTCGTCCTGTCAGGATCATGTCCAGCGCGCGGTTCTTGCCGATAAGGCGTGGTAGCCTGTAGGTGCCTCCTGCGCCGGGGATGATGGCAAGGCGCGTCTCGGGCAGTCCCACGACGCTGGTGCTTCCGAAGACTCGCAGCTTAGTGCACAGCGCCAGCTCCAGTCCGCCTCCCAGGGCCATTGACGAGATAGCAGAGACCGTGGGGATGGGCAGCTCGTCCAGGTTGGCGAACGTCTGCCGCAGCTGGGCAAGGAACGCTTCAGTACTGCAGTTACCCGTAGTCAGTCAGCGTGCTCTAGACTTGATAAAGTAACGATGAGGTATAGTAGGTATATATAATGGTAAATAATAGTAGAAATACTCACTCCTGCTTGGTGAAGGTGGCTCGCTCTTTCAAGTCTGCTCCGGCGCAGAACGAAGCATCGACGTTGCTGGCCACGACCAGAGCCCTCGTCGGCCCTTTACCCTGCTCGGCCTTGATGTCGTCAATGTGTTTGCCCAGGCTGTTCAGCAGCTGCCGCGAGATCGCATTGCGAGCCTTGGGCCGGTTCAGAAGCAGGACTCTGATATGGCCAGCTCCCGGGGCAGGAATCTGCTGCACATTGATCACGTCGCCGTGGGCGCTGGTGCCGAGCGTTGCGTTGCGCCGGACCTGGACGACGGGGAACTGGCGGAGGCTGGTCGGCCGGAATACGCGAGCAGCAGCCATTGTAGATACTACAGTCAGTGACGGGCAGGTAGACTTTGCTGGCGAGGCGTTTTGATGGTTGTTGGTGATGTGAAGAAGAAGTTGACTTGTAGTTGTTGTTGGTGTTGTTCGGTTCTATTTTTATGGCTACTTTCGGCCGCTTGGGCCGACGCCGAAGACTTAAAGTGTTACTCGAGTGTTATTGATAGATACTATAGGGCAAGCATGGATGTTTGACGTTTGATATTTGATATTAGATATTTATTGATATACATTGATATCGGTACAGGGCCGTCGTCTACTCTTCGTCGTGGTAGAAGTTATACAGCATCTCGTGCTGGATATAAGCGTCAACCTCTTCGTCCGACGGCCACGGAGCCATGACCTCGGTCTCGTCCATGAGGCGTCGAGCCTCCTGGACCAGGGGGTGGGCGAGCTGATCGGCTTGCGAGCAGCCTGCTTCTTCCTCTCTCAGAGCCATCGGGTCGTGTTCAAGAAAGACCCTACAAGCAACGACCGCCCGACGAAGCATCCGGCGGCCCCCACGCCGCTCGTTGGTCACTCGTCTAAGCTCATGTCCTTCAGTCTGGAGAATACGGAGAATCGCCACGATGGTCTCTCGGTCTCTGCCACGCCCGAACGCCCGGATAAGCGAGTGAAGGATGGAAGGGGACGGAATTAGCGCCCGCCTCGAGAGTGTGGGTGTGGCATCATCAACTGACGCAGCGCCGGTGGCTTGCTGTTCCCGGTACAGTGGGAGGAATCGGTTGACTTGGAGCCTCAGCTGGGCGAGGCCATGCTCTACCATCTCCTCGGCGGTTTGTGTCGTCAACAGCCGGTCCGGTATAGCGGGCGAGGGCCCTGGAAATTGAAAATGAGACGCTACCCTTCTCCCTGCCTTGACGGCACCGGGGTGGAGGTGGAGAGTTTGCGCCAGCCCTACAAATCCGTTGCACATGAGCTGGATACACCGGAGGTCTAATGCTACAGAGTTGACATTCATGTATTCAACCAGCCTCAGTGTCTCTTCCCAGGCAAAGACTCGGTTCACTCCTGGCGCAAGTCCGAGTCTGTGGAAGTTGTGAAACGGTCGACTGCCGATAGCCACAGCCTTGAGAAGGTTATGCCAGGCAGACATGTACCGTGGCCTCCGTTGCTCCATGAGAAAAATGGCATGAGCAAGAGCACGGCCTTGGTTGGGTTCCAAGTCCGAGTATCGTGGTAGAAGAATCGGGAACATGGCGTTCAGCGCTTCCATCCGGTCTGGAATCCCGTCCACGGTACTATGTGAGGCACATCTACATAGGAATCGTATGACAGCGGAAAACATGGCATCGTGGATGGAACTGAGGGCGTCGACTCTTTCTCTGCTCTGTTGGGAGGAAGGATTAAACAGAGCATAAATCTGGCCCTTGGTAAGAGTGCTGTGATCAATATAATCTAGTCCCTGCTTCAAGGAAGAACTGTGTCGAAGGATCAAGACCAGCACTTTATCCGGTAGCGGGAAATCCTGAGAAAATGTCTGCTGTAGAAATTCAGGTAGCGCTGGCGGCTCTGAGGGTACGTATATAAGATCGCGAGGTGAAGTCGGCTCGGGATACACCTCTTTACCACCATCAGATGGAGCAAAGGCGGCGGTAGCTTTGGATTCAAATTCCGCTTGTTGATTGATCTGACCGCGGGTTCTCTCCGACGAAATAAGTTTTTCCACTATCTCGTAGATTATCTGTTCGGTGAGAGGAACATTCTGCTGCTGAGAGGAGACATAGCATGCCCAGGCCTCTCGAAGCGTCCTGGTTGCACGGATTCGAGCAGCCCATACAAGAGGTTCTGACGGAGATTCGTTTCCTTCTAAGCGCTGCCAACTTGGATCTGGGAGTCTGGTCCTCTTTTGAATTGTTGGGGTTCCGTCTGTGTCCCAGCCGGCTACAACAGATGCCGCTCTATCCCACTCGGCGAAACGATAGCCGGCCTGCTGCATATGAGCCATAGACTCCATAGCCTTGCTTTTGCTTCCCTCGGTCTTTTCTGCGTCGATTCCGAGCTTGTCTTCTTTCCACGGAGGCCACGAGACCGCTTTAAAGCTATCCCACTGCCTCTCTGCTTTCGTCATCTTGGCTGCTAGCAAGATCTGAGTGATTGCCTGGTAGCTTGCTTTGTTGACCGGTAGCGGTGGGTTGAAGGTTTCCATCTCTCGTAGAATATGGAATACTGCCTTTTGCTGTAGTTTGGCTGAATGATACGGTTCTACTCTGCACCAGCCTGCCAAACGTTGGATGAATTTGTTATAAAGTTCTGTTACTCGGCGCGCCTTTTTGGGACCAAGCTGATCCAGGTCTTTGGTTGCTGTTAGACAAGTAAATGTAGATGTGAACATTTCCGCTATATTGGCCAGGGTCCTGGGAGCGATATTGCGCGCCAAGTTGGTTAGACGAACAAGGATGGTCATAGCCAGAGCAGAGTCTCCCTTTATACTCTGCACTGGTATCGAGGAGGTGCCGGATTCTGAGTCCTTGGATAGAGGAGAAGGTTCATCCTGAACCATGGAGTTCAGTAACCTCCGGCATTGCTCCAGAAGAAATTTGAAGCTAGGTTCGTCTATATCGACTCGACGCAGGAGGAACATGAGAATGAACATGGGCACTGGGGCCTCCTCTGCCAATATCTGGTACCGCATGACAGCCAGATGTGCATCTGGTGTGGCCAGTACCCACGCCCAAGCCATCACATCGCCCGCAGAATACCCTCTCTTCGACAAATATGCCAATGCATCATCATCAAACACCTGGAGGAGAGCATTGTCTAGATCGCTAGCTCGCGCCACGTCTGTCCTCAGTAACGGGTATATCAGATGCAGATATCTAGCAACCAGGAGTGAATATTCAATGCGTACAGGGCGGGTCGCATTCAGGCTAGCTTCCAGCTTTGACACTATTTTCCCTTTTTCCGAAGGCTTCGCAGCCAGGCTTGATAACAGACCGCCATGGCTGGCTGAAGTATAGGTCCCCGCTTGGATCCGGTGTAGAGCCAAAAGGAGTGCTTTTGGAGATGGCGGATACACGTCCGGCGGCCTCGTCTCTGGAGGAGCGGTAGGAAGCTCAGGAGAAGGATAGACTGCATGCGCAATCCCAGGTATGCCAGGCTGTTGGGCAGTACTCAGCGTCTGGGTTAAGCTAGTCGGCTACACGGTTTCTTATCATTAGAAGCTATCCCGCAAGTAGAAAAAGAGCAATGCAACCAGAAAACTCACCTTGACATGCTGTAGCACAGGTGCCTGAGAAGAGAGACACGGGGATATCAATGATACCGCAAGTCTTTGGCAGGCATACCGGCGGAGAGAGGACATATAACAGCTCTCTGGGGATTGATCCGTAGCTTTAGTTCGAGAAAAGAGATCACCGGCCTGTCTGCAGGAACATGTTACATCGGAGGCACCGGGCACAGAATCAGGACGCAACAGTAAGCCACCGTCAAGGAGCTGTCTAGAGATGCTTGTCCAAAAGATGCTGTCTAAAGGATGTTGTTTGTCTTTTTATCTCCCAAAAACTTCGCGATGTCGCTTTTTTGCCCGACGTCCTGCTGAGTCATCATTTCACGTGATCACTCCCCAAAGAAGGAATTTGAGATCGCGAAGTTTGAGAAAAAAAAGAAGAAGAAGAAGAAGACGAGAATTTTTTGGCCGCATCGTTTGAGATTTCTGTGGTTGACAGTGAGATTATTCGAGCAGCCGCCTGGAGACGCTGAAAGACAACGACAGTTACGATCTGCATGGGTGGTTCTGCCTTGCACCCCCGAACGACCCCAAGGACGCGCTTCTAGTTTTCCTTTTGGTGGCGGACTGCTTGCTTTCCTACCGGTAGGCCGTTCTGCATCGCCCATCGCTCTCCCTGGCTGCTGAAGCTAACTGCGCGACAGCATCGCAGGAGCCGTCTGTCGCTGTCCTTTTGCCCAGAGTCAGGCCCAGCTGGCCTTGTTACGACGAAGAAAAGCTTTTAAGCGTGAAGCCCGGAGGGTGGAGGAGTGTGGTCTTAACCTGGCTAGTTTTCCCTGGCATCGCTGCTATATCAGCCTTCTCGATTCATGCAGGGAGAGAGAGACCGCTTCTCTCACCATTGGAGACACCGTCGACTGCGCGCGATCTAGCCGAGCTCTCACTTTTGGCTTGCCGAGTGGATGATAATATTGAGGTGGAGTGAAAAGAAAGGGCTGGCGAAGAAACGGTCAAGATGAATGGGATCTCAGTCCAAGGCCCAGAGGCGTCAGTCACTCCGGCACCACCCTCAAAACGAAAACGCGAAGCAACGGCAGAAGGCGAAGCAGACGGAACTGCATCTACATCAGAAAACAGTGAATCAGCCTTTCCTGACACTCTCAAGGATCTTATTTTGGTCCTGTCCAAGTAAGACATCAATAAGCCCAAATCCTAGTGTCCGCTCAGTTTTCTATCTTCTAGTCGCATTTCTAACAGCCATAATCTAGACACGACTCCGACCTTGGGATCTTAAATCGCCCACTCGCCCATGTACCCACGGGGGAGCCTGAGAACAAGCGAGTAAAACGATCAAAGACGGCCATCGAACATCCATCTGTTCAGTCCCGAGTTGAAAAGGCCTACTACAGTTCCCTTGAACCTTTCCTTCACGATGTCGAGCAATCCATCAGCTCGTTTGTCGCAGAGTCCCAGCGACATGATAGCAAGTCTCGCCGGTCGACCACGCAGGCCTCGCCTAACGAATCGTCCAGTCGTGCGAATGCGTTCAGAAAAGAGTTAAATAAGCTGGTACTGAAAATCTCTCCCCAAGCATCGCCATTTAACGCTTCAATCAAGGCAGCAAAAGCAGAGGACACGTCTGAATCACTGGCTGGCAATTCTCGAAACGACCGGTTAGCTTTGGCTCTTGTGGATAATACTCCTCACGGAAGACAGATATTTTCAAGCGTCCAGCGGTCCGATTTGCCTATCAACGAAACCGCGCTTCCAAAGGGGATAGTGGCTACTAGGATTGTTCCCTTCAACCCCTTACACATGGATGAATCGCGGACACGGACAAGGACTATCGGAGAGGTATTCGCACCACGGCCAAACCTCCCTGCTCTCGAACGACCTCAGAAACGCCCTGCTGAGAGCGGCCCATCCGTCGTCGAATGGTTAGACCCTCTTGAAGCCGCTTCCTCCTTACCCAGTAAGCTTCTAGGGAGAAAAACCTATAGCCAAATCTCCCTTCCATCCGGTTCCTGGTTAAACTATGGCTATGAAAACCCGTTGCTATCGGATAATTCTCGCCGTGTGTCAAGGCAGGAAGCCATCGAGAAGGAGAAATTCTCAAAAGCAGACAAGACTCTTTTCCATGCACTCTACTCATCATTTGCCCCGTCCTTTGACAGTTCAGGCGCAGTCGCACCCCGGGCTGCTAAATATCAAGCTTGGTGGGAGAAATCAGGGGCTCGTCGCATGAATGTTTTGTTTAACTCTGAGCAAAACGAAGAACAAGACGCTCCAGCCTCCCCGAAAGCTTCTCCAATTTTAGATCAAGTATTGGACCCCCAACTGTTGGACGAGGAAACGCTATCTGAAGCGGTTGAAACTTTCAAGCCAGATACAACATATGTGGATAAGGCAACAGATTCCAATGAAGCTGCCAGCGACGAGGATAAGGAGAAGAAGGCCGAGGGCGACATAGGAGAAATCCTGGACGATATATCAGACCTGCTTCAAACACTAAACTCGTACCGCCAGCTCCGAAACCTCTCGCAGCAGCCATCAAGTAATAAAACGATTGACCAAAGCAATGGGACATCAGCAAGTCACGACCAGGCGGCGACTCCCTCTGATGCGGAATACAGCATATACGAAACATTGAAGTCTAGCTTATCGACATTGGTGGCTTCTTTGCCTCCGTACGCAGTGTCGAAGCTGACGGGAGAGCAGCTTGCTGAATTGAATTTGAGCAAGAAGATCCTACTAGATGGCGCCGATTACCCTGGCACCCTTGATGATGATGACTTTACCAAGCAACAGAAACAGGCTGCGCAAATCCAACAAAATCTGGTAAACTCTCGTGGCCATACCCATGCTCAGGTACCACAGGGCCGACCAGCTACCTACCAGACCCCAACAGCACCGGCCCCTTACCAACGACAACATGCTGCTCGCCAAAAGCATATGCCAGTGAACTATCAACAGGCTCCTCCCCCTCCTCCTCAGGGGTACGCAGGGAGACCGCCGCCGCCGCCGCCAGGGCACTATCAACCCGCGAACCCCCAGCCATTTGCACAGCACCCCCAGGCCGGCCAGCGGCAAGGATACATGCAGCCCCCTTACCAACAACCAGCTGGAGCATCTTCCCCTTACAGCAGGAGTGCAATGTTGCAACAATTCCAGCGCCCTGCATCCAACGGTGTATCTCCCTACCCGCAGAGACGGCCCTCCCCTGCGCAAACTCCAACCCAACCGTACCCCCATCGCACACCCCAGGTTGCGTACCACCAGCCTATCCATCAACCTCAGCTTAACCATGCTGCTGGCCCCCAGAGAATTCCACAACAACCACATGGCTATAATCAATCACCACAACGAACACCCTATCTAAACTCACCTACCGGCCACCCTGCTCAGCCACGGTACTTCCAGCAGCAGGCACCACAGCCGATGCCCTACGCGAACTACCCCCCTAACCAAGCGAGCCAGATACATTCTCCATATGCCAAGCCTTCTCCAGGTATACCCTATCCCCGGTCAGCCGCCGAACAGGCCGCGATCATGGACCGGAACAAAATGCAACTGCTAGACAGTCGCGCTCAAGCCGTTGCCTCCCCTCAGCCAATGCAGCCCAACGGCCAGCCGAATGGGCTTCCTATGGCTACTCCAGGGCCCTCAAAATAGATTAAAGAAGTCGATGCAAAGTTTACACTTTGATAACCTAAGACAGTGGCTGTCTGTACTCTTTATTTATCCTACCCTGCAAGTTTATTCTACGGCCTCCCTGTGGCCCCAAGCTTGTGGGCTACCGCACATTTAATCACCAATGTATCAACAGACTATCCATACCTCCTTTGCCTCCTATCACTGCTTTGTCTATCCCTCTACTTTTTTTTCTTCTACCTTCGTCTTCTTAATCATCCAAGTAGACCCATTACTGTCCCTTTTTCCGCGTTGTATTCCTTTTTTCCCTGGTGCATGGAGGTATTTAAAAGGGATCCTTAATTAGTCCAGTTTACAGGCTTTTCTGAACACACACACACACACACACATAAAAAGAAAAGAAAGAGGTTGAAAACGACAAAGGATCATTCTAATGGATTGCTTGACTTTTACTTATGCTAAATGGGTTCGCTGGACTATATAGTGGAATGTTCTGTTAAGATGGCTTTTTTGACCCGGCGTCCTTCTCCCATTGATTTATGTACTTGCTTTTCTTCTGCCTTGACTTTGCCAGCCCTTGAATCGAGATGAATACACTCAGATTTACTAATGCTCTCACTATACGTCTTTAAAGGGGATAAGAAGTACTTCTAGTTAACAAGATTAATGCAAGAAAGAGAAATATCTCAGGTTCTTTGCTTGTTTTATCTATTCGCGCAGTAACACTGCATCGACTTACTCCATCCCTGACAGTTTCATTCAAGCGTTTGGCAAGAGATAAGAGAGGCATATTCATAGTAGAAAGCAAGAGGGTTAATACAACAGTGATAAGATAAAAAATAAACCTCACCTTGAGTGGGAGCAATAGCTGCTCCTCTGCAAGGGTTACTTGTTTAGAAACAGGGGGGTGAAACTCATAAGCCGTACATTTAAAACAGGAGGAAGAAGGTAGCCCGTAGCAAGGAAGGAGAAAGATCATTATCAATTATGGCACAGGATGAAAAGAAAGGAAAAAGCCCCTTTTTTTGGTTCCTGGAATCATAACGTCGTAAAAATGACATAGAACCGTACATGAGATTGATAGACCGAAATAATAGGAACAAAAGTAACCCGTTTTGTTTTGTTTTTGAAAACCAAGAAGAAGATAGAAGATAGATATGAAATATTCCAGTGCATGCATGCTAGAAGTCGAACCTGCGAGGACTAGAGGCGAGAAAGGGTATAAAGTGGCTAATGCAAAAGAAGTGTTTTTGGTAGAGAAAGGGGTAATATAAGCTATATCAAAGCAGGAGTGCCGCCATAGTCATGAAGCCGAAATAACTAATTCGTAGATATCGTTAGTGACTAGTTAACCATGAAAGAAAAGATAAAGGGTCGGTGACTTACATGACAGCGCATTTCCAGCCATCCTGTGGCTCGATGAGGTAGTCGTGTCCCGGGGGTCCGTTTGACGCCCACCAGGCAAACGAGCCCGCGACAAAGGAGACAACGACGATACGCCCAAAGAATTCGGTGATGGCTCCAAACGCGAGCAAGGGGAAGAGGATGGCGGCGAATATAGCTGCCACAGTGGAGTAGAGGGGGTTGGAATGCAGGGCGCTGGCAGGACGAGGGGCCATGGTAACCAGGTCGGCTCGCTGGTCCAGGAGCTTCCTCTCGCCCTTAGTAGATGCGCCAGCAGGGGAGCGTAGGAAGGCTCTGTAGGCGTCGACATCGTCGTCTGAGGCAGCAGGGAGGTTCTTGATCACTTTGGAAAAGGAACATAGCGCCCGATCTGAGCAGTTGTCAGTATACAAATATCAGTTCTAAAGGGTGGCAGAGACATACTGTACTGGTCTGTCTTGAGCATGATCTTGTCGAGAAGGTCTGTTCGTTTATTCTGTAGGATGGAGTAGTCTTGTATCTGGTCGCGGTACTTTGCAGCAAGCTGTTTCTGGCGGGAAGAAGCACGAGAGCCTGACGCGCCAGCGCGAGCAGCATCGATATCGTCAATGGTAATCAGGTCGTCTTCCAACTGGGCAATCTCCTCCTGCAAATGCCGCAGCACACGGTGGTTCAGCCGCTCAAACTTGCGATATACATGGTGAGGTGTTTCGGGCACGGCTGTCCATTCAAACTGCTCGGGCACTGAGGCCTGGGAGCGTCGTCTGGAAGCTTCAGTCGTCGGTGCCTTGTCAGCATGAGGAAGATGCTGCTGCTGCTGCTGCTGTTGCGGATGGTGGTGGTGATGATGATGCTTGGTGGGAGGCGGAGGAGCCATGGAGTAGGAGAGCATACTCTTGGGCACGTAGAAGGATTCCGGATGGGAGAAGTTCATGAAGGCCGGAGCAGCGGAAGTAGGGCCCTCGAGCAGGCTCTCGGTGTCCGTCATGTAAGAGCCGGCCATATGGGACTTTGCCATGCCTTTGGATCCGGGGATGTGGAGGTTGATAGGGTCGAACAGCATGTCTGGGGGAGTAACGGGCTGATATTCAGACTCCTTTGACACCGACGACGAGCGACTCGGACTGAGGTCTCTTTCTTTTTCTCTCTCTCTCTCTTTGTCCTTCTCCTTCTCTTTATCCTTATCTTTTTCTTTGGCCGTGGCAGAGGAAGAGGACCCCCCTGACACCGTCCTGAGCAGCTGGGAGAGACTGGCCTTGCGGCTATGGTCCTTTGGCCGCGGCGCCCTGGGTACCACTGGTTCGGAGGCCTTTCTTGAATGCGCAGAGGGCCTCATCTGCATCTGCTCGTCCAGCGGCTGGTCGAGGTAGGAGAAGACTGCTGCCGCTGCCGGGTCTATGGGAGCTACTGATGCAGGTATGGATGTAGATGTAGAAGTAGATATAGCAGCAACAGCGGGTATAGATGTAGCAGTGGCAGGCAGCGGGACAGTGACGGGCGGCTCGCTGGCTCTGCTGGCAGCTCGTCGCCGGGCAGCAGCAGCGGAAGCGGAAGTGGGAGCAGGAGCAAACTCCTTGTCCTCCTCGTACGGCGCATCCAGGGGCTCGTTGAAGATGCTGTAGCCGTGGTCTGGCGCCAGCTCGGCTTCGGGTATGGCATAGGAGAAGTCCAGCGGCGGCGGCGGCGGAGGAGGAGGCTGTAGGGGCACAGCGGAGGCCTTCTTCGACTTCTTGGTCTTCCCGGGCGCCATCTTATATAATCTTATATAGATCGCTGTGGCCGTGTAGGTATAAAGGCCCCGGGGGAGATATCTATAGATCTGGGATATATAGGCAGTGGGCAGGAGGTATAGGCAGCCCGCGTGGTGCTGAAGTTGTCAACCAGCGATCTTCACTTTGGCGCATATCACAAGCCGGTCACGGCGAAGGAAAGGAGACACGAGCAGGCGAGATCAAGGCAGCGTCAAGTCAGGCGATGAACAGACAGACAGACAGGCAGAGAGTAAGTGACAGTCGCTATCTCAAGATATTCCTTCGCTGACGGTGGTTTTATGAAGGAGACGCGGTTTGATTCTACTGCGAAGCGGCCAGCACTTGGTAGATATATATTTGATAAAAGACAGCCCGCAGACGGACAGAAGCAGTCACTCGATAGACGATGCGATTAATATATTGATTTATCCAAGCTGGCCGGGTTCAATAGTGCGATGAAACACCCCTGGGCCCGATCGACATTGGTTAGATGGCGGGCATGCGGGCGTCTCATGGAGGGCTGCTTAGCCCTTGTGTGCGATGATGACGGATAGAAAGACGAGCAGAAAAAGAAAAGACGAGAAGAAGACGAGAAGAAGAGGAAGAAGAAGAAGAGAAGAAGAAGAAGACGAAACGCTGCCAATGACCTGGGGGTGTTAAACGACCAGCCTCGATATATATATATGCCGTGAGACCAACGCCGCGAGCCACCCAGACAGCCAACAGACATGAAACAAGAGGCAGACGAGGTCGAGATCCGAGTTAAACTATGGAGTTACGACTGATGTACACGGGCTATGGGCATCTACAAAGTATACGGAGTATGTACTCTGTCCAGCGAGTGTGGGAGTCCTCGGCTTCACGGCCTGCGGATTCCAGCTCCAGGTTGCGGCCAGTGACTTGTCACATCAGACGAAAAGGTTTCATCTATCGAGTTTCCGGTCGCTAGTTCAGACGAAGGACCGTATAACGAGATGGCCTTTCATGGCTTTGATGGCTTTTTACACTCTCGACTTCCCCAGGATCAAGGTGATTTCTACCCAAGGCCGGCCGGGGGCAGCAGGACGGTGATTCGCCTGCGGGTCCAGCAGAGGCAAGTTGGCTGCGTCTGACCCTTGGAGATGCCCATGCTCGTGTGGCTTGCTTAGTGACTCCTGCGCTGTTACTAACCTTTGTCCAAGTAGATTATGTGCGTCTGTCAATCGGCTTGTCATATGGAAGGAAGTCATCTGTATCAAATACGGTGCAGACACACACACGCAAATACACGAACAGATACACACACGCAAACAGACATAAACAGTACTCATAGGCAGATACACAGAGACAGGCATAGAGAGAGGGAGATAGTCAAGGTGAAACACGTCCGTCGGTTGACGGCATCACAGCCTGCTCCGTACAGACAGACACACGACCGTCCAACTTCCCCCGAGAAGAAGTGATCCGGCTTCCACGGTGCTATTATTAACTTGATGGGCAGCCTGCAAGCAGACGATCAAGGGCGAAATGTGCCGTCCTCGTCCTCCAGCGATCCCGGCCAGCGAATGGCAGTCTGATATTGGCCCGTATTGCACAGACGAAGGCGCTGGAAGTGGCTTTTCTTTGCTTCTTCCTCTGCTCTGGCTCTGGCTCATCGCTGTCAAGAAATATCCGGCCAGAATTCAGTCAGAGTTATCATATGTATATCTGCAGGCTGATGATATACATAGAGTACTCCGTATCTATAATCTATAACTATAATGGCCGAGAAAAAGCAACGACGGCCAAATCCAAGCCACAGGAAAATTGAATCTTCGAAGATACGTGCATCTTCTTCCCTGCACGACAGCCAGCTGGCCAACGGATTTGCTGTATTATTATTTTGATTTGCTTTCAGCTGCCTGTCAGCTCGATCAATTAGAGCACAGAGAATAGACAGGAGAGAGCCTGTGGTCGCCCAACCTGCGCTGCTACCAAAGCAACAGAGCTGCCCGATCGCGAGCTTCCACCAACAACATTAAACAACAACAACAGCACCAACAAGCAGAAGGAAGAGGAGGAGCAGATGCAGATGCAGGCGCAGATGGTCAGGCTCCGACTACTTCACCCTCGTCTCTCCCTGTCTTCGGCTTCCGTGGCTGCTCGACATTGGGCCTGGAGTAGGACGGCCCCCGCGAGAGCAGGACCAGGACGGCTACTCAGCACGCAGCAGATACAGTCATCTAGCAGCGAACCGTTCGTGCCGTTGCGGAAGCAGTTGAAGGACGAGTCCAAGGCGAAACGGCTGCAGGGAAAGGGCAGGAAGCGGTCGAGAGGCGCGAGGTCGCAGGTTGAAGGATGGGAGCTGACGGTTGGCATTGAGGTGCATGCCCAGCTGGATACGGACGCGAAGCTGTTTTCCCGTGAGTTATAGGAAGTGGGAGAAGAAGAAGACGAAGAAGTGGTAGAAGAAGAAGAGATGCTGATTTCGTAGGAGCTTCTGCTGCTCAGGAGGATGCGCCGAATGCTAACGTCGCGCTGTTCGACCTCGCGTTTCCAGGCAGTCAGCCAGTCAGTACCATCCTATTATTATAATTATTTGTTGCTTCTACATATTGATGATGTCTGACTTTGCATGACAGTCCTTTCAGACGGCGACGTTGATACCGGCGCTGCGGGCTGCGATCGCGTTTGGGTGCGAGATACAGAGCGTCAGTCACTTTGACCGGAAACACTACTTCTACCAGGACCAGCCGGCCGGATACCAGATTACGCAGTACTACGGTAGGCACATCACCACGACTTTTTAAAAGTAGAGTTGTAGGGTTAAATGGGAGGCTGATGTCGACAGAACCGTATGCAAAAGCAGGGACACTCTGGCTGTATCCCCACGATGGGATAGCCCCCGAGGACGGCGAGGCAGTGCGAGTCGGGATCAAGCAGATACAGATGGAACAGGACACGGCCAAGTCACAGGAACTACCTTCGCACGCGGTGCTGCTCGACTTCAACCGCGTCTCCCGCCCGCTGATCGAGATCATCACGCTGCCGGAGATACACTCGCCTGCCACGGCGGCTGCCTGCGTACGGAAGATCCAGGCCATCCTGCAGTCGTGCGGCGCGGTCAACACGGGCATGGAGATGGGCGGCCTGCGTGCGGACGTCAACGTATCCGTTAGACGTACTGGAGAGACAAACACGGCAGAGCTCGGGCAGCGAACAGAGATCAAGAACCTGAGCAGCTTCAAGGCGGTCGAGGACGCCATCGTAGCGGAGCGGGACCGCCAGATCGCGGTGCTGGAGGGCGGCGGGAAGGTCGAGGGCGAGACGCGCGGGTGGACGATCGGGAGCAGCGAGACGCGGCGGCTGCGGGAGAAAGAAGGGTCGGTGGACTATCGCTACATGCCGGACCCAGACCTCGGGGCGGTGGTGGTGGGCGAGCAACTGGTCGCGACGCTGCGGACGAGCATGCCGCCGTCGCCGGACGAGCTGCTGCAGATGCTGACGGAGGAGGAGCAGTACGGGCTGACGATGGAGGATGCAAAGCCGCTGGTCGAGCTGGACGACTGTGCCCGGCTGGAGTACTATCTCGACGCCGTCGACGCTTTACATTCCCTCCAAAACACCACCACCACCACCAGCAACAGCAACAACGGCAGTGGAAAGACGGCGACAGGCAAGATGGTGGGCAACTGGGTGCTGCACGAGCTCGGGGGCCTGTTCAGCCGGGCGGACGCAGCCTGGGACAGCGGGCGAGTGCCTCCCGCAAGCCTGGCAGCGATCGTGCAGCTGGTCGGGACACGCCAGATCACCGGCAGCACGGCCAAGTCGCTGCTGGCGGGCGTCTTTGCAGGCGAGCACGGCGGGCGGACGGTGCAGGAGGTGGTCGAGCAGGACGGCTTGCTGCTGCGGCCGCTGGCCCCGGAGGAGTACCTGGCGATGGCGCGGACGGTGATGGCCCAGCACCCGCAGCTGGTCGAGCAGGTCCGCCGGGGGCAGCAGGGCAAGGTCGGCTTCTTCGTCGGCCAGATGATGCGCATGGGCGAGCAGGGCCGCGTCGAAGCCCAGCGCGCTGAGCAGGCTGTCCTCTCGTTGCTCTGATCCTCTCGTTACTCTAACCATCCTCTGATCCTTATTCTAGCGGTGATGCGGTGATGCCGGCGGTGGTGATAGACTTAGGGGCTGGCGGTGATATAGACTCAAGTGCAGCCTCCGCCGGGCATCGCCAGCGCCCCCGTACCAATGACAGCGCAGACAGCGAGCGCCGCCACCACCGGAAGAAAAAAGCCGGAGAAAAAGGACGAGGATAAGACGAAGACAAGACAAGAAGACGAGAAAAAGCAACGACAGGCAAGCGGGCCATGGACACTGCCCTAGCGCCTGCAGCTGCTCCTCTTCTCTCCAAAACATGTACTTAGGGGAAGTGCTCGCCCCTAAGAGCATCTTCAGCCGGCGAGAAGGCACAGCGCAACCAACCATCGCGACCGCTTCTCCCCTTGATCCCGGAGACGAGGACAGACAGAGTGACGAGAGACAGCGCCTGCGAGTGTTTCTGCGCCCTTCTTTTGATTTTTTCCCTTTCCTTCGGTGGGCCGCCGAGACTATCCGGCTCGTCTATATAAGTGGCCTTCGTCCTCAGACACAGCATCCGGACAGACACAGCATATACAGACATCATAGACAATAGACTGAAGATAGACAAGATGACTTCCCCTACCACGACCATCACGCAAAAGTTCCTCTCCCGGCCTGCCGAGCTGGGCGTCGTTGCCGTCGGCTTCTCTGACGGACAGGTGCGCCCCCCTGACTACCCAGATAGACACACTTGATAGACTGACAAGATGGACAGCCCAAAGCCGGTGTCGACGCTGGCCCGACGGCGCTGCTGGAGGCCGGCCTGCTCGACCAGGTGCGCGACGAGCTCGGCTACAAGGTCGACTTCGACAGTAAAGTGCACGACTACGCCGACCTCAAGCCCGCCGAGAGCGAGGACCCGCGCTACCGCAACATGATCAAGCCCCGGACGGTCTCTGCAGTGACCCGGCGGCTGAGCGAGCAGGTCTACGAGCACGCCCGCGAAGGCAAGATGGTGCTGACCCTCGGCGGCGACCACTCGATCGCCATCGGCACCGTCTCCGGCACGGCAAGAGCCATCCGCGAGCGACTCGGCCGCGAGATGGCCGTCATCTGGGTCGACGCCCACGCTGACCTGAACCGCCCCGAGGAGAGCGAGAGCGGCAACGTCCACGGCATGCCGGTGTCCTTCCTGACGGGGCTGGCCAAGGAGGAGCGCGAGGACGTCTTCGGCTGGCTGAAGGAGGACCACTTGATCAGCACCAGCAAGCTCGTCTACATCGCCCTGAGGGACGTTGACCGCGCCGAGAAGAAGACCCTGCGCGAGCACGGCATCAAGGCCTTTTCCATGCACGACGTCGACCGGTTCGTCTTTCCACCTCTACTATCTTCCCTTCCACTTCTTCCGCTAACTGTAGTAGATACGGCATCGGCCGCGTCGTCGAGATGGCGCTCGCTCACATCGGCAACGACACGCCCATCCACCTGTCCTTCGACGTCGACGCCCTCGACCCCCAGTGGGCACCCAGCACCGGCACGCCCGTCCGCGGCGGCCTCACCCTGCGCGAGGGCGACTTCATCGCCGAGTGCATCCACGCCACCGGCAACCTCATCGCCATGGACCTCGTCGAGGTCAACCCCAGCCTGGCCTCCATGGGCGCCAGCGAGACCGTCCGCGCCGGCTGCTCGCTCGTCCGCTGCGCCCTCGGCGACACCCTGCTCTAGACTGTATGATTCACGACGCAACGATAGATAAAACTTCTTATATTATTCTCTTCTTCTTCTCCATGTTCCTCTTCTCCATAATCCTCATCCCTGTCGTAGATAGTAAAAGTAGATAGTAGGTGTATGTATGTGAAACGTTGTCGTGGTGATGCGGTGGCTGGGCGAGTCAAAGGCCAGACGGAGCGACCAGCCACAGCTTGACCAACCCTGCAAGGCGACATTTGACAGCTGGAGCCACAGTCTTCTCTTCTTCTCTCTTCTTATTCTCTGCTTCTTATTCTCTTCTTATTATTCTCTTCTTCTTATTCTTCATCGTTATCGTCTGATAGCTCTTCGTCTCAGCTCATTGACTTTGCTCTGACCTACCAAACCGCAGCTCGAAGTAAACAAACCAGCGCCCGCCAGCAAACAAGCAACAAGACGCCCAAGACCACCAGGTGGCCGACGCAGATTGGAACAGCGCTGCAGCTCCCCGGCCTCCCTGTCACTCGCTGTCACTCTCCTGTCTCGCTGTCGGGCCTGCGGATGGGACCAGGAGGCCTCTGTTGCTGCTAGTCGCACGCCGCGGCCTCTCCATCTACATCTACAACATCTACAACATACATACATCCACACATACATACGACAATCCAAAGATACCACGATGACCAGCTCGTCAGGATACACCGTCATCCAGCGCTTCCGGTGGCCTGAGATCCGCCTGCACGTCTGGCTGCTCGTCAACCTCGCCTCCTCAGCGACCTGCCTGGGCATCTTCAGCTGGTTCCTCTTCGTCCAGACACAGCTCTCCGTCTCGACCCCATGGTACCTCCCTCCCTCTTCTCGTTGTACAGACAGACAGATAGATGATTGATGTTTGCTAACTTTTATCCAGGGTGTTCCCGTTCATGGTAGCAACCGCCGGCCTGGGCCTGCTGTTCGTCTTCTTCATGCTCTTCCTCATCCAGCGCGGCCTGCTGCTCCCCGACATCATCATCCTCGGCTGCTTCGTCCTCTTCGTCCTCTGGCTGACCGGCCTCATCGGAACCGCCATCGAGCTCTACGGCACACAAGCAAACGTCAACTCAAACTGCCAGAACTACGTCGTCAACATGCCCTCCAAGGGGCCCAGCATCAACACCCTCGCCTGGCTCACCCAGATCACCATCTGTAAGCTCCTTTGCCCTTCCCTGGCATTGCTCTGTACTAACGTGTGTAGGTAACTGCTGGAAGACGGCATTCGCCTTTGAGCTGGTCAGCACCGTCTTCTACATCTGGATGCTCATCATCGCCTTCCAGGTCCGCAGGGGTTTCTTCCTGAAGTAGCCTCCCCTCTGCTTTTCGAGCTTATCGTTCTGTTCAATCAAAAAGGATACCCATTCCAATTCCAATTCCAATTCCAATAGGGGGTTGCATGTTTCACCGGCGCCAGCATTCTCCTACTTTGTTCTCGTTATTTCTTCCTTCTTCTTACTTTCTACTTTTTACCTCTTCTCACGACTCATGATAAACGGGATGTAGACTTATTTCCTTTGCTGATTTACTGATGGCGTTCCTGGATGGGCATTGTTTTTTACCACATTACGCACGACCTACATGACCGGATCGTACTTGTTTTCCTTTCTCTCTTTTTCTTCTTTTCTTCCCCTTCACGTTTGTACATATTACTACTTGATGCTTATTAGACTGAAGGACCATTGAATGTCGGGATTATGACGAGATTAATATACATGGCCAGTCTCACAGAGATCCCATCCAGTCTATGATGTTAGGAAGCCTCGCTCGTGTAACTGTCTTACCCTGTGCGTCCTTTTACTCTTAGATTGCAAGGTCAAGGTCAATATGGAAGTGTTATCGGTATTAATATCTGCAGGGTCAATGGCGCCAAGTCAATGGCCTAATGGTATAAATTGAAGGCCCTCTATAGAAGAATATGGAGGTTTCTTTGACCCCATATCCAACTGGAGGATGTCGTATCGTCCACCAAATACCATTACCGGTCTGCGATAAGCTTCGAGGTTCAGAATAGATCAGGCACCGCCAATGCCCTCGTGTGGCTCCAGAATCTCGTTGACAACGAAGAAACGCCCGTCAACATACCCAGTCCACTTTTCCATCCAGTAGACACCTAGATATAAGAGTCAGTTTGTCTTTAGAGACCCTGCTTTGATGCTGAGGCTCGTAACTTGGTCGGGGAGCTTTTCCAGGAACCGGGCTGCACCCTTAACCTTCACATGCGCTATTTGACCCTCAGTTTTCAATTTCTCTCCGGCTCTGTCAAAAAGTCCTTTGATCGCTGTTGACACTTCCCATGAATTTGCGCCAAAACTCCATATCTGCCCATTATCAGCGGTAGCTCACTCTTTTTAGTGTAGTGGCGAAATTTTGACAATTTGTCGCCGGTCCGAGGGGATTGTCTAAAGTGTATGCCATAGGCTGTGTAAAAAATTGAAGTACGTGGACCCAGCGAAAGCTTCAACTACTTTATCGTAAATATATTCACTAGATTCTTGTTGTGAATTGTATTTAACGGAAGAGGAAGCAACATCATATTAACCCTGTTAGCTGAAGTTGAATTGTGAACAAGGTATAGCGGGCGGTCACTAGGCTTTTTGCCCACCTATTCCTCCACTTTAAGGGTATCATAAAAGCCGTTGAGCCTGTCTGGGTGGCCACTAGCTAGGCTGTTAAAACAATATGCTGGACGCGGAGGACAATGTCTACGATTTTGGTTGAATGTAAACTCGCCATAAGCTTGAAAGCGAGCGCTTAAATTTAACGTGGCGCTACTTTGTAAATTTTTAACCAATCACAAATCGATTAACTAACGCCAAGCCTTAAACTCGCGGCTCTTGAGGAATCCGATACATTCAATCATTGGAAAAATATTCAATATTCATACATCTCTGAATGACGCAAAGAATTAAACGACCCTTAATGCTTCACTCGACCCTTTAATTGGAGATTTTCTTAGGCACTTTCTTCCTACACTCGCCATTCATCCATTAGTCCATGCAGCCACGAAAACAAAACCGAATCTTGCACCGATTTCAACTCACCCAGTCACTTTCTCAAAGGTATTTCTTGCAAAATCAGTGACCTTCTCGTTCACTCCCCTGGCCTTTTGAGGATCGATTTTGCCTTTCCCATACTTCCTCTCGGCAGAATCCAGGGCTATCGTTCGTGCAACAAGTTAGCGGTGATAACGGTCATGGCAAAGTTATTACTTTTCGTACCTTTATCGACATAGTCCCTGCCACCGCCTGCCCCTCCTGGGCCACCACCGGGTACCTGACTGTTCATGATAGATAGGTCTGTTTGAAGATATATTCAAGTATTAGTCAGAGCTTTTTTGAAGTAATCGCAACGATAAAAACGTAGACTCACCCATTAACAGAAGGAATCTCCCTTCTATATAACATCTACTAGCTTCGCCACCAACTTTTACTCGTAGGCACATGACGTCATGAAGCGTTTAAATAGTGGAAGCTGTCTTGAGTTGAAATTTTATACTTGATTGGACCTTGCTATATTTGTACAATGGTGCGACATCAGTCCAAGCAAACAGCCAGTGGTCTGTACGCACATGACTCGAGCCGTATCCAGAAATGTAGATAGATGGCATTCGAAAGCTTACAGGATGGGATACCGGATACCGGGAGTATTCAATGAGTAGAAAACGGGCTAAAGGGTACCGAACATCAGGGGAAGTAAATGCAGTTAAATCCACAGGCTAAAAACACTCAACAACGCCTCGCTATGCTTCGAAGTTCAGCTTAAAGGGGAGTATTTTCTTTATTTTTTTCCCTCCGGTTGTAAATGGGGGGTATATGAGGGTGTAGTGAAGGTTTAAATGGCGGCTAATTAATTGGCATCTTCTTCGTCTTCCGCTGTGTTTTTCTCCCAATCCAGGTCTTCGTCAAAGGCGGCCATCATCTCTCGCTCAAGGGCATCTTCGTCGTCCTCTGGGTCGTCCACAACGGGATCTAGGTCCTTGTACTTGGGCTCAACATCCGGTTGGTCGCCCATCAATACTTCCCTGCCAATTTCCATCTCAGCGTCGGCAGTCGGTTCAGTGGCAGGGATGCTTGGCTGAGCTGTAGAAACTTCTTTTAGACCTGTGGTTCGTTCATGAGACCGCTTGATCTTTTGGGATAGACGGGATCCGCTACCTTCAGCACTTGTGTCATCTTCTTCATTGTCGCCAGCCTCAGCATCTTCGGCGGTCTCTCGCTTGCGTTTCTTGTCAGGGAATAGCATGGAGAAGTCGGTGTCGCTTTCGCTGTCTTCGTTATCGCTACCAAGGAATTCTTTGAGCTCGTCGTGTACCGTTGCCTGCTCCTGTTCGTCGTAACCAAGCCGAGACTGATCAGTCAGACCGGCAGATAGCTGGATTTCTTCGTCAGAATTTCTTCGCCTTTTAGCCAACTTCAATGATCGCACACTCTCTGTGTCGTTGTCGCTGGCCGGATCTGATTCATCGCCTGAAGATGAGGGAAATGAGTCGTCTGCATTCCCCTTGGTCTCTGGTGAATTCTCCGATGAGCCGATGGGTTCGCCCATGTCGTCCGGATGAACTGGAACAAGATATGGCTCTTCATCTAGGCGCTTCCACTGAGTCATGCAGTCAACCAGCCATTGAACAGTAACAATTTTCACCTTCGGATACCTCGTAGCCTCTCGCACCTTGGCTGTTCGGTTTCTCCCAGCAACCAAGTGGGTTGTGCGGGAATTGATCTTCGGAGTGATCGTTGCCCCAAAGCTTTTCGCCCATAATGAAATGTCGGCATTCTGTGTATCTGTTCCTAGTGGAAGGACGCCTGAGAAGACCAGGATGACGGACTCGAGGGCTACTCCTTTGATCTCTGGCATTAGAGTCTTGACATCAGGCACTATCTGTAGGTCAACTGATTTATCTTTGGTAGGGGCACGCTGTCCCGCCAGGGCCGTTACTCTACCACCAAGAGCTTGCGTGCGTCTTCGGTCGTACTCCTCAAAGAACCGCTGGTGTATTCGCTGAAGACGCTCTTGTAGCAATGGGAGCTCACCATCGTTGTCTTCAAGTAAGTGGTGACGATGGTGTTTTACCGAATCTTGAGACTCATCGCTGGACGAATCGCCATTCTCCGTGTTCAGCTGGGTCTCAGCCGCTTCATCCTCTGCATCCAGCAGCTTTTGCTTCTGAAGCAGAGGGCGCTCCTCCACCTGGTGTGCAATAACTTCTTCCTGTTGGCTGGTCTGCTCCTGTAGTAAGACAGGGTTGTCCCCTCCGCCCATAGTTACCAACTGTTCAAGTGTTGATTGCTCAGGTTCCGTGGAACCAGACTCATCTGCTTCGGTTGTCTCGGATTTTGATCCATTGGACTCTGGCTTTGCATCTCCTTCAGAAGTTGTGGTGGTAGCATCGGCATCAGCATCAGCGGGAGCAGCAGGTATCGGTTTTTTGGCCTTTGCTCCAGACTTTGACTTTGCTTTAAATTCTTGTTTCTTCGGCAAGAAGCTGGAGTTAATATCACCAATACCAACGAAAAAGTCATAAGGCGTGACCTTAATCAAGTTCTCACTCCACTTCCATACGTCTCCTCTGTCGTCAATAATGACTACCATCTTGGTGTCTACCGGGAATAATCGTTGAAGGTTTTTCGCCGTAAGGCTACCACTTTCATCTCGACTGAGGATTCTGTCCCCAAAGATCTTTCTGTCTGGATCGACGATGTTGGCCACGTTCTGCGCATAAGCCCGCGTCCCCATGGTATAGATATGGAGCTCGTATAGCGTAGAAATCACTTTCAGAAACTCCTCTAGTCCCGGTCGTAGTTTAATGTAATACCAGCATCCTCTCATGCCAGGACCGTCATCGACTAGCTGGAAGCACCGCACATCCTTGACAGCGTCATGATTGGGGTTGTCCTTGTCTTGCTGCCATTCCCCCACGGTTGGGTCCACGGTGGCATGAATGATAGTTTGATCCAGGTCAACAACCAACGAGAGTCTTCTTGACGAGAGTAGCCTGCGTTTGGCATCCTCTTCTACCCGTGTAGCTTCACTTTCACTAACGGTTAGTGCAGAGTTGTCGTGAACCATGCGGATGGGTGCCCGCTGTGAATCAAGAACGTCGGTGTTGTAGCTTGCACTGCGTAGAGAAATTCTCTCGTAAGTATATAAAACATCGTGTGTCTTTATGAAGGCATACGGCAACTCACTGAGTCATATCCTTGCCGCAGTTTGCACACATGCCGCCAAACTGCACTTCGTGAGCGCATGGCTCGTCTATCTCAGCGACGTTAATGCTAATACAGGCCGAAACCCACTACCATCAGCAAGCCCATTCTACAACTCCTTATCTATCAGGAGGGATGTAATTGGTCACTTACGGAGTTTCGATAATCTGTCCCTTACGGATCTTCCAAGCTATCAAGGTTCCGTCAACTGTGCTTTCGAACCTCGTGGGAAATGTCCTCACGACGTCCACCTTGTTACCTAGCCCATCTCCCTCCGTCACAGTCGTGCGATAAGTGTACGAGAACAATCCATCCCCCTGGTTTACTTCATCGCCTGTCTTCTTCAGCAGGTCTGTGACGGTTATCGGGTAGTAAAGGCTGGTAGATAATTTCAGTTGCATGCCTTGGCTGTCAAGCTGCGAAGAGCAAGAATTTCGAGTGGTGTATGGGGAGAAACAGTTATTATTTCGCTGTCAGATGGCAGGATGTAGCAATGCGATTTGTGGTTTCGTTTATGTAGCAAAAGAAAGGCGTGAGAGAGATCGATGAAGACGGCTGGTTTTGTTTATGGTGTGGGTGTGTGTGCCTTGCGTCTGTTGTGTTTGTCTAAGCTGCCATAATCCGGGGAAGGCTGTCGCGTCAGAATGAATAGAGAGGGTATTGACTCCGTTGCAGATAGAGAAGCTCCCCTTGTCCTTGTTAGTCAATGCGGTGCCCGAATAGTGACGAAGTGTGCTGATGGATAGAGGGCGGCGGCAGGGCGTTTCGGTGTGTGTTGTTGGGCTGTGGCATCGAGCGTTTGATGGTGGCAATGCGAGTCGCAGCGAGAGATTGCGCCGGATAGACAAAGGACGAGCTGCTGTCTGCTTCGTCGAGGTCGGAACTGCGATGCGGTGCTTTGTCTGGCGTAGGTGAGCGTGTTGTTTGTTGCTGTGGTGGGTGAAGGCAGAGACGAGCGTGGAAGCGTGAAGCAGTTCGAGGCAGCGGACGAAGGCGAACTCAAGCGGGCGCTACTTAAGTAGTTAAGGTTGTTTGCCGCGGCAGACACTGCATAGCAAAACAATAGACTGCATAGTGCACAGCGATAGCGTCAGCCGGCGAGACGAAGCCATTCTCTATAGGTTGCACGGCGAATACAATAGACGGGGCTACAGAGTGCTTGAGGCTTACTTAAAGAGGGTGGTCGTCTTGGTCGACTGGGTCTTGCTGTATAAGCTGGGGTGCCTGGATTATAGCTCGTTGGACAGATGGAGATAAATAGTAACTACAGGAGATGATAAGAATAATAGTAAAATAACAATACGAGACGAGCTCTAGGGACAGCTTCCGGTGAGGTAACAGATTAATACCCATTGCCTTCGAAACCAGCCAACATAAACCGAACATGAAATCTCGACCACTACCTTTATCGGCCATTGATTATGCAAAGGCAACATCCACCTTGGAATCTTGCAGAGATGTTCTGTGAGGAGTGAAAAAACAAAAAAAGGCCCCATATCGCACGTATATGATACTCAACAGCATTAGGCGTCATTCAAAAGACAAGGTTATCCCCTTCACCTACGCATCAAAAGCTATGGGCAAGATGGACGAGGTAACGAGGGCATTTATTTGGCCTTGGCCAGACCAACAGTACCCTTGCCCAAGTCGTAGACAGAGTACCAGCGTCTCAAGAACGAGTCACCAAGAATAGCAAGTGGACCAACGGGCTCTGGGAAGTCCATTCCCATGAAGCTGCTAATACAGGTGCCGGAGACCTCCAGAGTGTAGTCGTGAGGTCCGATGGTGAAGTTGTGGCCGCTAAGGGTGAAGGTGACATCGGGGAGCGAATCCCGCTTGGCACAGTCAAGAGTGTATTGACCATTCCATGACTTCGTGGCACCGATTTGGGAGTTGCTACGATAACGAATTAGAATGCTTTCAAGGGAATCACAGGACAGAAATAAAAGAAAACAGGACTTACATCATCTCAGCAAGAGTGGTTGGGAGAGCAATGAGGGAAGTACCGGTGTCGAGGATGATACCAGTGTTCTCCAGAGCAGCTGTATCCTTACCAAGGGAGATGGCGTTGAACTCAACCTCCCAGTAGGCCTTGCGGCGGAGTGGGATGGTGGTCATCTTGCCAGTGAAGTGGCTCTCGTCGGAACCGCCAAAGGTAACGACAGACTGGTCACCCTCCTTGTTGGTATCGCCCAAGTAGAAGCTGAAAACTGGCTCGTCAATGAGACCCTGGTCAATCATCTTGTAGAATGGAGGAGTGATCCCGTTGACCGAGATGCTGCTGAAGCCCATGCCCATGATGCCGTCAAAGCGACCAAAGGCGAAAGCAAGGCCTGGCTCGCTAGTAGCCTCAGCAAAAAGCTGGTCCTTGATGGTCATGTCACCAATCTTGACATCGTCCTGAGAGACGAAGCCCTCGAGACTGCCGGATCCATAACGAATGGCGAACTTGGTGCCGTTCTTATGGTAGGTGGACGAGGCTGAGGAGTCATATGTGCTGTGGAGGAAGCAAGCGATGGATGAGCAATCCTTTCCTGGGACCCAAAGGTTGGAGCTTCCGGTGTCCAGAACCACCTTGAAGGTCTGTGGAGGAGTTCCGATGGAGATCTCGGAAAAGTCTGTCCCGGGCGGTTAGCATCCGTTCAGACATGTGGCTGGGGGAATAAACATCATATCGGGTATTATGTGAAAGGGTCAAAAAAACGGGGAAAACATACACTGAGCGTTCAGGAAGTTGTCGATGAGGACGTTGTGCCCAGACTCAGCTTCGATGGGAGTCTGCTCCTTGAACATCTGCTGCTCGTGTAGACCTGGGCGGATGCCCATGTACTTCTGGCCGAGAGACTTGATCTGGACATCGATGTCGGCATGCTCCTACAGATGGCATGGGTTAGCATCAGGGAACGAAAACACAGCTACTCTCAGCTCCGGAATATCGAGAATCGCGAAATTAACGTACGAGCTGGTCCTTGAGGGAGACCTTCTTGAGCTTCAAGCTGTGCACCTTAGCAGCAGAAGTACAGCCGAGCAGGGTCGCACCCGCAAGCAAGAGTGAGCCCTTCATGATGGCTCAGAAGACGGGATGATACTAGACAGTGGTTCTTTCGATAGAGATGAAGTTCTTCTGCAGTGGCGCTGATGAGATGGTGAAGATGGTGAGGATGATGGAGGATGTGAGGTTGGAGGTTGGAGGTTGGAGGTCGAAGCCGCCCCGGAAAGAAGAGCAAGAAACTACCGGGCGATGACGCTGCTCACGTGAGGCGTTGCCCCCAGGCTGCCGCCAATCAAAACTATGACGTGTACGGCCGCCAGGAACGCATTTCTTTTAGCTACGAAATATGGAGCTACTGGTAGTACCTAGGTATGCAGATGGGCATTCGAAGTGAGGGCTACGGAGTGCAAGTTCTAGACGAGAACGCTTGGATTTAATTCTCTAATGGTACAGCATCACGCGAAGCCAGCTACTCTGGGCTCAGTTTAGCGGTAGAAGTCGAACCTGTTGAAGCGAAAGAAGGAATGCGTTAGCCTGGTTGGATTGGAAATAGACAGAGGGTAGTAGGGGAGGGGACACATACTTGTCAGAGTCCTGTCCGCCCTTGACTTGGCTAGAGTAAGCATCCTCAAGGTCAGACTGGATGATGTTGTATCTGTTCTTACGCACAGCACGCAGCCCAGCCTCCTGCATGATGGCTGCGATGACGGCTCCGGAGAGTGGGTCGTTGCGGACGATAAGCGAGTCAAGGTCGACCTCCGGCGACAGGGACATCTTGCCGGCAATAGTAGAAAAGATCAAGCGTCGTTCTCGTCGATCCCGCAGTGACGGGAACTCGATCTTACGGTCAAGTCGGCCAGGACGGAGCAAAGCCGGATCAAGGGTGTCCGCTCGGTTTGTGGCCATGATGACCTTGACGTTGCTGGTCTGGTCGAATCCATCCATCTGGTTGAGCAGCTCGAGAAGGATACGCTGGACTTCTCTGTCTGCACCTGTCTGGGCGTCGAAACGTTTCGTGGCAATAGCGTCAATCTCGTCAATGAAGATGATGGCTGGCGAGTTCTCGCGGGCCATTCGGAAAACGTCACGAACCATGCGAGGGCCCTCGCCTAGGTATTTCTGTACAAACTCGGATCCTACTACTCGGATGAAGTTGGCCGTTGTACTATTGGCAACTGCTTTGACCAACATGGTCTTGCCGGTACCTGGGGGCCCGTATAGCAGCACACCACGAGGTGGATCGATACCTACAGCGTAAACCCTATTAGCACAAGTATTACTTAAGGATTTGATAAGTGTGGCATACCGATTTGCTTGTAGAGGTCGAAATGAGTAAGTGGTAGCTCGACAGCCTCCCTGATTTCCTGCTTCTGCATGTCCAGACCTCCGACGTCCGCATACGTTACGTCTGGCTTCTCGTTTGCTCCAAGCATGGCAATGGACGAGTCTGCCTCTGGAGGGAGAATGTCCACCAGGGAGTTGGAGTGCCGGTGGAGAGCAACGGAGGAGGACGGCTTCAGCTTCTCGCGGTCGAGGGTCGAAAGGATACGGACGACATAGTTGGAGCCTGTTGACGACTGGACAATACCGGTACTTTAAAGAAAGAGAACATATTAGCACTGGGGTCACTCTTCCAGTAGGTAAAAATAAAATGTCAACGACGCACTTCTGATCGATAGCCTCCATGAACTGGCCAATGACCAAAGGTACACTCTGGATACGTTTGATCTCCTCCTGGGCCCGGACGAGCTCTCGCTTAAGACTCCTGCAAATACAGTCAGTATCAAATATGTCTTCTCACTCCCCATACTTCTGCACGCTGCTAACCTCTGCTCATCCTTGATATATTCTTCCTGTAGCTGTATGTACCTATCCAGCAAAAAAACACCAAACGTCAGCCGCTTTTCCTCCCCAAACATAGCTGTAGGCAGTCACTTAAGCCGTACTCTAGATGTCTCTGGTATCGCTTCAAGATAGAATATCCGTCTTCGTCATCGTTCGTCGAGCCCTCAAGCGGGTCGATATCTGGAATCGCATCGTTGAGAGCGGTCTTTGGTAGTGAGGGAGCAGCCCCCAGAGGCGTATCAACGAGAACGCCGGCCATGGTAACCAGTCCCGGGGAAAGACGTAATAAGTATGTAGATGGAAGATATATGCAAGCGTCGTTGTCTCGAGTGTAGCTCTCCAGGCGCAGGCTGCTGTCTTCTTCTCTCTGCTTCTTCTTCTCGCTGTCGCGCCAGAAGCTCCAACTCAACCTTGGATGCCAAGAGTCACGTGGTCAGATTTCGCCTGGCGCTAATAGTCTTTAAATTCAACAACCAGCAGCCAACATCGAGCATATACATAAGTTGAAAAAGAGGATACAATCAAGGTCTAGGGACAATGTCTACATATTGAGAGGCTATTATATAGCTGCTCCAGCCTTGTCATCTGAAGAATGGTACATATCCTTTGCTTCTGCGGATGTAATGGGCCACTTTGCTCATCTCTCTTGAAACCCCTGCCACCTTACTCTGGTATGGGATCTTTTACCTACTAACTAACAAGGATTGCAACTACCAAACTAAGAAGTAATGCTCTATGTTATACTCGCCTACCATATAACTATCAAGGAGCTATGCATTTATACATGAAGAGATTGCCTCTTTCCTTCGATCATCTCTATCCATTGTGCAGCGTTTGAGATATTGGTGACGATTTGTCTGAAGTTGAAGAGACGGATACTCCGTACACATGAAAAGATACCATCATCTATGAAAAAGAAGAAGAAGAAGAAGACACGGCTTAGCTTATTGAAGTTGACGCCGTACCTAATCTTTCACACGCCCATGTGGAGGGGCATCCCCTTTTCGTTGTTGCGGGCCTAGCTGCGATTGTCCTGAGCTGATGGATTCGCCTGCGTTCATACGGCGGTCGGTCTAGGCCTCTTAGTCCACTTGAGGCTTCATTACGAATGGAGACATTCTGCTTTCTTGCAGATGAAAAAAGTGTTAAAACCGATGTTCCCGATATACCTTGGTGTCCGAGCGTATGTGATTGCGCCTGGTTAAAAGGTTCCTGAGAGCCGATGAGGAGAATATCACAGAAGTGAGAGAGAGGAGTCGCATATATATGCTACACCGCCCCTTCACGTTTTTATCTTTTGTAATTCTGATCTCCAGTCATGGCCTTCGCTGCGAACTTGTTTGACACTACCAACGAGCGGGTTTTTCTTCTTGGCTCATAAAGGCGGCAACTTTTGGGAGATTTTGAAGTACAACACCTTGCTGCAAAGCGGGTAACAAGATCTAGGCCGAAGGTGCCTGGTCGGAGTATGTACTCGATGTGTCCGATAATGTACCCGAGCGTTTGTGTAGCGGGGCGAACTGCATTTTATAGCCCCTTATGTACCTACGCTCCGTGCCTTGAACTCAACCGTCTTGAGGCCACTCCCTACTCCGTACATTCTGTCATTGAACTGTCGCCACGGCCAAACATGCAAGTCCGACTTATCGCATTTGAAAGGGACCAAGAGTTGTTATTTGTGACCAATCAACGAAAAAAGACTAACCAGCCAATCAGACGAGACCATTTAACTAGTTAGTTAGGCTTCGGCGAACTTCTTCTGGGCCCTTTTTTTTTTTTTTTTTCCCTTTGGTGCGCGCAAAGAAGCAAAAAAAAGCGTTACGAGGCTCAAGGCGAAAAAAAGGCAAGGAAGACGAAAAAAATATGAGGAAGCCCGGCATATTATATTCCAGCCGCAAAGAGAGACAGACACCCAGGAGTGCAGGCACTCTGGATTACAGCATCTTCACCGTCTGGAACACCCACGAGAACCACGTATGTCAAGTGGACTGTCTCTCAGATCCTCCCCTTCGACCGCATGATCGATGTCGGAAAGCTAGTCGCCTGTCCACATCGGGCTCTGGTTCGTCGCCAGAACATGGCCACCACCACCACCGACGGCGGCTGAAGAGGCCCTCAGGCAAAATCCGAGGGGCGGCGCCTTCGAGCAGGAAAGCAGAAGAATAAAATAATTAATAACAATGGCAATAAGAAAGGAATACGAACAGCGAAATTACTCCTGGGAAATGAAAGAATCATAGTACGGAGTTGAAGTCCCTACCCGGTTTAGCGGGGGGGTTGGGGGGCTGTTTCCTGCTTAACCGAAGCTTCCGGCACTTTCGGGGCAGTGGGGGCAGCGACTTTCTGGGGACAGCACATCCCCCAGGCCGATGACTCCCCAGAGGCCGGGGTTGGGGAGGAGGCAGGGCGAGGACAAGGGCGCCCTTTCATGGACACGGAAACAAAGCAGGGCCACCTCCACACGCCCTTTGACTGCCTTAACCACAAAGACGGCGAAGGAGACAAGATTCTGGATCATGCATGCAATATTAACTCCGACGGCTGGCTGGCTACTGACGGTCCCGCTAGCTGGCTCTTTTTTATTTTTTTCGCGTGTGGAGTACCATGCTCTTCTCTCTTCAGCACCACACGAGCTCCCCGGCATTGGCTGATCACACGGCCAACTCTGTCTCCTGAGCGGACAAGAGGGAGGGATGGCTGCTGTCAGGCTCTATCGCTGTTGCACCGGCCCTGCAGCTCCAATCACAGCGGACGAAGGGTGACAAGAAGAAGCTAGAGAGGGGGGCAGACCCGACTTGACATCAAACGGCGGTTGGGTTGCCATGGGGAGGCCCTCCAAGGTTTGTCCCGCTTACTTACAAATTGCACCAGACAGACCTATATATGCCGAGGATGCCCACCTTGCCGGAGCGGAGGCGGTGCCCTTCTTCTTCTTCTTCGTCGTCTTCTGCTCTCTTCTGCTCTCTTCTGTGAGGTTGGGGATTCTGCACCATGGCACCCGCAGCAATGAATCTTCTCTGTACGGGTCTCTACCTGCTCTCGTCCTTTGCTCAGGTATCGGATGCGGCTCCATGGCTCTTTTCACGAAGCGTGCCGGCATCTTACCGTGACGGCCGCCTGGGAGCCGTCGCGAGTGAGAACTCGATGTGCAGCGAATACGGTGCCGACATGCTGAAGATAGGCGGCAATGCTGCAGATGCCGTATGTATCAACTTCACTTCTTGCTCTTCCCTTCTTTTCTTCGCCGTCTTTATTTGCTTTTTATATTATTATTTATCCCACTCTGCGTACCTGCAGCTAACGGTCCTTTTTTACGTCCCAAATAGATGGTTGCGACAGTATTCTGCGTTGGTGTTACTTGTAAGTAGTTACCCTGGTTGTGTTCTCAATAACCATATAGATCCATTGGCTGACATGCAAGCGTCTATTCAGCGATGTATCACAGCGGCATTGGCGGCGGTGGCTTTATGCTCATCCGCGCGCCAAATGGTACTTACGAGTTTATCGACTTCAGAGAGACTGCCCCTGCCGCGGCATTCCAGGACATGTTCAAAAACAACACCAAGGGCTCGACATCCGGCGGACTCGCCAGGTATGGGTAATTCCGATCAATTTCATCCCCATCATATCGTCTAATTTGCTCTCGATGTAGCGGTGTTCCCGGTGAGGTTCGTGGCCTAGAATACCTCCATAAGCACTATGGAAAGCTACCCTGGAAAACTGTCATGGAACCAGCCATTCGCACAGCCCGGGATGGTTTCCGTGTAACCGAAGATCTCTCTCGCATTATGGTACACGCGACAGAGAAGGAAAACTTCCTTGCCAAAAATGCCGCATGGGCTCTTGACTTTGCACCACGAGGAACCCTTCTTAAAGTTGGTGATATCATCACTCGCAGACGCTACGGTGACACCCTAGACAAGATTGCCAAGTACGGCGCCGATGCCTTTTACACTGGGCCAATGGCGGAGGCTATGGTAAATGCACTCCAGGCTGCCAATGGCACCATGACCCTCGAGGACCTGAAGAATTACACTGTAGCTTCCAGGCCAACTGCTCAGATCGAGTACCGTGGCATGACCGTCACCAGTACTACGGCCCCGTCCAGCGGAGTCGTGCTCCTCAGCATCCTGAAGCTGCTCAATGGGTACAAGAAGTTCTTCCGTGCAGATCCAGTACCACTCAGCACCCATAGGATGGACGAGGCCATCCGATTTGGATATGGACAGGTACGATACGTTTATGCTGAAATATATATGTCGTTCATTCATTCATCAGCTAACATGAGCATTAGAGAACGGAACTTGGCGATCCCCTCTTCTTTTCTAACTTAACCGATTACCAGAAGAAGATGATCTCTGAAGAGGTTGCTAACAGGAACCGGATGAACATCTCAGACGAGTATACTCAAAGCATAGCAGTATACGACCCCAAGGGCCTTGAGAGCTTGGACACGTAAGTCAAACAAGCTCACCCACTTTTCAAATACCGTCCGCCATACTGAAAAGCCCATTCTAGCCCCGGAACCTCTCACATTTCAACTGCCGACCGCTCCGGTATGGCCGTCAGTCTGACAACCACCATCAACCTCTACTTCGGCAGCCGTGTCATTGTCCCCGAGACCGGCATCATCATGAACAACGAGATGGATGACTTCTCTGTCCCTGGACGAAGCAACTCCTTCGGATACAAGCCGTCACCATCCAACTTCATCCGTCCCGGCAAGCGACCTCTCTCCTCCATCTGCCCTACCATCATCACCCACCCAGATGGCTCCCTTTACTTCATCACCGGTGCTGCAGGTGGTTCCCAAATTATCACCGGAACCCTCCAAAGTGTCATCAACGTCATGGACAGAAAGATGAACGTTCGTCAGGCCCTGAAGGCTCCCCGACTACACGACCAGCTTGTCCCCAACGTCGCCCTGATGGAAGACGACTACGACAAGAAGACTGTTGACTTTATGATTTCACGAAAGCACAATGTCACTAGAGAAAAGTCGTCAAGTACGGTCGAGTCTATCATGAGGCTAAAGAACGGTGTCTTCGAAGCCTCTGGCGAGCCACGACTGGCTAATTCCGGCGGAATTGTCGTTTGATTTTTGGGTTGGTATATATAGAAAGCAAGTTGCATCGTTTACCCGGTTTTGTTAGAGGGTATATGAATTAAAGCGCAACGAGATATGTATTTACGATTTAACGGCTCGGGTTATCCGTCTGGTTAAGCAGAACTTGCGACTAGACAGCTAGATCTTAACGAGAATTATTTACTATTATCTTCCATTTATTTTGTTCCATAATCTTTTGTCTCATCAAACGACATGAGGAACGGAGGAAACTAGGGAGCAGCTAGGTGATTTCAACAATACGTCATCTTGCATCTTTCTAGAGCCGATCAGTTTGGCGCTGGGCTTGAACTATCCACCACACCGGCGCTTTCATAACTATCATAACCACCTATCGGCCGGTTTCCGAGGCCCATCGCTCTCTAAGCCATCAAGCCACTTAACGGTTTCGCTGGTGAGTTCTTCTTTGCTGCCTCGCTCCATCAACACTGAACCATTTGTAGCATCGATTAGGTAATTAACTAACAAGTGATAATAACCCTCGGATTAACCTAGTCACGTGAATTCTCTGAAAAAGCATTCCCAATAGAGGTTAGTTACCCCACAAAACCGCGGAGCTAAAAAAAATCAAAACTTGCAAAATGTGATCAGAAAGATGTTCCAGTTTACTCGTTAAAGCCAGACGGGCGTGAACCAAAGCTCTACTATGTAGAGATATAAGAAACAATTTAAAGCTGAAATGCTTTTGGTATCCTGTTGTTGCTACATATCATGGACCCATGAGCTGCAAATGCAGCTAGATACCCACAATGCACTCTGGGGCCAGAGTCCTCAGTTAGCCCTTTTGCGGCGAGTACTTTGATAGCCATGTCTACAATGTCACCGTTTCCACAGAGCCGTACTTTGCACTAGCTTGGATTAACTCAATACACAAGAATTCGCCCCGGGCTATGAATTCATAACTCTCCCACTGAAGGTCGAAGGTCATGGCAATGCCGTCATTTTGCGGGGCCCCTACGTACCATGGAAGGCGTTCTACTGATATCATAAGTAACCGGTTATTCCAAGATTGCTGTTCTATGTGCACGCATAAACAATGAACATTTCCTTTTCTTCCGTCCCAATTCTGTAGCATTACTGTCGAATTGATTCCCTAACCAAATTCCAATTGTCCACTTGAGGAGAATATGCTGCTGCACTACATTTTGGTGGCCCTCTGGGCTACTGTGGCCTACGCCAGAACTTTTTCTGAGGATATCTCAAACATGCCGGAGCTGTCAGAGATGTCTTCATATCTAAACCAGACGCCTGAAGCTAAGGATGCGCTAGACAACCAGAAGAACGTTACTCTGCTTGCTCTTGAAAACAGTGCCTTCCGCGACTTTGTGGGCCAAGGCCAGGAAAATGGCAATGAGTCGTCATCGAATTCAAGCCTGATCAGGGGTATTTTCAGCTACCAGTTGGTGAAGGGATTGCATAACTCAGAACAGATCACAACTACGCCGCAGTTTTCGCCAACGGAACTAAACGATGAGGGCTTTACCAACGTTAGTTCCGGCCAGGTGGTTCAGCTTGTAGAGAAGGATGGAAAGGACTACGCAATCTCTGGGTTGAACGACAATTCTACCATAATCAAGCCGGTAAGACGTCAACACGGGTGCCTCTTGTGCGTTTTCTTTCTCAAGACCTTTTGTCTAATATACTCGTTATAGGGTGTCGACGTTGAGAGCGGTGTGATCCATGTCATTGATCGCCCTTTGACTCTCCCTCAGAGCGTTACAGATACACTTCAAGCTGCAAACCTCACCAGTTTCCAGGGTGCTGTGCAGCGCGGAAATGCTGTCTCCAACGCCAATGACGCAAAAGACATTACCGTCTTCGCTCCGAGGAATTTGGGATTCCAGCGTATTGGATCCGCTTTCGAGAACATTTCTACCGAAAACCTTGGGCGAATTGCCAACTACCATATCGTCAGGGGTAAAGTGCTCTATTCTCCAGATTTGAACGATGGAGACTATCCAACATACGCCGATAAGGACTTGCATATTTCCATGGTCGATGGACGTGCCTATGTCAACTCTGCTAGAGTTGAATCTACCAACCTCCTTGTCAATAATGGTGTTATCCATGTTATTTCAGAGTAAGCCGTTTCGTCCGTTTATGATAGAAACCTTCGTTACTTGCGAGGAGTTCAAGATGCTAATTCTTAATCTTAGTGTCCTCAACCCCAACAATGATACCGCTAAGCCGGTTCCAGATGCTGATCCACCACCACCAGCGTTTGAAAATGAGAACTCTACTAGCACCGACCCATTGACAGATGGAATTCCCTCTCCTACTTCTGTGATCCCTCTACCAGGCGTAACAAACATTAGTGAGGGTGGAGGAGGCGGCGGCGGAGGCGGTGAATCAAGTACCTCCCCAAGTCCAACGGCTACAGTAACAGAGACAGAAACCAGTGGAGGTGGCGGTGGTGGCGGTGGTGTGGGAGGTGGTCCAGGGCCGACTGCAACAACCACACCCCAGCCAGGAGCCGCCGCAACAGCGCCAGCTAAGGCTGGATTAGCTGCTGCAGTTGGATTAGGTGTTGTATTGATCAACGCATAAACCTGCTAAGAGTGGATTGCTGCTTTCTGACATGAACCCAGGTAATATTTAATATCGATGCATATCCCCTGCCCAAAGGTCATGTATGGTGAAATATTGCTGTTTTTCATTTAATTTATGTAATTTGTTAACAAAATGATACCCTGTATTCCATGGATTTTTCAAACTGATATCGATTGCTTTTCTACTTACCACCCAGGTAACTCCCAAGTACTAGTCAGAACATGGCCAGAGCCGCATCACGTGAATAACTAGTTACGTATTTTGTCTCAACATTTTGCACTTCACTTTATCAGTCCATAGTTATATGTCAATTGTTTCGTCCGTTACAAGGCTGTAATCTTATGGCAAAGAGTCAGAAAACATCACCATATTTTAAAAGGAAACGCCCTGATATAACATCATGTATTCCATTCCCTCCTATATCTGCAGTCTCATTTGGATTAATACAGGAGAAGCTCGCCCATGAGCCATTTCGACTTCTTGTTGCTACCATATTTTTGAATCGAACCAGGGGAGAAGTTGCGATACCTGTGCTGTACAGTGTTTTTGAACATTATCCGACTATTGAATCTTTAGCCAATGCCGACTTTGATGAACTGGTCTCCTTAATTCGACGATTAGGATTCCAAAACTCACGAGCCAAAAAATGCATTGCTCTCGCTAAAGCATGGATAGCGAATGCCCCTGAGCCGGGGAAGCGGTATCGGAAACTTCACTATCCTAATAAATCTGATGGCTCGGACATTAAATGTGGCGAGGTTTTGACTGATGACGATACCCGGGTTGCTTGGGAGGTTGGTCATTTACCGGGTATCGGACCTTACGCTATAGATAGTTGGAGGATATTCTGTCGAGATGAGTTACGTGGTTTAGCCACCGACTGGAATGGAGCAGGTACATCAGAAGGATTCTTGCCAGAGTGGAAATCAGTACACCCAAAGGACAAAGAACTTTGTGCTTATTTGGCATGGATGTGGCTCAGGGATGGCTGGATTTGGGACCCTCAAACAGGAACGAAAATTGCGACCAATAGGCGGATCCTTCGAGCGGTTCGGGATGGTGGTTTAGTCCTACACAAATCTAGCGGGAAATGGGTTTTGGATCTCACTGCGGCTGGGGAGACGTCACTATCAATCGAGGTCGGCGCGGCAAAATTTGTGAATACTATTTAATGGAACAATATCGTTGTGATATATAGTGCACAGAAGCAATCATACTATTTTTGGGCTTTTAAAGATCCTGAACCTTTTCTGACGTTGTACTTGGGATATACAAACACGAACATCAGAATAGAAGGATGCGATGAATTTCGGCTATTTATCAGCTAGAAGCTAAGGAATGAATAATAGTCTGTTTATAGTACTGGAAGATTCGCTCCTTTTGTTAAAGGTAACCAGAAATAGAGATGGTAAATGGGACTGTGAACAGTTAATGAGTGTTGCTTGGTACATATAGTAAGTTTCCAATGCTTAAGAAAAGCCTTAACGTCCATGCCTCGATAGCGAGTTGATTTTGCCCAGCCTGTACTCTGTATGTGATAATTGAATTTTTGTCCTTCTTCTTTCTTCCTCAAAATCGCGAGTATCGATGATGTGGTAGTTCAAGAAGTTAGAATTGAGCTGGCTGTGCTCAAGGACTTCTGGGATATATTGATTCCCTCATTTTCCGTGGTGGTGGTGGTCACCATCATCGTGGTCGTGGTCGTGGTCGTGGTCATGGTCATGGTCATCGTGATCGCCATGGTCTTTGTGGCTTCTGACTTTCATTCCTTTCCAATGATCATGGTCATGGTCGTCATGGTCGTGGTCATCATGGTCGTGGTCATCATGGTCGTGGTCATCATCGTGGTCATCATCGTGGTCATCATCGTGGTCATGGTCGTGGTCGTGGTCATCGTGATCGTGATGGTCTTTGTGGCTTCTGGCTTTCATTCCTTTCCAATGATCATGGTCATGATCATCGTGGTCATGGTCGTCATCATCATCATCGTAATCGTCATCATCTTTATCATGACTAGCCATAGCGGGTACCCCCCGGGGAGCCATAAGGTCCAATTCCGAAATTATCCTCTTTCCCAAAAGCTCCCAGTATGTGGTTTTTTCAACTTCTGTCTTTGGAGGTAGCTTGTCCACGGACATCCTATCACTGTAAGCATACTCCGCAAAGTTTCATGTGACAACTTGGTATATTTAATAAACATACTGGTTAACAGGGACGGCGACTGCGGAAGCAACCAGTAATGCTACCGCGACGGTTCCAACGTTCATATGCATGGCTGCTAGTTGAGAAAATATTAAGATGTAAATTTTAGATAGATGGTTATATATGAATATATTGCTGGATTTCTCGGGAGTGGTTCACAGAGAATGGGGAATGGAGGAAGCAAGGAGCGACCCCGGTGTCCTTATATGGAAATCATTCCAAGTGTTGAGTGAACACTATCAAGATCGATTATCCAAAATAGTAACTATGATATAAGTTACACCCCTAATCCCGGACTTTCGAGTTTACCTGTAAATCGGTGAAGCGGAACGTTTCAATGTGAGTGTGCATCAGTTCTGTAGAAACGTAGATAGCGTAACAAATATGCAACGCCAATTGCGAAAAAAGAGTTAAAGCACACTATCTGTGAAGTTGGACAGCTTACGACGCAATCTATTCTCCCTCTTTCCGTCGGCTCCAATGCGTTGCTCAAGTGTTAGTCCCTTTGCAATGCACTCTAGCTGGCCGTGTATAGTTGTGGAAGGGAGTGGTGTAGTACTTTATCGCGACTATAACTAGGCTGCTGGGGAGTATATAGCTTATGTATATTGGGGTTGGCGGGAATCATATTGTCGTAGGACCTGAGTCCTGCGTGGAGGCCGAGCATTCAATATAACAGTTGGTATGGGTGTTTGTATTGCTTCAAAACTTGATTTTTTGGAATAAGACAAACAAGTATTTGACAATATGGGAGTAAACAAAAGCTCATTTGTTTGCTTCATAAACGACAGCTTGTAGGCTCAACAAAAAAGGTCCATAAGACCTTATTCTTATGATATCATTTTTTTCTCTTAAAGGCGTGGGTTCATTTGACGGACTGGCTGTTGCAAGAAACAGTGGCATAAAAAATCACCGTGATAGGGCAGAAAGCATGGGTATGATTTACATCTTATCATTATCAAGATGCGCTTTGCTAGGTTCAATATTAGAGACTGTCGACGTCTCTATCCGTGTTAAGCATGATGCGGTAATGAGTATAGAGTGTGTTACAAAAAAGGATGTTTTGTGCCTACTTGACTGATGGGGTTTAGCGGCCCTCTTACGGACTGTTTATTTATCCGTTTACTGTTAACTATCGATGACTAATCACAGCGCAGCATCACACCAAGTTCTGTTGCTAGACTCCACAAAGAATCCTAGCAACTTGAGATCGAGAAGGCTGCCGATATGATTCCAGTTTATATCCACCCCATGCCAACCCAGAGTGACTATACTGTAGTCATCTGCTGGACCCTGCAGCCTTCCTTTTGAAATCTTATTGTTAGCCCTTATGAGACTTTTACCCTAATGATTAGGGGCAAGGGCAAGGCTGTATCATGAAGATAGAGCAAGGTGGACATTTATATCCTGCTATAATACCCACAGGAAGCATATTTTCTCATTCATCTGCCATGTCGGATATCACTGAGTGCAACAACACTTGCATATGTGCATTTACACTGACAATAGGATATGTTGGGCTTTGCCATGACATTTGTCAGTTTTGAAGGATTGAGGCTATGTATATCCTGGCGAAAACATGGCACCTCGGGCCGCATGCCGTCGAGTTACTTACATATAGGATTCCTATGTCGCTGACTGGGGCCGCCCTGCAGAGAGAGCCGAGTAGCCTATTTCTTCTTAAATTAGCCGGGTGGCGGCCACATGGTGATGGTACCCATATACGACTAATTCAACTAGCGGTCCAATACCTGCGTTTTTAGGTGGCATTTTTCAGCTACTATGAGCAGTTTCATAACTAGATGAGGCTCTCATACGCTATATCCCATTTAAATGAACTTCTTGTAACCCGGTGGATGCTCATTTCTGTAAGGACCTGGAAAAGAAACAGTGCGACATAAACACAACACACTAGCCATGAGTGTTGCTGGGAATACTGGTCGCCTACACAAAGGGGATGTCCTTGTAAGTGCACCCATGGTTCTATATGGAGTATGGGAGATACGACGCACTGACATGGAAACCACTGTCAAATAAAGATTTCAACCGCTACGCTTTTCGTTGTCTGCTGGATCGCCGCCATTGTGCGAGCATATATTCGAATCCAGATTCAGAGACAGATTTCATGGGACGATATATTTCTAGCCATCGGGGTCTGCTGCCTATCTATAGGCCTGGCTATCTTCTACGCTATCACAATTGACAAAATGTACCTCACACTGGCAGTCCAATATGGTGAGACTGCTGGAATAACTCTTCCACCAGATATTATACGGATAAAGTTCGATTACCAGAAATGGATACAAGTAACGATAGTTGTGCTCTGGCTGGCTGTGATGTCCGTGAAATTCAGCTTCCTAGCTCTATTTAAAAACTTAGTCGATGGGATTCAGCCGCTGAGGAGGTATTGGTGGGTTGCGACTATTGTCAATATTGGCATTCTAGGATATGGATCTGTTGTTACACATATTTCCTGCCCTTATTACTATACTCTCGAGAATGGTGAGTGAAAGCTTTCAACATTGTCCAGCATTACCAGCCAAGATGCTAATCTTTACGCTAGCTATATGTTTGACCCCGTCTGGCCAGCGGCGAATATCGGCATTTCTTTTCATACACCTAGCATTAGACCTATTCGGCGATGCTTTGAGTAAGACGCCACCTTGCTTAAAACTTTTAGAGTACCGATGACAAAACTAATGCCGCCATTAGTTCTATATATACCGGTCCGCCTGATTTGGACCGTTCGGGTGAGACGGACGCAAAAGATAGGCCTCACTTTGTCGCTTTGTCTCACAATACTAATGAGTATTGTGACTGTCATTCGGGGAGCAGGAGTTTACTACAAGGGACTCGTCGACACCAACTGGGAAACGTATTGGGTGATAATATGTGCGGAGATTGGGGTTTGCCTGGCTTCCGCTACGTGTTTCCGCTCATTTTTCATTGCTCGAAAACAATACAAGGCCGTATCTGCATCAAGTCATTCTAGGGGTCAGCGGGAACGTCGCTGGTATCCCCTGGTCACTGGCCTGTTCAGACAGCCTGTTGTTGCTGATGAAATTCCGAAGAGCTTGAGCAGAGAAGAGACTGCGTTGCCACAGTTGAAAATTGAAACAACGATGTCCCAAACGATGGGGATAACTGCATTGCCTCGCCTTCCAAACCCTTACTTTTCGCCCTTTCCGCAGCCTATGGTATCTCCACAAAGCAGTGTATTCATTCTCGATTAGCATGATGCTTTTATCTCTACAAACCCACGATTTAAGCCTATTCTGCTCTTTCATATCGCGCAGTGCTCCGTCACCAAAGCTAGAGAACTAAAGGCAATGACGAGAAAATGTAACGAAAAGAACAAACCCCCCCCCCCCCTCCCCTAGGATATAAAAGAAATTAACAGATAGTAGGTAAGGCAAAAAGAGCAGGAGAAAAAAAAAGGTCATACCAGGATTCGAACCAGGGTTATCGGAACTTCCAATGACTAATCAGAATCCGATGTGATAACCGCTACACTATACGACCTGCGCTTGGTGGGTGGCCTGGGCCATGTGACTTTTCAGGCGGAACTGGCGCTAAGCAATCTATTCTCACGTGACAACGGCGCTTAAAGGTGAACCACGGATCAGGAAGTTCTTGACTTCAACTCTTCGATATCTAGATCGTAAAGCAGTAAACAAGACGAAGACGACGAGGAGCCTGCGTTAGGAAGAAGGCAAACAGACGGAGTTGACGTTGGGAGGCGGCAGCTTGCTTGAGCGCGATCCCCACTGGCGCCGGTTACACACAGCCACACTCCTTCGCGTCAACGGAGGATCTTTTTTGCAGAGTGCTTAAAGTACGACAAAGTTCAACGGCCCCCAGAAGAATATTAATTACTCCCTGCCTGTACTCCGTACTTCGACTATTACACGCACAAGTCGAACAGCTTCAAAGACGACCGAGATCAGATATTATCCTTTCCGCGCCCTGCTGGGTCTTACGTTGTGCAGTAACTCGCCTGTTGCTGCCCAACCATAAGGCATTTTGCAGGGGCTTCCTCAACCTCATCGAACAGTGTCTTGCTTTTCATGTTGCGATCCATGAGTTGCGCTATCACCAAAAAGCACCTCAATAGAGCCCCCTGATGCCTTGCGGGATCGCTTCCGATCGGTCGTCCGTGACTAAGATCCACGCATTTTTGACCCTTTCGCAGTGGCGCATTATTCACCAGGCTGCTGGGCAACAATTTTGCTTCCCTGGTACCACCTCCATATACGCTGCTGCGTCTTGCTGCCGGCAGGATTACCTCTTTCTCACTAGCCGCCATGCCCTCCAAATCTCGAGAACATCACCGACCGCGAGATCGAGGCTCAGACGATCAGAGCAGCGAAGCAACCGAAGGAACTGCGAGACCGTCACACTCATCACGGAGTCGAGAGAAAGACAAAGACCGTCACAGTCGGACCACTCATAGTTCCTCCCACAGTTCGAGCAGAAGGACTAGGCCTAGATCTGATAAGGATAGGCTCAAGGACGAAGCTGGCCGCTCACCTAGTTCATCTGCCTCTAGTATAAGAATCAAGAAACACCCATCTTCCACCCTCATGTCCGAAACAAACGAGTCGAAGGTGTCCACGCCTTACCCCAGCTTCTCAAAGGCACACAGTAAGGAGGCTGTGGGGAGTCGAGATAATCTCGGCATACGGCTCAACATATTGACCCCCGAACCAACAGACCTAACATCTGCGGATGCCAAAAAGGATGAGCAAAAACCGAGTTCCACGGCCGAAGACAAAACCCAGAGCAAAAGGCATAGTCAAAGCACCCGGCCTCCAAGCCCTCCTCTCACAAATGATGATACAGAGCTACCCCGGCGAAAAAGCACACCATCTAATGATGGGCGCCGGTCAGATGAGAAGGAAACCCCAAACAAGTCTTCAGGAGAGCCTAAGAAGCATAAATCTTCAAGGAGTCATTCTACCAGGTCTTCCGCGGGCATCTATAAGAAGCTAAGTGACCAGACGTTGAAAACCAGTACGAGGACCCGATCTAGCACCCCAAGCAAATTGAAAATTTTTGAGGCTCTTCAGTTTTCTCACAGATCCTCTCCCACTTCAGCGCAACGAAAATCCAGATCATCCCTGAATCGAAAATCAGCATCTCCTGCCGAAGTTCTCTCCGATAACGATATAATAGATGACACAGTAGACTCAGATGCTACTTCGATCGCTCCAGTACAAGTGAAGACCACCGCGCAGCTACCCAAGCTTCGAAACCGCCCTCGCGCATCGAGGCCTCCGTCACATGCTTCCCCTTCTCCGCATCCGGAGACGTTAAGAGACCCGTCCGCTGCCTCTCCGCCTCCTCCACCACCTCCGCCTCCTCCTCCGCCAGAAATACCGCTCTCGAGACCTAGAGTTGACTATCTCCTCCAAAATGGTGGACTGAGCTACCATGTACCACGAAACTTCCTTGGAGCGGGGGAATCAGCTAATATGCCACAACACCTTTTCGAGCCTGCCAATACTGGAATGAAGTTATTCGAACCGTTTTCCAAGCTATTGAGTGATTATAACCGAGTAATAGAGAAGAATGGATCGCTGGCGGTGGCTACGGGGTATAGGTCTGTTGCTAGAAGACTATTAGACCGCCTAGAATCTGTCTTTGCTCGAGATATATCGTCAGAGTCCTGCGAATGCCCAATGTGCTGTGGCAAGGAGGAAAACGAAGCACAAGCAGGGGTTAGCTGGGGCGAGGTCCTGGAACTGGTTTCGGGCCGAAGCGACTTGCCGACCTGGCCACCGTTCCGGATGCAACCAGAGCTAGACCCAGCTGCAATCGAAAATTCACAGGAGCACATACCTATGCAAAAGCTCGATATCGATGTGCCTGAGGAGTACCGAGACCACTATATCAGACAATCAAGGAAAACAAAACAAGCTGTCGATAAATGGCTGTCTCGACAGCCTGACCAGCCCGCCGAACCTCCAGGAGAGGTTGATGATGAGACGCTAACATTTGCCATTTTAACTTATCTGGACCCAGAACAAAGAGCCCCCTTTGCAAGCCTGCTTGAATTTCCACTAGGACCAGCAGTACCTAAGAAGGAGACGCCAAAACCTCCAGATAGGCCACCTTGCCTGGTACTAGGAGCTGTGGCAATCTACCGTCTATACAGACTGCAGAGCTTACCTCGGGACCCCGAGACAGCCCTGTACATGGTGAAGCACCCCGATATGCACAATGTGCTAGCTACGTTAGCAGCCATCAGTGACGACGAGTGGGATATCCTTATCTCGGGCCGTTTTGACGGATTTCTGAGGAGTGGAGCAGAGGACAACGCTGTGCCAACCTCGGCAACAGAGCCTCCCTTTGATCCCCACTCCGGCCTACCAAGAAATGGCGCCCAGCCGGCGCGCTCAGCAAGCCAGCCACGTGCGGGAGCTCCCATTTCTACTGCTGCGGCCGGATCATATGGAGCCCCTATTTCGATCGATGAAGAAACAGAAATCGCTGCATTGGCAGAAGTCGAAAGGGACATCTTCCTTGGCATGGAAGCGCTTGAAGATGCCTTTGAGATCCTGCATGGAAAGGCAGAGATAGTTCGTCGAGCGTTGCGTGAGCGCGGCGCCGGTCTTACCGCTGCTAGTCAAGCTCGAAGAGGCAGCAGGTCGAATATCCAGATACTGGCAGGCACACCTGTGCCAATGGGGACGCCGGCTGAATTCGAAAGTGGCACGGATGACGATGTTGATGACGGGGCGTCTATTGCCCCCTCAGAGTCGGCGAGCAATATCAGTTCTAACCGGAGACGAAGACCCAAGCGCCGAACGGAACGACGGACCCCTGCCCCTGTCGAGGAAGAGCCCGATGAATACAACGAATATGTTGTCCCTATACGCCCAGGGAAATGAGAAACGATAATCTCGCCACCCTCTACCTCGCGCTAATCCTTCACTCCCCGGCTTACGCTTCAGCTAGGGCCGTGACTTTTGTTAGCCGACCCGTGAAGCTCTCGTGTCTTACATATAGTTACCTGACGGCGCAAAACCAGACCACTTTCTAAGTTTCAACCTTTGCATCCCTGAACATCCCCTTGGTAATCTCTTTTCTCCCCTTTCTTCCCCCATTCCTCTATTATCTCCTCCTTCCTTTTTCCCTTGCGCTCCGGCCAGCTATCGAGATGCCCATACGACTACTTTATTCGTCCACTATTCCCCACTAGGCTTTGATTTGGTTTATGCATTTTGGTCTTGATACAAAGATATACTATGTACACCGTCCCTTTTTCTACTCTTAGACCTTTTCCCTTTCCCCCCTCACGCCGTGACGTCTCAATTGCATAGCATCGTTAGTTAGTCCGTTACCTTGTAGTAGTTAGTGCTTCTTTTTGACTTTACCTTCCAGGGCTCTTAATAGTGCTACCAGGAATTGAGTTAGCCCTGGTCAAATTTAACTTTACACTTCCTCCGTACATACACACTTCATGTCCACACCTCGCCTCGACTTGCTCTTGGTTGTCACGGATCTACGGGCCACGATATCAATATACTTGCAGGCCGTTTGATTTTCCTTCTGGTGGCTGTGACTGCAATGATGAGACGATCTTGGTCAGGGCAGTTTTGCTTGTTCAGCCTAGCCGCTAAATTTATAATATTTACTCCGGTTCTTTGGTCTGGTGGCTGAGAGTCACAAATAGCCTCATGTCCATCAATATGTGTACCTGCGTAAAGAGCTTGGATTTTGGGGATATTACCCGATCTCTAGGTTAACCCAGCCGCAGAGTAGTTAGAGAGACGGCAAGCCGTGTTGAAGACTCACAGACCCCGGAGGCGAAGACGGCCTGCATTGGTCTCCCCCTGAACGCGCCAGGTTTCGCGTCAAGAGAGTGAAAACACCACATCCAGACGATACAAGCTGTGATTTTATATGCATGATGAAGGCTTAGCGGTGCAAAATGTCCAGATGGCATCGAGTGATTGCCATTTCATCTGGTAGTGAGGACAGAGTCTGCTCTCGTAGCGACTCTCTTCTACCTGCAGGATTACCAACAACAATCGAAGTAGGCAACCAACATTAGCTACACGAGGTATATCATTTGATCGGCTAAGTGCACCATACTATATGCAAGCCCCATTGTCTTGACCGCTCTGCTAACCATGGTGCAGGTGCCATTATCTGCCGCCTCTTTGGCGCGAGGAGAGATATAACAGCCGCCACCAAACAGCATAGTTATCGTTCTCCTTTCAGCACATCAATAGTCGTTCCGGATAGTTAATGATGGATGATGTGGTATTTCTCAGGCCGTGGCTGGCATAATAAGGATAACTGCGTACAGCCTCTTGTTAGGGACGGACTATACACCCACCCAGCGGTAATTCATGTAAAATCGGCACTTGAGACCCACCGCGGAACATGGATAAATACACTAAGGCCTTTTAAGGAAGATGTTTGGGTGCCTGTTGCGCGGATGTAAGGCAGCTCAGGCCCATGCGGAGCAGAGCGGGCGTGTCAGATGATAGAGATCCTAGAACTGTAAGTTATGGTCCCTATTAACTAACTAATAACGGAGGAGGTTCAAGCTTGATGAGCACTAGGTGTGGATGGAAGTACCTGCATATACTTCTCTACCAGCCAACGGTATTGATTCTTGATACAATCGACAGCGGTCGTAGGTGTCTAGAGAATTTATCCCCAACAAGCTTCTTATGAAGAGCCTTAGCAAACTGGGCACCTTGTTATATACTAGACCGAAGGAATAGGGTGAACTCGTCGAAGATGCGTAAGTAAACTCCTGCCATGCCCCAATCAAGGATGATGGCCCGGCTACTGCGGAGGATATTGAACTGCAAGAAGTCACAGTGGCAAATGCACCGCTCCGAGGGCAGGTTGACCCTATCTGAGTATTCCACCTCCTTCAACTTCTCATTAATCCAGGCTTGGAGATCCTCGACTCGAAGGTTCGACCAGCACCGTAGTCTGAGAAGAACCAGTCGTGAGGTTCCTGCCCAGCTAAGGGTCCAATCAACGCCTGTGGTGGTAATGGAAGACTGGGACTACATGCTGCGATAACATCAGCGCGCGAAGGACTGAAGACTGCGTCATGATGCTAGGGAGCCCACCAAGCAAATTGTATGACGAAAGATTTGATGCTGGATAAAAATAAAAACAAAGAGGCAAGCGCCTCACTTCCATCAAGCGTTGGTGAAGCGGGATCGATTCCGACCTCAATTGCTGGTTTGATTATAATTGATCCGATGCAGACATACGGAGTACCTAAGTTACCCTGTGAGAAATGCATTAGGGTTTACCTGTCGATCCGGTGGAGTCGTTTTAGATATCTTCCTTCCGCCCGCCAAAGGGTTTCTTGTCTCAGCCAGGCGGCAGCAGCACGACAGGCATCATGGGATGAAAACAGTTGAACAGTTTTTGTGCTTGCGGTGATGTGCTGGATAACTATCTGCTCCGCTAGTTAAGCTAACTAGTCGACGCCATGTACGTCTTGCAGCCAGTCGCGGCTTGTCTCCCTATCGGTGTCAAAGGCAGAGAAAAGGACGCTCTGGGGAGCGAGCAGACGATTGACAAGCCTTGAACGGCCTGGTGGAAAAGAAGAGAAAGGATAAAGGGACAAAAAAGAAATACGGAGAACATGACGGCTCGTTGACCAGTTTAGGGTTGGTTCGATACGGGGTACTCAGGGGCTTCTGGAAGCTTAGGGGCCCTGGAGTATCTCGTTATGGCAACCGATACCTGCCGTTGCCCTTTGTTTTCGTGATTGAAAGACCGTCACTGTCAGTCAGGCTGGCCCCGTTGGCTCACTGAGCGGTAGTCACACGGTGGTAATGTATGGGGGGATTGCTATATTGGATAGGAAAACGGGCAGCCTTCACCTCCATTCGGGAAAGCGAATTTGCATCTTCCTGCAGTGCGCCCTCGTATGACACCAGCTAAGATCGGTGTCACATACCCTGTTGGAGGCAAATCTTCAAGTACCATTGCCCCGGATGTGATAGTCTTCGTGTTAACCCGGATAAGCATCACTACAGCGCTGGATGTGGAGAGCGCATTTACTCTCCGGGCCCATCTGGCCGGAGCCTCGAGAGCGAAAGGCCAATCTCGGAAGAGAGAAATAGGCCCATCTGCAAGCGTTGCAGGCATTTATATCCCCATATATCCACTTGGCTCTCCGTCGAGATATCCGTTTTCCCTCCTGTCTTTGCAGTTCAATAAGGAGTTGTTGGCTCTTGCTCGATGGACCAGAGCCGTTTTTTTTTTTTTTTTTTCAAACAACTATCGCTGATATACCTACCTACCTATACGTTGAACCCTCAATAACTACTCATTTACCTTTCTCCTGTTCCAACTAGAACAACCATCCCATCAGGTCCAAATAATACATACCCTTTGACGGCACAACTGAGTGCGAGACCATCATGCCTATAGGCGCTTCTCTCCTCCGGCACGCCCTGATGCTTCATCATGATGCAGTACGAACGGCCTCCAAGCTCGAAGCCAGAGGGGGTGCCACCCTAGACGTATCCCCATTGCCAGACGGCTACCGGGATGGAACTATCATGGTGGTGACGGCATCCTTGGTCTCTGCCGTTGCAGTTCTAGGGCTACTAGGCTTTCTTACATACAGGCTCATGTTCTCGCATAAACGTGATGGTACTTATCTCGGGCACAACCAGTTTGTTGTTCTCATCTACAACCTCCTGCTGGCGGATCTCCATGTTGCCCTTGGGTTTATCATGTCAGCCCATTGGATACAGAATGACGGCATATTTGCTAGCTCCCCTATCTGTTTTGCTCAAGGATGGCTGCTGCAGTTAGGCGACCCGTCAAGTGGCTTATTTGTTGTCGCAATTGCTGTCCATACCTTTGCAACGGTCTTCGCTGGGAGAAAACTATCATACAGGCTGACCGTAAGCTGTATCATTGGACTTTGGTGCTTCTGTCTACTCCTAGTCATAGTCCCAACCGCTAGGCATGGAAGACACACATACGTTCCATCTGGAGCTTGGGTATGACGCCTCCCCTATCCTACTATACTTGCGTCCTACTTCTGACATTTATTATTGCCAATACATAATGCTGATGATACTGACAATACTGAATAAATAGTGTTGGATTAATCAGGAGTTCGAAGCAGAAAGATTCTGGCTTCATTACCTTTGGATCTTCTTCTCAGAATTCGGCTCCCTCTTGCTCTACACTATCCTATTCTTCTACCTTCGACGAAAAATGAAAGCGTCGGCCGATCTCGCCCGTGGCCAGAAGGAAAAATTTGGCAGGCTCAGTCGAGTTACAAGCTACATGGTTCTCTACCCCCTGGCATACCTTGTCCTTTCTCTCCCAATCGCTGCAGCCCGAATGGCGAGCGTTCAAGGCAACCCCCCCTCGCTCACCTACCTATGCGTTGCCGCCGCCATCATTGCCAGCTCCGGCACCGTCGACGTCATCGTGTATGCATTGACTCGCAAAGCACTTCTTCTCGACTCTGAGCTTTCTCGGACGTCTGAAAAGGGAGGCTCTGGTTCAAATGGCCGTCGTAGCCAGTTGGCCTCCACCACGGATCATCGTCAAAGCCAGGGCTACGAGCTCAACAAGCTGAACAAACACAATGCAAAGAATCCAGCCTCTTTTGGAGATCATTCGACAGACGACATTATTGATCAGCTTGAGAAAGGCGGCTTTGGAAAAGTGTACCAACAAACTACCATTGAAATCACTCATGAGCCCGCTGAATACGACAACGGACCTCCTTCTTCGTCGACCTCGATTGATCAGTCAATGGTTGCCAGAGGCCCTTCTCCCCAGCCGGGTCAACCATGGGGAGGCGAGTGGAAATGATTCATATTCACCATGTTCTCTCCCCCCTTGCAGGAGCAGGTCTTCTGGGTAGGGGGGAGACAACGACTCATCAGGAGCCAACCAGTACCTTTCGAGTTTTCTTTCTTTCTTTCTCAATAGATAGGTGGTTGGTCTCTCTTTCCCGAAACCCTTGCCTCGATCTATTGCCGGAACAACCTGACTGTTCACAGGCTCCCATCCGATTTCTTTCATTCTTATTTTTTTTAATTATTTGCTTCACAGGGAGTCTGATATGTTAATGCCCTGCACCAGCCCCTTTTTACGTGTTTTTATGAGGCAAGATACCCACTTCAAACGGCAATGATGTTTAGAGTACACCTATACATTATTTTAATCTTTTTCCATTCTTCTCATACATATGTGTGTATGTCTGCATGCATGTATATACCTATTTTGTAATAACTGTGTTGATCCTGCAACTGGGCGACTTGAAACATGCAGCTCTTACTCCAGATGGCGCCTCGCCATTGACTGCTCTTTCACCGCTTTGCGAGTATTGAATCAAATGCGTCTTCGTGCGTATGCATATGCATGTATAGCTCTTTTCACCGGTCATTCGAATCGCAGTAATGCTGGCCTTTGGCTAGGTCCCCGAAAGCCGTGAAAGTCGCATAATTCTAGCTGTGTACCCTTAGTACAACGACTGAGGCTGTTATATATACGCAAGCTATAATACAGACTTATGCACTAAACCTGCCATTGTAGTACCTAGGTAATAACTCGCGATAAATAAGCCGTAACTCCAAGTACTTAACGTATAACGACCGACTGAATGTGGGCTTAAAAAAGCCACTCGAAAACGCCATATAAAGACAACAAACAAAGATAATGAATCGTCACTCCTGCTTTTTATAGAAATGTCACCAATGCACGCAAACAGGTGCAGGACTATAACTTTCTACTCATCATATTGTTCATCGCCATCGCCATCATCGTTCTTTATCATCATGGCGGCACCACCTCCCCTGCCACCTTTAACACCATCTTTACGGATAGGAATCTTTATACCCTGAATAGCAAAACACTTGCTCAAAGGCGTGCTCTCAATGACGCCAGGAAACTTCTTTGCTGAAAAGACTTGAAGAACATCTGAGTAAACGGAAGCGAGAACAGGAGCCGAGCCATGGTTAAGGATCGGGGTATTGCTTGCAGTGTTTCCGGAGCGGCTGAGAGCTTGCTGCGGAGTTCCGACGTTGACAAAGTTCATTTTCAGTCTAATAATCGGTTTAGCAGCTATTGGCATACATACGATAATGTTATATGAATAAATCTTACCTAAACATTCCTTCGGTACGAACACTCAGGTCCTGCAGAATAAACCAGATACCAAGTTTCCCAGCCGGATCGGAGAGTTTGAAGGCACTCGCACTCAGACTCCCAATTAAGTTGCGGGTAAACATACCGACAGGTGCGGGAGGCAGATGGTGGACAACAGGCTGCTGCGATTGGGATGCGTAGTATGCTTGGTTGACATGAGGGTAGTAGCTCTGGGCAGGCCCAGACTGAGGAGCAGGATATGGCATCCCTGTCTGGGTTGCATAATTCTGCTGGGGGTAGTAAGGGTAAGTGGTCGGTGGCTGGTTATACATGCCTTGCGGCTGATAGGAGGAATAGGTTTGGCCCGTCGGGGCCATGTTCTGGGTCGGTGGTGGGAAAGAAGATGATGTTGCGGTTGAAATAGAAGGTGAGGTGGCCGAATGTCTAACTAGGTTGACCTCGCGATCACCTTCTGCATTCCAAAGATCAACGGTGAGAACAAAAAACGTTGTATCGATTTCACTGTCATCAATTTGATTAGTAGGTGTAGTGGGAAATAGACTGTGCAGGAATGCTGGGCAGCAACATACTCTGCTTCTACTTCTTGTTTTGTGGTGGCATCTCTAACAATGAGACGGACACAAGGTGGAGGAGTGATGGGACGACGATCCTGGGAGTGGTTAGTGGTGCTACTGAAATACATGAGCAGCCAGGGACACGGCATACCTTTATCGGCCGAATCCGGCACATACGTGCGCGTATCGGCTGCTGCACGACTTTCAGGACATATTCAAAGCCATCCAGGGTGAGAGAGG